TGGTAGAGTTCTTGCGAGAAAGACCGCCGGGAGACTCGCTGCCGTTTGCAGCCGACAGGTTCGCTGCCGAAGGAATCTTACTCAATCGGCGATTAGGCGACTGACAGCGCTCGCGGAGACCGCGGCTGAGGTCAGGGTTCGAGGCCATGTTGGGCAGCGAGGGCAGCGTCTTGTTCTGGTTCAAACCAGTTGCCGATCCTTGAGGCTTGACTCGAGTGATGGGAGCGGTCTTTTGAGACATCAAGACCGGGCGGTTCTTGGATGTGAAGGGGTTGTGTTTCGACTTGATGTTGCGTGTTGGGGAGGGAACGATGTCCTCGTCGTCGGAGTCAATGCTGATGGTGTCACGAGGGACATCCCACATTGGGTCGCCAGAAGAAGCGGCGTTGCCAGAGAATAGGTTTCCGCTGTTAAGCTTGGGCACCTGAGTTCCGGCATGTCGTCTAGGGGACAATGAAAGTGAAGCAATAGCGATAGGTGAGGGGGACGCCATCTCGATATCCATAGGGGTGCCTTGACCACCGACGAACATGGTCTGGGCTCTGCTGTAGGGTGTGCGAGTAGCCTTCTTGCTCGTGAAAGGACTGTCCGAAGAGATATCGGTAAGATCGGTACACGATGAGAGCTCGTCGTCTCCGCTACCGTTACCAACGGAAGACCTCGGGTAGTCTGACTTTGTTTGCGATGTTGCGAGGTCCAGCGCGTGCATGGGCTCGGCAGCCAAGCTAATCGTCTTCTTCTGCAATTCGGCGTCGACACGAGACTGAACCTCGCTCTCAAATCGCTTTCGCAGGGCCTCAATTTCTGAGTTGATTTGCCGATCGATCTCCAGACGCGCCTTCACCTCCCACTCTCTTCGCAGCGAGCTGTCGACCTCTTGTCTGACAGAAGCCTTGTCAGCCTCGAAGGCGGCTGTTCTCTCGTTCAACTCCTTCTCGCGGCGAGCCAATGAATCCTCCTTCTTCTGAACGACCTTGTTGAGCTCAACAACTTCTCTTTCCTTTCTCATCAATCGCACAACAGGGAGGTTGAGTAGTTGCGCAGTGTCCGGGCGGTGGTCGGGGTTGACTCTCAAGCAGTCCTTGATAGTGCCCATGAGCTCGCTGGAATAGCAGCTGGGAAGAGGTGAGACCTTGCCCTCCTTGATCTTCTGAACAAGTTGGAAATGCGATTTGGCGTTGAAGGGGGGCTCGCGTGTGCAGAGCTCGTAGATGATGCAACCCAGAGACCAGATGTCCGACTTGAGTGTGTACTTCTCAGCGGCGCAGATTTCGGGCGACATGTAAAATGGTGTGCCGACATAGGTGGAGGCGAAGTCATGGGACTGAATCATCTTGGACAGGCCAAAGTCACCAAGCTTGACGGAGTTGTCCTCTCCAAGGAACACTGTTCTCGATTAGTATATGTCACATCGATTGATGGGGCGATGAAACATACCATTCTCCGGCTTGAGATCGCGATGCAGAATGGTCATGGTTCCCGGGGGCGTCTTAGGCTTGGAAGCTGTGCTGAAGAGACCCAGCACATTGCTGCCAACCTCGGGAGGGTCGATGCCATAATGGCATCTGTAGAGCGCAGTAACCAGCTGCGAGAAAATGCTCCACACAAATGACTCCTGTGCGCGCTGGCCCTTGACAGCCAAATCTCTGATAACGCGACCGAGATCGCCATTGCCACAGTACTCCATGTAGAGGTGAAGGTCTTGAGTTGATTTGAGGTGTTCGCGATGGTAGTAGCCGACGATATTTTGATGGCGGAGGGTTGAGAGGATCTGGAACTCGGCGTGGAGCTGCTCGCGCTCCTTTTGCGACATCTTGAGGTAGCTGATTTCCTTCCGACACATGACGAGGTTATCGGCCTTTCTTCGAACCTTTCGGATGATTCCAAAGGAACCATGGCCTATTGGATTGTTTGGTTAGTGAAGAGCTCTTTGGTCGGTCGCAACGTGAAAAGCTCGTGAATGGTGGTGCCTACCGATTTTCTCCAGCACCTCATACTTATCCGCCTCCAAAGACATCTTGGATGCAACACGCAATGAATTTGATTAAAGTGAATCTTTGTATGTATCCATAGAAGTTGAGAGGCAAAGAAAGGCGACGGTCGCGAACCTGCTATGTTAGTATCCGAGCTGTTGGTGATGGTTGACCGGGAAAGGTGCACTGCAAGTCAAAGCTGTGAACTTGGTTGCATGGGACTAACAAGATCGAGCTCGGGTAAACAACTGGGGGCCGATGCCATGGCAACGACGCTAGCAACGGAGCTGAGATAATCCAGCTCCATCTCTCGAAGTGGGTCCATCTCGCTTCTTTCTTATCGATAAGCCAGCACTTTAGGTCTGGAGGGGTTCAATGGTGGGGCACTGATGATGTACTGGAAGCCATCACGTAAGGAAGGTCCAAAGTGGCCCGTGCAGAGGCGACCTCATGGAGTTATCGGACTTCATTCTCACTGAGATCTTCAATGTCCCAGATGTGGAGGCGAACTTGAACTTGTCACTTATTTGATACATTTCCTTCATATCATCATTTGCTTAGACTTCCAGGCTATAGATATTCTGTCCTGTTCGTTGAGTTCGTCATCATGGTTCTCCGAAAAGATGAATTAGAAGTACAGCTTAAAGAAGAGCATGAGTTGATCGCAAATGGCGTGCTTAGAGAGGACAACCCCTTGGATCAGACGGCCGAGTTCGAGGCTTTCCTGCTGGCCTGCAGGAGAGGCGACCTGAAGACGTGTCAGGAGCTGATCTCGGCTGGCGTAAATATCAATGGCAAAGATCGTTTTGATTACACACCGTTGATTGTTGTGAGTGCGCAGCCCCCGCACCTCTGGCTCAGGCCTCACTGACAATAAGCACCAAGGCCAGTTTATGTGGGCATCTAGAACTCGTACAACTACTTCTGGAGTCCGGTGGGTTATCTATATCGATCTACAGTGAGATGGATTGACTGATCAACATGAAAGGTGCACTGGCCGAAAGAAATACGTTTCAGGGCGAACGATGCATTTACAATGCCCTCAATGATAGGATACGAAATCTCCTGCTAGAGTATGATTATTCAAAGTCTACAGACCCCCTCCAGCCTTGGGCCGGACACATTACCAGCCTACTCTCCAAGAACGTTCCAAAGACAACCGACATCAGCCTCATTGCAGCAGCGCAGTCCTTCAACATGCACAAGTTCCTCCTAGCAGCACGAACACCGTACTTCAGGAAGAAGCTCGATGGCGCACCCGATACCGCAACATGGAAGCTCCCCACCACCTACCCGCTCGAGTCTTTCCAAGTCGCCTTACGATATCTGTATCTAGGAGAAGTACCCAAGGATGTGGTCAATGCTCGCAGTACCGTGACGGAAGAAGAGGTTCTCACTGGTGTTGATAAGCTCAGCAAACAGCTCGAGATCGAGCAACTATGGGAGGCAATCCTGGCGGGCAACGACCGGCGACTGTCACGCCAGAGGTACGAGGACGAGGTGAAGCGCGCCCAGGTCCAGGTTGATCGTTTCTACCGGGAAAAGGTCCTGGGCCACAAGATGATCGTGGAGACGAAAAGGGTCGGCGAAGTGAAATGGCGCCACGACAACTCCATCTTTGCCGATTGCCTCCTTTGCGCGCACGAGCCGGAAAGCGACGAGATTGAGAATGATGCGGAGGATCCTGACAATGTTGTCCATGCTGTCGGCATTCCGCTCGGCCTCGCATCCAACGGCGATAAACCCAGGAAACGACCTCGAAAGTCGGTGGTCTACCCCGTTCATAAGGCGATGCTCATCCGCAGCCCGTACTTTGAGACCATGTTCTCCAGCGAATTCAGGGAGGCACAGGACTCGGAGAACCTACACGTCGTCACAGTGGATTGTATACCCGAGGTCCTCGAAATTGTGCTTACGTTTCTGTACACGGAGAAGGTGGACTGCCCTCTGGAGCTGGCCTTGGACCTGCTCTACACGGCGGACATTCTCTTCCTCGACAAGCTCAAGACGAAAGCAGCTCAGGCCATCAGTACCCTGGGAAGCGGCAGCAGCAACATCTGGGCTGACCGCACCCACAGACCCGACGGAGAGGACCATCGGGAAGAGGATATGGAGCCCATCAACATCTACGACGTGATTCACGCGGCGTGGGACTTGCGTGTACAGCGCCTGGAAGAGTTTGCTGCTCGGTACCTGGCCAACCGCCTAGAGGACTACATTGATGAGGCCGAGTTTGCGGAGCTGATCAAGGAGAGTGCAGAGAGACTCAAGAACCGTGAAGAGACGGACACTATTGAGTTATTGGACGACATCCGATATTATCTGGGCGAGCGCTTCCGTTTGCGTTTCGAGGACGCCAATCTTGAGGAGATGATGGATGAAGAGGGAGAGATCAACGCCGAATTGGCAGAAGCCATCGCTGCACAGAGCGAACAGTTGAATGAGGAGATGGGTGAAAATGGTGCTGTCCCACAGGAAACCGCCCCTGTTACTTCTGCTGCTGAAACTGTTCAGAATGGCGAAGATGGAGAGGGAGTCAAGACTCTTGGTGGTGAGGTGGCCGAAGACGAATTCGCTTCAGATGCGATCAATTACCAGATCTTACTTGGAAAGATCGATACAATGCTGGATCATCTGAAACTAGATGCATAGATGTCATGGCGCGCTTGAATACCGAGATATAGGCAAGTTAAATGCCCACCATCTATCATGAATATCAAAAGTGTCGAAATGTCCAATATATTTAAGAGACTTAACGAGTCCAGGGCACCGTGAATATCTTTCCCTGTCCATGACCTAGGTCAGCACCTTTAATTCCCTGATATTCTCCAATCGGTACGCGTCATGCTTGACCAAGTGACACAGCTTATTAGTAAACTTACCTACTTGTGAAAGGATATCATGTCTGTATATGCGACCAGCTCATTCTGTGTGATGATAAACTCCCTGGCACGGATGGAAGCAGACTGCAACTTTCACAAAGGTGATGCCCATTCTTACGCAAATGGTCATTGAATTTTTGAAACTTCATGTTTGAGTCGGACTAGAGCTTTCTGGATGGCTTCGATCCCCAACAGTCTCTTTCTGCCCAGCAATACCATCTCGATTCGCCCTCCACACGCCCTCTTCGCCATGGAACTCCTCCCGCTTCCATACCTCGACCTTGGCCTTGCACTCCTCCAACGCCTCCTCACCAGCCCTCCACGCAGCCTGTCTATGGGGTGATGACACCGCAATCAAGATGCTCTCTTCGCCGATGGGGACTGTTCCCAAGCGGTGGATCATGGCGAAGCCTTTCAAGCTGTGCTTCTCGACGATGGCCTTGGCGATGGACATCATGGTGCGGAGAGCGAGCGGCGTGTAGGCGCTGTACTGCAGCTCTTTGACGGGTTTGTCGCCGAACGTGTCGCGTGTTGTGCCAGAGAAGAGGACGATGGCGCCGGCTTGTGGTGAGCGGACTCGGTTCATGATGGCTGAAGCGTCGAGGAGATGGTAGGTGAGGGCGACGTAGCAGGAGTCCTCGGAGACCTCCCACGGTCCTGGGTCTTGGTTCTCCATGGCTATAGGATTTGGAAACAATAGAGGTGGAAAGATGTGTCTGCCCCTCCGAGTCGTGGTATGGCAGAAAGAGATGGCAGAAGGAGATGGTGGGGTTGAGGCCGTGTAAGTATCCCAGATGACGATGGGCTTTTTGAAGTTGTAGGATTTTGGTCAACGCAGCTAAACTCTTTGTTGGATATCTAATGTAGTACACTTGAAATGATCAGTAATTCTCTCTCAATTGCCAACGACATGCCGATTATCTAATAACCTTGGGTTGAAATTACCTCAAAAGATGACAATGATGAACGTGGGGAGTTCGAAGTTGATGAGTACCCAGGTACAAGGTACAAGGATGGAGGAGCGCGGACCAGGTCCATACCAACCTTATCGACGACCCCGCTTGACTAAGCAAGAGATAAGGTGCAATCCCATGAAATGGAAGGCAGCCGCAAGTCGACTACGAATGGAAGTTGCCAGGGGGGGGTGAGCTTCTGCCGGCCCCTGCGTTGTGTGAACCATCCCTTCTTCATTCCCGACTTCGCCCAAGCCCATTACTGAGGCCCGTCGCCCTTTGTCGTTCCACCAATACCTGGTTGAAGCATAAAGGCACGGTCTCGTCGTACGCCTCACGAGGGACAGCACCACGCCTTACTCTTTCCTTCCCTCCTCTTCTTCTTCTTTCCGGACCAAGCAAAACTCGACCCATATCACGCCCGAAGCAGCGCGCATAAAGATCGGACACACCCCTTCCTGCGATCCGCGATCATGTACGAGGACAACCATCGCGCGCGCGAGAGGGGACCGTACGAGCGACGAAGATCCCCTCTACGAGATCAACAACAGTATTCAGACAACGACGGCTTTCGAACGCGGCAGGGTAAAGAGACTAAGCTGAGCCTGCGGAGGACATGACCATCTGCAGTACATCTGGCTGGTTTGAGCTTCTGCTAACTTGCCCACGGGACGACGAGACTCTTCTAGGTCTCCCCCCAGGAATAACCTCGAGCTGTCCTACGACGACGACGACAGCTACGCCCCTGAGGATACCCGCCGTCGCGAGCGCGACTGGGATCGGGACCGGAATTGGGATCGTGAGACTGCAGAATACCGCGCAAGAGACTACGACCGTTACTACCATGGACCGCCGCGTGAGGCCCACGAGCCACGTCCTCGATCGGGAGATCAAGGCGGTGGTCGGGATGACTATATGGATCGCCGTGATGAAGACGCTGCGCTACTTCACCCACATGACGGCGACGACCGCGGATCACGTCGTTACGATCGAGGTGGCCGGGGCTACTCTCGCCCTTACTACGACGATGGCACTCGCCGCGATGATGCCAGACGTGGTCCTGACGAGGATCTTCGTCATTTTTCCGCCTCTCCAGGTGGCAGCCCAGATCGCCATCCTCGTCGCGATCGTTCTACATCGCCTCTTCGACAAGCTGGTACTCCGAGTGATACTGTGATTTTGGAAGGTTTACCATCCGATGTATCTCTCGAGACGGTGCGGGATTGTCTCTTTAAACAGTCCGATCTATCACACTATCCATCTGTCGATCTTCGCATCCCCTCAACTGGGCGAGGCAAGCCACCTATCCCCCAACCCTCTCACATGCACTTGCTTACATCTTCGTCAGGCAAGCGTCGCGCTTTCGCGCAGTTTGAGAATGTCGAGCAGGCGGTCGAGTTTGTTAAAGGAAACTACCCTAAGCTTGTCATCAACTTCTTCAGCGGGGAAGTTGATGATAGCACGGATGGCATGACTCTGATTTACATCCATTACGCAAGGAACCGCGATGATGCCGAGCGGGAGAGTCGCGCTGGAACTGCCGCCAATTGGAGCTGTCCGACCTGTGACTTTTCAAACTACGCGACCAGGAGCCGTTGCAAGAACTGCGGCGGTCCGCCCACAGGTATGCACATTCAACGATCCTTCTTGCAGGACCTGTACTGACTCGGCCAGATCCGTCCCAATACCGATTTCTATTGACTGGCGAGAGCGATGCATCCGATACACCTTCTCAAATCTTGGTTTTCTTCCCTTTGGCGCCCTCCGTGAACGAGGATGTGTTCTCGGCGGGAGCTGGAAAACTAGAGCTCGTTCAAAAGCAAGCAGCAGCAAGGAATTCCGGCGATGGGCCTAAGCTCAAGTCTACTGCTCCGACAGGCGATGCATCTGGCTATGGCGCAAGGCCGGGCTCTCTCCACCGCACATTCTTGATGCGTGATCAAGAGACGAACGAGTCATTCAACTTTGGATTCGCCGAGTTCTGGACAGTGGAGGATGCGATGGCGGCCATGAAGAAGTTTCAGATGATGCGTGAATTCACCATTGCTTCGAAACCTGTAACAGTTTCGACCATCCATCTGGGCGTCTTCGTGCCAGAACTCAGGGAAGTGACGCGGTTTAACGAGCGTGTCTCGTTCAACCCGCTCTTCAACCCGGCGATTCGGGTCAAGTACTGGGAGCCCCACGTCTATCCCAGCCAGAGAGTGATCACCGAGGTACCACCTGGCGGCACCTCTGGAGACGGAAGCAAAGGGGATGCTGCCGACGAGGCGAAGAAGGGCAAGAAACGCAAGGCGGACGGGAACCTGCCCGCCTCTTCCACCAAGAAGTCGGTACCGATGGCTGGACAAATGGCGTTTTGGCAAAAACGGCATGTCGAAATACACGAGGGTAAGCGAGCCGCCGATGCCGTTGGTGAAAATGGTCAGTCGGAAGAGCGCGCCCCTGTGAAGATTTCTCTGTCTGGCGCGAACGCAATTTCTACCGGCCCTATCAAGATTTCTTTGACTGGGGCGAGCCTTCCGAAAGCCCCTGCTCCGACAGCATCGCCGAATGGGGCCCCTAATATTGAGGACTCTCAGACACCCGCGCCTCAGATGGGAAATGCGGCTCCAGACAAGACATATACGCCGGAAGCATCAGTATCATACGTGGATCGCGAAAAGATCTGCTGCTTGATCTGCATGATGAAGTATAAATCTCTGGATGATCTCAACACGCATGAAAAGTCAAGGAACCACAAGAACGCTACCGCAGACGAGGAGAAGGTCAAGGCAGCTAAGCCGCGACTAACTGCCCGCGATAAGAGGATGGCGAAACAAGCAGAAGAGCAGCCGGCGGCACCAGCAGCGGACGAGGAATCAGCACCGCAGTACCGCGACCGCGCCAAGGAGCGAAGAGAGGTGTTTAACCAACCCGCGAAACCAAAGGTACCCGTCCAAGGCGGTAATAAACCAGTGCGTAAAGACGAGAAGACGGCAAACCCCCCAGCGGCAGCGGCGGCGGCATCCAAGGAAAAGACACCTCCGCCGGCGCCTTCAAAATCCAAGGGCGCGGGGATGCTGGCCAAGATGGGCTGGAGCACGGGACAGGGTCTGGGTGCCAACGGCGACGGCCGCACCGAGGTGATTGCCACGCACGCATACCAGGAGGGCGTCGGCCTCGGCGCCGAGGGCGGGAACCTGGGCGACGCGGCGGAGCTCGCGCAGCGCAAGACGACGAATAGTTATGCCGAGTATGTGAATACGGTGCAGGATCGGGCCAGGGAGCGGTATAACAAGATGGGTTGAGGTGCTTTCTGTGGTGGCAACGGGCAACAAAGATATTGCTTGTGGTGTTTGCTACGGCGAGGAAGTAGAGATGGGAGGAGCAAGGCTGTCATGGGGTAGCTGCCAGCACGACGAGTGCAGTGCAAGAAACTTCTAGATGGCACACAAGAATACAACGATGCTTCACTACAGCTAAACATTTCACATCACTAGACTCTTTTTCGGCTTTCAAATCTGGTATATTGTAAACGGAGTATGTGCAAAAGAAAGGCACGAAAAAAAAGTAGCAAGTCGCTACCTTACTTCAGTAATCCACAATCTTGAGCCGGGCCTGCACGTCCTCGGGCAACTCCTCCTTCTTCACGATCCCCATGAGCACACAATCGCCCAGGAAGAAGAATGCCCGCTCCTGCGCGTAGCCCAGGTAATCGTACTCGTCGCCCTCGTCCTCGGCCTCCGCAGCAGCCTGCACCTCGGCTTTCGCGTCCGCGTCGCCCGCGGCGGCGGCGGCCTCGTTCTGCGCCTGCTTCTCCTGCTGCTCGATCTCCTCCTGGGACTCGAAGCCGGGTACCTTGGCCTGGACGACGCCCCACGCGACCCACTGCGCGCTGTTGATGCCGCGCCAGAGACGGGTTTCCTCGTAGAGTTCCTTGATCTCCGCCTCGACGGCCTCCTCTGCGCGGCGCTCCTCTTCTTTCCAGTGGTTGGGCGGGACGCGGGCGTCGAGCATGAACTCGACGATGGAGGAGGAGGAGGAGGTCGGGAGGAGGGCGGGCGTGCCGACGGCGCTGCTGCCGTCCGCGGCGCCGGCGGGGGCGAGGCGGGGCGTGGAGGCGCCGCCGTGGGTGTATTGGGGCCGGTGCTCGACGTAGGCTTTGAGGAAGCGGCGCTGTTCCTGGATGGTTGGGTAGACTGCCGTGTTGCAGACGAAGGGGAGGGATTCGTGGTGGTAGTTGTAGGACCATTCTGTGAAGTGGTTTGCGAACTCGAGGCCCGGGACGTTGGCGGCGGCGTACTCGAAGTCGATTACGACGAGCTGCTTGTGCTCGTTTGCTGGCTTTAGGAGGGGGGATTTCTCGTCTTCGGGGCGCATGCGAAGGATGTTGCCGTATTGGGTCTGCGTGGGCGTGTTAGTTGGTGACTGAATATGATATTTGGGGGTGGATAGGATAGGGGTAAGTGTACTCACGTCGTTATGGGCAAAGACGAGACGCTCGCGGATGGCGTGGCCCTTGTAGGCGCTGAGAGCCAACTCGCGATACTTGTCGTAAAGCTCCTTGAACTGCTTCCACTCCACGCCACACACGTACCCGCGGTCGCGGAAGACGCAGTTGCCATTGCGCACGCCCTCGTCGAGGGCGCAAATCTTCTTCTCGACGTTGCCGAGCCAGGCATCCCAGTTCTTGAGCACCGCGGGACCCTCATCCTTTTCGCGTTCCAAGACGTCGATGCCAAAGTGGAGCTCCCGCATGCGCTTAGCAATCTGCTTGGAGGTATCGGGATCGCGCAGGTCGTTGGGGGTGAGGGTGATGGAGTTGAAGTACTCCTCGAAGCGGCCGTTGGTGAAGCACCCGAGAAGTCTCGGGCCAATCTTCTTTCGCGCCAGTCGCCGGAGCACGCTGAGTTCGTTCTCGCGGTCGATGAGGGCTTCGAGTCCGTAGATGCGCAGGAGGAGCTTTGGCGGGGGCTTCTTGCCGGGGACTTCCTCGAGGTCTTCAGGGGGAGAGACGACGTAGACGGCGTTGGTCAAGGCTCCGCTAAGACGTTGCACGATGACGCTGTTGCCACTGTCGAGAGGAACTCTCCTCCAACCCTTGATTCTCAGAGTATGAGCTAGGCGCACAATCTCGTTCTTGAACGTTTCCCAGGCCTTCTCCTTTTCGTCTGCCTGGCCACCAAGAGTCAGGTCGTCGGTACTCTTGCCGCCACCACTGTAGCTGAGGGTCTTTGAGTTGTCGAGAATTGCGTCGCAGGTTGGCACTATGACGTCCTCGCCGATGTAATCGGTGTCGGAGCTTGCCGTCCTATGGAGCATGCTACGCGACAACGACTTCTTGTGACGGAGGGAGGGGCGCCTGCCGACCTTGGGGCTCATCTGAGGCACCGAGCTGATCCCCATAGAAGCCATGCTGTCCTCGATGATCCTCTGCAGCCTATCGAAGGAAACGTCGCTGGAATCGGAGTCGATGGAGTCTGAGCGCGACCGAGGAGCAGCGGGCTGGGCTGTCGGGTCTGTCGTCTCTGCCGCAGGAGATCGCTCCTTCTTGGTCTTTGACTGGGGTGAACGGCGTCGGGGCGACGTCTTGCTCTTCCGGGCAGCCTTCTTCTTCTTCTCATGCTCCAACCAGTCGTTGAGCTGGGCGAGCAGCTTCTGACTCTCGTAGTGAGCCTTGTGGCCGTGGCGATGATGGTGGTGAGAGGGTTGAGCAGCGGCGGCGGCGGTAGCAGCAGCAGCAGCAGCAGCAGCAGCGGTAGCATCGTCGGAAGACGGACCAGGCGACGGCTCCATGACAGGGGAAGAGCGAGAGGACGAGGAGCTAGTGAGTCCCATGCGACCTGTCAACCTCTTGGCCATGTTGGCGGCGTACTGTCTCTTGTGGTGATGATCGGAAGGCGGGGCAGGTGGAGGAGGGGCGACAGCGTCAGCCTCTGGCTCAGCGATTTGAACGACTGCGAGAGGGTTAGTAAATCATTGGTCTTTTCTTGCAAGTCACAAGCCCAGCGACGATACCGGTCCATCAAGCTGTGTCTGCGGTGAGCAGTAAAGTGTTCCTGGGTGACGCGGGGCAGGCACATAGGCATGGGCACAAGCATGAGCATTGGAACGAGTTACTATCGCGGCTCGACTGCCAGCCACATGTGCGCGATCCCTTATCCTCCCATCACTGTCGAGATGACACGATACCACTTGATGCTGATGCCGAGCCTGCAGAGACCGTGGGTATGTTTAAAATGAGACGAAGCCAGACGTTTGCTTGAACTGACCTTTGGCGGTGTTGGACGCGCACTCTTCATCCGTCTTCATGGCTGATCGCAGGGGCTGCTGCTGTCCAGTGATCTGGGGCGACGAAGAGGACGACATCTTGGCAGACAAGACAGAGGAAGAAGAAGCGGGCGCAACAGAGTTTATGAGAGGAAGGGAGTCGCGCGCGCGCGCACAAAGTCGGGTATTGGTGCTAAGGTAGGTTCGCGGCTATGCGGATAGAGGAAATTTTGCTCGCGTGAGACGACAGGGGATTTGCAATGTGCGTCGGTGAAGAAAATCGAGGTTATCCTCCTTTGGGGAGGTGAGAGGTGACAGTTTGCGATTGCAGCTTAGGTTGGGTATGGGGGAGCCTGGAAGGGGAGGGGCACAGAGAATGGGAATCCCACGATAAGTACGGAGTCGGGTGCTGGAGGTTTCTTATCGGGCCCGGCGCAAAAAGACACGGAGGGGTTTATCGTGGGGCACGCAGGCGACACGGGTCACCTCAGACCAGGTACCTTAGGTGGTGTACGGATACCTTGAGATGGACCCCAACTGTGAGGGGTGACGGGGGGTTGGCTGCAGGCTGGATTACCTAGATGGGGTTCTCGAAGTGGTTCTGGAAGAGGAAGATTTACGAAAGAATGAGACGAGAATGGCCAGAGTTGTGCGGGGAGACGATGCACAGAAGAAGGGTGTTCAGATGAAGGGTAAAAGGGTAAGAAGGAAAATGGAAGAATAACCCGTTGAGCGGTTGTTAGGCGAATTACAGCCACAGCAAAAGGGCAACCAGTCGTGTGGTGCGAGGTTCTGACGAGGTTGCAGTTATGGGCCGTTGGACGCTTTGGTTGACCGAGCCGTGGGGACGGGGACCACTGGGGAGAGCTCCAGGCGGTGGACCTCCAGCTGGAAGTGGTCAGGTGCACCCCTCGCCGTCATCCCTGCCCGCTTTACAAAAGTAAGTACAAGTAGTGCGTATTTACTGCGTAAAGGTACCTCATCATTGGTCCCAGGTTCCTCATAGCGCGCTTTAGACCGTACATTGATTGTCCCGCAGTGCCGCAAATGCACCCGACGACAACCGCACAAATTTGGTATTCCACCGACTTCCGCCCACCTCACTTGTCAAGGTACCTTGTCTTCAGGTAGCTTCACAATTTCAGAGCAAGGGTTCTTCTTATCGTCGCACTAACACCAATTCGCTCCTCCATCACTTCACCACCAACTAGAAACTCGGGAAGGATTCTGTCACCAACATGACATCTCACGAGGCCACAGAAACATACTTTAGAGTACATTAACCAACGTCAAGTTTGGCACCAAACAATGTCAGCCCGGTTCCATGGCAATGCCACGCAACCACGCAACCACCCCAAAAAGACAAGACTAAATGTGACGTCAGGGGGACCCTACTCTACCAGTCGGGAGCTCCCGACCCTTGCTTTCCATGGCATGGCGCCCGCGTCTTGCATGTGACGTACATGGCGACACACCAACACTTCGCCCCCAAAGTTGACAGCAGTTGACATCAATTGACAGCTTTGGGCGAAAATGGATTTTGGGTTCTTCTCCAATTACCATGCCGGTAATTGCCATGTGCCTCAATCGACCGTCCAATGTCATTCTTTAAGGATACACGACGCTACATCGCTGGGAGCAGACCGTTTAGAAGTCTAAATTTCAAAATCCTGCTTCGATACATGTACAGACCTTGGTACACAGCACACCATCTCTCGAGATTGAGCCCAGCCACACCTTGTATTACACCGTCCAGCTGGATTTGTAGTTACACGCTCTGCCATTCACCGGTGAGCTACGACTATCTTGCCTAATACAATACACTACCTGAGGAGCTTCCAGTACCAACATGCTCCAACGCGTACCTAGATCTTGGCTGGCCTTCCCTCCCTCTGCAACGCCCACTCAACCGCCGCCTTGACATCATCCACAATCATTTTGGGCTTATGCGTAGGCGCGCCTCTCTCCTGGCTCCAAACACCCGTCTTCACCAGCACAGAAGCCCACTCCGTCTCCTCATTACTATAATCATTCGCGCCCCGGATGTCGCTCTCCGGGTTATCTCCCACCATGTACACCGTCTTCAACGGCGCCACATCTCCACCACCGCCAACGCTCTTACTCTTGCCAAGCAGCGCCTTGCGATGGGCATCAAGAACCCGCTCCGCATACTGATACGTAGTCGCAAACGGCTTCCCAAACACAGTCCTCTTCAACTCCGCCTGCCCCGCCGTGACCTCCTTCCACACGCCCGCCACAGCCGCCTGGAACGCCCCCTGTCCGAACCGCGGCTGGTGGTACGTCGTCGACCAGAACAGGTCCGCGTTCGAGAAGATGAGCGGCGGCTGTCCGTCCTGCTGCCACCCGCCGTTCGGCAGCGACGCGTCGCCGTTCTTGGGCGAGTACGTTCCCAACAGACCCTGGCGCGATAAGAGCAGGTCGGTGATGATTTGGATGTCGAGAGCCCAGTCGCGCGGGTCGTTGAAGACGAACATGGCATCGATTTTGAGCGCGTCCGCGTCCGCTACGGTGCCGTCGTGGATGGGCTTCGGAAGGGGCTCGTGAGAGTCTGCGTAGACTGTCTTTTTGAGGAGTTCAAAGGGGAATACTTCGGGGTGAGCGTGGATGATGTCCGCCGGCGTCACCACGTTCTTGAAGCCGTACCTTGTTTGGTTGTCAGTTGCTGTTGAGTTCGCAGAAACGTACAGGCTCTCAAAAGGCTGCTGACTTACAGCTTCGCAATCTCTCGACACTTCTTCGCATCGGCACCCGTCAGGAAGATGGTCTTGTCTCCCAGTCCCTCTGGCCCCTGCACCAGCTCCTGAAAGGGAGTGTGCGACTGGACAAAGTTGTCCACCGAGAGCTTGACCCCGAGCTTGTCGCTCAGATCCTTCACCCGGACGGCCTCGGGCTTACCTCCGCCGTTGGTCAGGAGGATGAAGGGGATGTTGTTGTCGTTGAGGTACTGCAGCGACTCGGCGGCCCCGGGAATAGGCTTGGCCACGTGCAACAGAACGCCGTCGATGCTGAGCTTTCTCGTTAGTCACGTCTCTTACACAGTTCCTGGTGGAACATGGGTGACGGCTATGGCTTCCAGGACCACACCGAGCCCCGAATGAGCTGCACAGCCTGGCGCCATTGGACTTGACTCACTCAAAAGCAAACGCAAACGACGGAGCTTCGCCCGCCTCGAAAACCGGCTTCTTGCTACTGAACCACCGCTCCGAGCCAACAGTCTTGGTGACACCAAATGAACTCGTCAAAGGTAGCGTTACCCTCCTCGGCCCGGGAAGCCCTCTCTCGTGACGCCCGATACCGGCAGCCGCGCATCTGATAGGTGTCGGTGAAGTGGTGAGTGGCCTCGAAACAAGCCGACCGAGGCCCGTCGCCCTGACTGCCTGTCTCATGATGTATAAAAAGTAAATCCTTTCAAATCAATCTGGAAATTCAAATATGCCGCATGACAGAACGCGAAAGGAAAATGGGGGTTGTTTGAGTGTAAGAGTGATGATGAGTCGAGGTTGCCCGCGTGGTTGAGGTTGAACCAGCGGGCACGGATAACGGATAACGGTCAACACTGAGCTCTCCCCTGCAAGGAACCTACCCCTGCCATCCGTCCAATGCTCTCCGCTCGCTCGCTAATTTTAGCGGCTGAGTCGACCTCAGGTCTGCGGGGTGCGTCTTGAGCCCATCACTCGATGCAACGGCTTGAAACCGGCTTGTAGTGAATGTGATTGAGGTGCTGAAAATAAGCTACATTCTGATACCGAAAGAAATGCAGTTTAGATATATACTGTCTTTTCATGGCTGAGTTCCATGTGCGTGAGTCGCATAAACGACAATTATTCGGCTCTCGGTTGACAGATATCTGACCAAAGAAGGGTCAAGGAGTGGTTTGTTAATTCCGGACTACTCTTTCTTCCTCAAAATGCAATCGCTAAACCTCCGCTGCCATATCCACAGTTTGAGCAACATATCGGTCTTCAATCCATTGAAAAGCATGGCCAAGGTGGGCGAATTCTCAACCTGGTCCCACCGACTGCAGATGTCGCAAGGTATTACAGTGTGATTGAGTGGTCTTGGAGCAACGATGGCCCAAAGGTCTATCCATATAACAGCTGATGGTACATATTACACAAGTTGGTACACCGCCCACTTCTCATCAATCTTCTTCTCTCCCTCTCCGGGCCTACTCCTCCTTCTTCCACCCTCCCTGCCAATCATTCATATGGTCCAAAATAATCTTGGCCGCCTGCGACGGCGAGTGCTGCCGCCCCAGCGCCTCGACAAAGTCGCCCTCGGGGTCCATCAGGTAAAAGTATATGCTGTGGTCCACCAAGTAATCCTGGCCCGGCTTGACGTGCTGCGGCGTGCTGAAATAGACGCGGTACAGCTTGCACATGGCCTTGATCTCGTCGTAGGTGCCCGTCAGGCCGATGAACTTGGGGTGGAACTCGGACAGGTACTCCTTGACCACCTTGGGGGTGTCGCGCTCCGGGTCGCAAGTGATGAAGAGGGGCAGGACGGAGCCGGGGCGCTGCTTCTCGACGAGGTCGTACATCTGGGCCATCTTGTCGAGTTCGTCGGGGCAGATGTCGGGGCAGTGCGTGAAGCCAAAGTAGACCTGTGGCAGACATTGTCAGCTTTTTCTTGTTCTTCTTCCCTTGCGACATTGTACGGCTCCACGAACCAGTGCGTAGCGACCTTTCATATCCTCGCTGGTGAACTTGTTGCCGTTCTGGTCGGTCAACTCGAATTGTCCTCCCACCTTGGGCCGTCCCATGCCCTTGGTCGCCTCCGCGATGCGCTTGCGCTCCATGCGCTGCTTCTCGGCCTCAAAGTACCATGTCAAACCAACACCGGTTCCAACGAACAGCAAGCCCGCCTTCCATGAAAAGGGCTGGTTCAGACATCCAGTCAGCATGACCATTCTCAATTATAACGGCACCCCAATACTCTAGATAGAGACCATACCCCTGCTCTGTATCTGCTCTTTGCCTCCTCTACGGTCTTAAACGTCTTCGTCCTCCTTTGCGCCGGGGAAGGCCTCGTTTGGAGCATGCTCGGCGCAGCGGCAGTCGGCCGGGTCTGCTTAGGAAACGTCGATTGGGAGATGCATCGTCGGCATTGTGTCGAAGTTGTGGAGGAAAGAGACTTCCACAGAAGCCTCGTAGTGGCTTGCGACATGGTTGAGGTAATTGAAGGTTTAATCAATGAGATGATGCAGGGCGACCGGGAAATCTGGGAGCCTTCGTCATTCGAAAATCGTAAGACTCCAAAAGCTCTCGGTGAGCTTGGGCCACCTTCCAAAGTATTGTGGGTCGGAAGAACCATTGATGCGGAATTCCTTCCCAATTGTCATGTTCACCGAAGCAGACCGAGAGCCAGCCAATTTCACCGAGATAGCTGTGGGTCTTTTCTTAATGCTGGACCTTCCACTCTCACTCACTCACTCTCATTCTGTAACTTCACTCTAGTGAACCTCAACACCGTGTATCACGTAATAAACGAAATTGTCTTTCATTTTTCTTTTAACTAAAACTCACTCTTTGTTCTCATACTGCGCTCTCGATATCTGTTTTTCACTTCCAGGTCGTCACTGCTGTAAAGATATATGCTGGAAGCCATGGATTCAGACGTGGAGCCAAAGATCAAAGGCGGCGAGGATGAGGATCTCGAGATGGCAGACGCGCCCGGCCAAGTTCCCACCACATTCCAAACGGCACATCAGAACACAGAAGAGGAGAAAACGGATTTCAATACGGCGCCGTCATCACAACCCGATTCTTCTCTCCCACCTCCAACTAGAGAGGCTTTCTCTCCTTCCACCATTCTAGAAACCACCGAGAAGCCATCGGAATCTCAAAAGATGGGCCCGAAGAAGAAGGGAACCGCTGCGGTCAAGAAGGTGCCGAAGAGACCCAAGGGTGGCCCATCGAAATCAAGCAAGCCCAAGAAGCAGACCGACGCAGCGTCCACAACATCATCCGCCAATCTACACGACGACTTGGCAGGAGGTTCCGACGATGAATCTGACAACGGACCGTATTGCATCTGCCGCGGCCCAGACGATCACCGGTTCATGATCTCGTGCGACATGTGCGACGACTGGTTCCACGGCGAGTGCATCGGCATGAGCAAGGAGGTTGGCGAGAACCTCATTGAGCGCTTCGTCTGCCCTAACTGCTCAGACGGCGACCAGAACGTCAGTCTCTTCAAGAAGACGTGCTCGTACAGGAACTGCATGAAGGCGGCGCGTCTCTATGATGGTCCGGAGAACAGTAGCGTCTTCTGCAGCGATGAGCATGCGCACATGTTTTGGGAGAAGAGCATCGCGGCCCTGCCGAAGAAGCACTCATCCAAGAACGGTTCGCAGGACGGACTTACTCAGGAGGAGGCCATGGGTCTGTTGGCTAGCACGCTTGCCGGTGTCGACCCGGACGATGGCAGATGGAAGGTCCAAACCAAGCCGTTTGCTCCAAAGAAAAACGGAGGTACGCAAATGAGTTTAATTGCTCAACTGGATTGCTCAACTGGATTGCACAATTTGACTAACCACTTCTTGCAGCTGAAAGCCCTGAATCCAAGACCAAGAATCTTGTACCGGCGTACCTCACCGAGGAGGAGAAGGAGATTCTTACAGTCTCAGCCGCGGAGCGCAAGAAGCTGGGCGAAGAGGTCCTCCTCTGCCAAAAAATGCTCCAGATTCTCGAGTGGTCCAACGACCGGCGAAAGGCCCTCATTGCCTCCAAGCAATTCGAAGACGCGGCGTGCGGCTACGACTACCGCCTCGACCAGGTGGGCGTCGTGGGCCCCTTTGCCAACTGGCTCAAGTCGGACGAGGCCAAGGAGATCTACAAGGCGGGCAACATCGACGTCGGCAGCCGTCTGAGCGGCGAGGACAAGAATATTTGCGATAAGAAGCGCTGCAAGCCTCATCAGGGATGGTACTCGATCCACACTAGAGATGTGAAGTACCAGATGAAGCTTTTGGCTGTGGACGCGAACACGAGGCTCGACGAGGAGCGCCGCATCAAGGAGGCGGCGGCGGAACGGAAGCTGAGGAAGGAGGCGGAGCACAATACCGTGCAGCGTGTTTTGCCGGATGGGACTCTGGGTCCGCCCATAGCTACATGAGATGGCTTTGGTTTCGATTCAGTTTTTGAGATTTGTCATAAGGCGATGGCGAGGACAAGGCGTTTCTGGGGTCAAAAAGGCTTGAGATATCGCTGTGCCCAGCGAGAATACCTAGGTTGTGGCTCAACACTGCGACAGGGAGGCAATGTAGTCTAGTCACTTTGGAGTGCTTTGAATAGATGGCCGAAAGCCGTCCACAATCACAATCACGACTTGATACAATTCCCAGCATGGCGGTGATGGATAATGTTCTTAATCTGTGCCTTCACCCACTGGCATCAATGCCATTCAACTTCCCTTCTCTTTGCCGGTTACCATTTCTCTTCAGTTGACAGATTTGTTCACCATGCGAAGCCAAGAAAGCAAAGACATAATACCAAGAAATGAAGCATTCTGTGGAACCATAATTCTAGAAGCAAGGGATTAAACATCTTTCAAAGGATATTCACCTCGTACAAATCGCCAGTGACTGAGCACCCCGGACACGCCAAGACGTCAATTCGGCCCGCGACTTGTCTCTGCTTGTCTTTGATCCTTCAACTTTCCCACACCAAATAATCTCTCAGCCATTTTCCCATCTTCTCATTTGCCATACACACTCATTTTGGCATGCTCCCCGCGTCATACACCAAGCAAAGCAACCACACCAAGAATGCGACAAGAAATAACAAAGCCCCTGAATGTACGGATAAAGCATTCCACCGGGTGTCCATCATGATATTCCACACCCAATGGCCCTCCGTTGCCCCATTTCCCTTGCCGCCAAGCACAGAGCCGAGGAACCCGTTCTGCCCGTCTGGGGTGTTCTGCTGTGCCTCTCTAACCATCTCGGGGCTGGCGCGACCAGACTATCAAACCCCAAATCTCCAAATCTCGTAAAAACAACGAGCTCTCAAGGTGGCGCGAGGTCTACCTACCAGTATTATGCAGTCAGGCTAGCTCCAACGGCCCCAGATAGCCCTGCTGGGCGTGGCTTCAAAGAGGCATTTGCTTTCTTTCCCCATTTTGGCGGCTGTACTAGAGGAGACCTCCCGCTGGTTGCCCATTGACAGAAAAGGACGTGCGATCCCGTCGCCGTTTGGCATCTGACAGCTCCGGCCGACGATACTCTGCTTTCTTCTTTCGCCTGCAGTCATAACGGCCTTCTGTTGCTACCGACCCATATCCCCGGTTTCTCGAATGACTATTCGAACGTCTGCCAGGATAAGCTTCTCCGCATAAGAAGCAGTCTGCGGGGGTGGAGCAGACGTAAACAACAGGGACTCGATCTCCAACCACAGGCGTCCGTTTCTCGAGGGAGTTGAAAGCTTTGGCCGCCCCTCCCCCATCCACAGGGATGAAGCTATCCACGACGACCTTGGCCCTCGCGGCCCTGGCGTCGGGAGCCGTCTCGCAAAAGGTCATCTCGGCCAACTTCCACAGGATCCAGCTCCCCGTGGACCTGGTCCAGATCACCCGCCGCGACACCCTCACCCTCGCGGCGCTCAACAACATCACGGGCGGCGGGTACTACTCGGAAGTCGAGATCGGCACACCGGGACAGAAGGCGCTGCTGCACGTCGACACGGGCAGCAGCGACACGTGGATCGTCGACAAGCAGGCCGACCTCTGCACGAGCACGAAGCTGCAGCGCCAGTACGAGACTGGATGTACCGAGACGTATAACTCGACGGCGAGCTCGACGTACAAGGTCGTCGGTCAGAATGGGTTTGATATCACGTACCTCGACGGCAAGAACATCAAGGGAGACTACATCTCGGATGTCGTCAGCATTAATGGGAAGACGGTCAAGGATCAGCAGCTTGGTCTGGCGATTCAGACGGTCAAGGGCACGGGGTTGATTGGTCTGGGGTTCTCGCAGACTGTGGCGACGAAGCGCAAGTATCCTACCATTCTCGACAACATGGTTACGCAGGGCGTCATAGGCAGAAAAGCCTTCAGTATATGGCTGGTAAGGGAGGCACTCTCCAACTTTTCATTCTCCAGCATGTCCACTGACAGTGACGGGTAGAATGATCTTTCGTCGTCTGAGGGAACATTACTATTCGGCGGCATTGACACTGAGAAATACATCGGCTCGCTCACCACGCTCCCGCTCGTCAATGACCACCACTCGGGTAACATGACAAGCTACAGCATATCCATGACGGGCGTCGAAATCGAAACACCAGACGGCAAAACGGTCAACATGGCCGGGGACAACTTCAACGCCGCGACCGTCCTCGACTCCGGGTCGACTATATGCCTCCTCCCTGACCAAATGGCAAAGTCCATCTGGGTCAAATACGACGTCGTCGACGCCGGGTACGGCTTTATCGACTGCAAGTGGCGTGGCCCCCAAGGCGAGGGAATCTTTTTCGACTTTGCTTTCGCCGGCGTCAAGATCCGCGTCCCGATGGAGGAGATGGTCCTGGATAACCTGGACCCTATCATGGACCAGCTCAAGGGCCTCACCCCGTTCGACAAGCCCTGCATGTTTGGCATACAAAACAGCGCCACGTTCGACGTCAACAGCACAGAGTTTGCGCTTTTGGGCGACACGTTCCTGCGGAGCGCGTACGTCGTCTACGACGAGGCGAACCACCAGGTGGGCATCGCGCAGTCGAACCTCAACGCGACCCGGACCAATGTGATTGAGCTCCGGGCGGGCGAGACTGCCTTGCCGACGGCCACGGGTGTGGCGAGCCAGGCTAGTACGCCGGCGCCGACGTCGACGAGGGCCGGGACGGGGACGGGGACGATGACGAGGACGGCGGCTGCTGGGATGGGCACGTCGGTTGCGTCGGCAGGCGCTTCGACGCCGTCTTCGAGCGAGTCACCGAATGCCGCGTCACACCCTGGGCTGGTGGCCTCGGAAGCGGACGGGTTCCTGGTAATGGTGCTCATGTCTGTCTTTGCTGTCGTGGGCGCGGCGCTGATGGCGGGTTAATTCTTATATGCATATACTTGCTCATACTTTAAATGATAATGTAATTTGACGTCAAGATGCAGGCGCTCATCGTCACGTTGGGAACGGCTTCAAAGCGCGGCCATGTGGCATTCGCTGCATTTTCCTTCGGTCTGCAGAATGGTTCTCTTGAGATCGTGTTCTCAATCGAATCATCATTGAAGCTGTGATAGGCAGTCAATCGCAATGCAGACTGTCGTCTCAACTGCGGGATGTCACTGGTTAAAGTTCGAGCCCATCAATGGAGGAGGGGAACCGGTGGAGCGGTTGCACCCGAAGGGGAAATTTTTTTCACGCCGGTTTTTCGTCACCCGTGCCGAGCGGACGGTGCGCCGCGACCTTTTCAACCTTTTGAACGTCTCCCAACCTCATCCCGAACTCGGCTTCGAAAACCTGACTCATCCTCCGTTTTCTATTCACCAAGGTGCGCCAGATTACTGTCTACAAGGCTCTAACTTACATCGCTCACATCTCCCGACTTAGGTCGACCTCTCCGTCCCTTGTCGCGCTATAACAACTCGACTGCCCCTCCATTGAACCCCTCCAAAGCCGACAATTTCAACCCCTCCACCCCACATTCACTCACCTCATTCACACGGCCCTCTCACAATGGCGACTGCTAGCGTCACATCCGTCGACCTCACCGGCCTCAAGAAGATCGGCCAGGGCAAGGTCCGCGATGTTTTCGAGGTCGACGACAAGACGCTCCTCTTCGTCGCCTCCGACCGCGTCTCTGCTTTCGATGTCGTCATGAAGAACGGCATCCCTGACAAGGGCGCCATTCTCACCCATGCCTCTGTAAGGCTCATTCTCTCATTCCACACCACTCACTCGCTCACTCACCCGAATCATCTCACTCTTCACAACCCCTTCTCATTCTATATCCTCGAATCTTAGATCATGTGAGAAGTAATCTTTACTAATACGACTGCCCAACGGCACATAGGCCCACTGGTTCAAGGTCCTCACCGACCGAGTCCCCGGCCTCAAGACCCACTTCATCACCCTCGACCCCCCGGCCGGCCTGCCCGCCGCCGACGCCGCTCTCATCAAGAACCGCGCCATGCAGGTCCGCCGCCTCAAAGTCATCCCCCTCGAGGCCATCGGTATGTCTCAGCCTCATCCTTCTCATACCAAACCTTCTCGTGATTGTAAATATTGACTGTGAACCCCAACAAGTCCGCGGCTACCTCACCGGCTCCGCCTGGAACGAGTACAAATCAAAGGGCACCGTCCACGGCATCCCCGTCCCCGCCGGCATGCAACAATCCCAAGCCTTCGCCACGCCCCTCTACACCCCTTCCACAAAGGCAGAACAAGGCGAGCACGACGAGAATATCCACCCGGACGAGGCCGTCAAGCTCGTCGGCGCAAAGTACGCCCACCGCGTCGAGGAGCTCGCCCTCCAGCTCTACGCCGCGGCGCGCGACTACGCCGCCGAGCGCGGCATCATCCTCGCCGACACCAAGTTCGAGTTCGGCGTCGACCCGGACACGGACGAGGTCGTGCTCGTGGACGAGGTGCTCACGCCCGACAGCAGTCGGTACTGGCCTGCTGCGGGGTACGCCGTCGGCCGCGACCAGGAGAGCTTTGATAAGCAGTTTATCCGCAACTGGTTGATTGAGCAGGGGCTTAAGGGCAAGGAGGGCGTTGCCCTGCCCGAGGATGTGTGCAAGGCTACGGCGGAGAAGTATAAGGATGTGTTTGTCAAGTTGGTGGGGAAGAGCTTTGATGAGGTTGTTGCGTGAGGGGAGTGCTGAGGAGAGTGGAATTCGTGTTTACTATCAGTTACTTGCTACACAAAAGCCATTAGATATGCCGCCAAAACTAAATGGGAATGGAATGAGAAAAGGAGAGATGTTCCTTGATGAGTAGTGCTGAGATTTTTAGACATGCCCGTTGACTTGTCAATTGTCAAGACCATCCGCCGGGCAGGATGTATGGATGACACTTGGTGACTCGAAAAAACATGGCTTCGTGTCCCTGAAATGAGAGCAGCAGCAGATGAGCCGTGCTCTGAGGACTAGAACCCAACACCCAAAGGGCTCAAGACAGAGCCAACAAGCGAACAGTCACTCATCGTTATCAGATACCAAGTGCCGATAAACACGTGATGCTTGCAAGGGTCTCTTGAACAGCGTCTTTGTCCACGATCCCAACCAACACTCATTGTGTTCGGAAACCCCCAACTTGAGCTGAACATACCCATGATTATAAGCTTAACCTCGTAACTGCATCTTTATCCAAATTGATAGGTTATCAAGATGGGTTCTCATGGTGAAACGGTACCATCGGCGCCTACAATAGCCTTTGGAACCGATATTCGAGAGCAATGCTTCTCTTTTGCTAAGAGCTACCATCCTCTCAACCACGGCTCATTCGGGACTTTCCCTAAAGAAGTCCGAGAATACCAAAGACGATTACAGGACGAGAGCGAGGCGAGGCCAGACACGTTCATGCGATATACCTACCCCAAGCTCCTCAGGGAAAGCAAAGCCGCAATCGCGCCCCTCCTCGGAGCGGACCCTGGCGAAGTCGTTTTCGTTCAGAACGCCACCACGGGGGTTAACACCGTGCTCCGAAACATGAAGTTTCAGGCTGGCGATGTAATCGTTTACTTCAATACGATATACGGTGCCTGCTTCAAGACTATTCAGTCACTTTCGGAAGATCGGCCACTATCGTCGCACGCGATTGAGATTGCGTACCCCATCGATGACGACGAAATTCTACAGCGATTTCGATGTGCCGTGGAGGAAGTGAGAATGAAGAGAAAGACACCGGTACTTGCAATGTTCGATAGCGTCCTCACAAGCCCCGGGGTCAGGTTCCCATTTGAGAGATTAGTGAAAGTTTGTAAGAACCTTGAGATCTTGAGTTTGGTGGACGGCGCCCATGGTGTCGGCCACATTGATTTGACTCATCTTGGTGATGAGGTTAGGCCTGACTTTTTCATCAGCAACTGCTACAAGTGAGTCAAGCCCCTCTCTTATTAAGATGAATGAAATCTTGACGCTCATCTCCGGTCTAGATGGTTGATGGTCCCGAGGGGGTGCGCCGTCCTCTACGTACCATTCCGGAACCAAGCCATGTTCTCTTCGACGGTGCCCACATCATGGGGCTACGAGATCGAAGAGATTCGAAATAAGATGAATGCGCGAGACTACTTCTCAAAGTTGTTCGACAAGATCTCTACAACAGACAACACACCCTATTGCTGTATACCCGCGGCACTCGAATTCAGGGCCCGAGTCTGCGGTGGTGAGACGAATATTCGGGAATACTGTGAAAAGATTGCGCGTCAAGGAGGCAACGTAATGGCAGAGATACTCGGTACAGAAGTCCTCGGCCCATCATCCGCTTCGTTTCGGCAGTGCTGCTTCGTCAATGTTCGCCTCCCCTTGACTTTGGCGGACCTCAACGTCGAAGCGTCAGCGGGACGGGAAATAGCGAAATGGATACAAGAGCTGACGCCGGCCGAGTACGAGACTTACATCCCCATCAAGTTCTATGCAGGCGGCTTTTGGTGCCGGATCAGTGGTCAGGCGTACCTCACGCTGGAAGATTTCGAGTGGGCGGCAGAAACTTTGCTCCTAATCTGTAAGCGGGCAAAGGCTGGGGAGTGGAAATGAACACTGAATATGAATCTTCCATGCATGTCCGAGTGCTACTTGAAATGAGCAGGTTCCAATGAGATTCCATGACAATTGCCTTTCTTCATATATCAGGATTTAGTGCTACGCACATCCATGAACCCCCTGGGGTAGCTATCGGATTTCAATGGAGTATGATGATCATTGCCAAGTGCCAACGTGCGCTTACTATCGAAATCAGTAGTAAATCAGTGTACTCGAATCATTCGCATTGACAGAAGTAGGTAGAAGCAGGTTTCGATGCTTGCTCCCATACTTCTCAAGTGCCTTGATTTGAAGCATCTCGCTCTTGAAAGACAGGAGGGAAAAAAAGAGCAGATATCTCTACGCTAGAGAATTGAAAGATTGTGTATAAGACCTTAGACGGGAGAGAAAAAGCCTTGTCAATCTGCATCAGCTGGAACTTCCTAACAACCGAATTCGGGCAAACATGTTTAGTATTCCCACGGGGAAGCAGAGTTACCCTCATGTTGAATAATAGGGTCTCAGTGGCGCAGCAGAGCCCAGGCTTCCTCCTCAAGGCACCATGTCAAGCCTATGCATATCATGCACGACGCCCATGGTAAGTGCATAATGGGCGCCTATTCTTGTGTGGCGCTATCTTACTCGCGGGCTTTGATGCATTGTAATCCATTAGGCAAACAACTGCCTGGCCGGCTGACCTGCCACATGCCCGTTTAGGGACTTCATTGGCACCGTACATCAACCCATGTCGTGTATATTGAGCCGCGAAGATGGAAGCGCACTTTCTAGCCATCAGATCCAGGGAGTCAGCCAAGGAATTGGCAGCCATTTTATAGTTAGCCCGGCTGCCTCATGCGGCCTGATCCAACAGCGCGCCCAGTCATCTGGTCCGCAGATGAAGACGTATGTATAAGTGTGTTCGCAGAAAGATACGAATCCTTCAATTCTGTTTAATACATTGGTACAATCGCTATTACAAGACCGCGCCGTCTCACTTATCCTACCCCACCAAAGATTCTAATGGAGAACGATCTGGATTCCGACACACCTTTCACGCCTCGCGACCGTCTGCTGATCGCGGGGCTGACCAACCAAACCGAGTATCGAATCGAACGCCGCGAGGCTGAGATCTGGGCTGTCAGAGATTGCAAGTTTCTCATACTCGATGAAGAAATAGACTTGGTTGATGGGAAAGGAAAGCAGTCAGAGCCTTGTATGCCCAAGCCACAGGACGAACTGCACGAGGAGAGATCCGGCATCTCGAAACGGCCTATGGAGCGTGGCGACGACAGAACTGCCCACGATAATAAGAGAAGGAAGGGAAAGGAAATTCAGAATGATGATTGGGAGATGGAGGAATCACCGTCAGGGGCACGGCTTCAGTTTTGCCACAATGTCGAGCCCAGATATGCCCCCTCGTCAACCCCGAACGGGAATGGCCCCCCTCTGGAGGATTTTGAATGCGTTATCTGTGCCCACTGCCCAGAGTTCCCAAACGACAGAAAAGCAAGCCGTTTCCGTCTCTACAGACCGAGAGATAAGTTCCCGGAGTTATTTGAGAACGGCATACCTTCAGCAAACAACATCTGCGCGCACTATCTGGCCATTTCTTACTGCTGGCCTCCTCAACAGAAAGACGACGACGGCAATACCATTGAGATCCCCAGAACATACAAAGTCCGCGACCTTAATGGAGTCGTCCGCGCAAATAGAGCCGTGGACGATATTCTTGACCGTGCTGTAGACGTCGCGAACAGTTTCGGTCTCCGCATGATCTGGATCGACCAAGAATGCCTTCCCCAGCCGCCTCAAGATGCCGAGTCTCCCTATAAGGAGGATAAACAACTTGGAATTCAAGCAATGGACATTATTTACAACAGGGCGTTTGTTACCGGCGGCCTGCTAGACGTCGCTATGTCGAGCTTGCAACAGCTGGAAAAGCTCCGGGGTTTGATTTCGAAGACAAGAAATTCAGGTACCAATCGCCTAATTACGAAAGAACAAGACCTGGAGATAATCATAGCATTTCTCCAACAAGTCAGGAGGGATCGATGGTATACCCGTGCGTGGGTAGTTCAGGAAGCTATCAGTGCTGGTGACAACCTCAGTCTTGTTTTCAAACGTGGCGCTGGACTGCCCGAGCGATCGAGGCCTCGAATACCTAGCAAAAGGAGTGGCCTGCCGACTCATTCGCTTGAGAGCGAGGACCAAAGACGCGGTCTACCGTCCGACGTTGTTTGCATCATGGTACACGAGTTCCGTGACATTGTTCAGGCCGCGAAGACATACCTACGACAACATTCACTCGAGGGAGACGAGTTCAACTTGTTCCGCGAGGGAAGGATGTATGAAGCCATGGGGATTATTGCCGAGGTTGAGAGCTTGCATCCTCCATTCTGGAAACCGAAACACGATAGCTTCAAGTTCGGGGCGCGAAGTGCCATTTCGTTTGGCATCCGACCCACCGTGGACGCAGCCGGCGCCCTGACGTTGCTTAATACAAGAGGATGTTATCATAGCGAGGACCGCATAGCCATCATGGCGAATATGTGTGGTTACGAACACCGACTAAATCCGGAAGCCGTTGCCAAAGACCGCATCTCGCTCCGTGCAGTGCTTCTGACCTTGTCACTCATCAACAACGACTTCTCTCTGCTGGTTCCGGAGGCATACTCAGGCACCGTCCTGGGAGACGCCAACGATGAACCAGGTTTCGATCTTCTCCAAAACATCCGACCAGGCTGGGTGCATCCTTTTGATGTTGGCTTGCAGTTTCTGGATCAAGTAACCATCCGTGGATTCGATCTTCCAAGAGCCATACTACGCGAGAGGCGGCCCGGCATACTTGGGGTGCCGGCGTATCTTTGGGATGTTGAAACCCCGATCGACCTGACCCCAATAAGGGTTCTGTGGCTCGAAGAATGGCTCAACTTATGTTGCATCAAGACCGAGCTTCTCCCCATCCCGAATGAAGAACCGCATGCGCGTCGCCTGCGGAAAGATGTGATATCTGAGCGGATGGACTGGCCAAAGTCGGAATGGGTAAAGCAGCAGTTAGCTGGGAAGAAATTCCTCAGTAGCGATTCCGCGTTTTGGAGCGGTATCGAACAATACGCAGGCACAGCCAAAATATCCTTGTGTCTTCTCGCGAACAGGTTGGACGCTAGCCCGACTCGTCAGGCAGTGTTTGGAAGACTTTTCTTTGACATTCTTCGATTTCTGCACAACCAATCCACAGTTGAACCAAGGGCTCAAGGAGTTGCCAACAGCATATGGCAATCCATGCGTGTGGATGCAGTCCACGAAGACCTCCCAGCTTTGCCCGACGATGTCACCGAAGAACTCTTTAACCATCCTGCTGTACAGCGCAACAAGTTTCGCACCATTGCGCTGGACAGAACCCGAACTGGAGAGTATTACCAGATCTGGTTTATTGCTCGCATCATGATGTACGGCAATCTATACGTAGGGACCAATAAGCCAGAACCCCGTGACGACAAACTTGCCGGCAAACAAGCCACTGCATTGAACTCGGAGGCCAATCAAGCAGATCAGCATGATGTTGGTGAGCACGACAACATTTCAACTTTAGCAAAGAAATCTGCAGTCAACTGTTGCATCATGCACCGTCAATACAACAGATCAATCCTCTCATACGTCTTTGCTGCCGATGAAATCCATCATTATTGTCACCTACAGACGAAAGCCGAGAAGGACTCTAGGCTTGGAGGTCTTCACGCACAGCTCACACCTGGATCGATGGTGTCTTTCATGGAAACAATAGGCGCATACCAGGACTCTGAAGGGGAGATTTGTCGGGCAAAGGAGCTTTTTTCTATCTTCGACGTAGACGGGCCATGTGAGATCGCTGTCCCCTACGACAATGCTTGGGAAATGGTTCCCCATCCGACGATGAGGAGCATGAGCGTCTGCTGGGTCGTTGAAATCGGCAGCGCTCCTGATGAAGGCGAAGTATCGCGTGTAGAGGAGGTGACGAGAATGAGCAATGGGGCCCCATCGTCGTCCGCCAGTAGTTGGAGGAAAGAATCTGTTACTATGAAAGTGTTGAACAAAGTCAGAGGTTTCTGGCCTATCATGCACACACATCCGACTGAGAAGTATACGCTTGTCGATATGGGATGTTAGGAATAATTCAATCTTTCAACATCGACCGAAAGCTCCCCTTCCCGGTCTGCTGACAACACTTGTGATGTCGCTGCCACGCCATAGATCCTTTGAGCGCTGTAATTTTGAGCAATGAAATTGTTTCTGTCTTTCTGCACATGTTGGCGCTATCAAATGGCGTTCCAGACTTTTCAGGAGTCTGGAAGCTCGAGACACCGTCCTCAGCCAAAAAAAAAAATTGAGTCGTTAAGTGCTTTCATTACCCCATCCTCCGTTTTGAGATAAAACTTACAACGCCAAGTTCAGATTACTGGGCTTCGAGGAGATCACGTGAGATTTATTTGTCTCAGTAGATCATGACACTATGCTTCACAGATCTATGAATCCAGCCTAGTACTTATTCAGCTTTCGATAGAAAGTGATATTGTTAGTTACTGCTCATATGAGCGCACGGATGAAGCCAGTGGTTGGTCAGTCCCCTCACTTATTGTACGTATAAACATGAACAAGGAAGGATTTCTTACTACTTTAATAAGAAGCAACTATCTAAAAATTATATAGAAACTGGTCAACAAGCTGTGCTATGCCACCCACAGTCGCCAAAATGGTCGCCCCCGCGGCGCCTAAGCCCACCCGCCCGAGCGTGCCGAAACCTTTCGCCCAGGTTCCGACGGCGGTCGTAGCTCCCCTGAACACCTGCGTATTCTGGGCGACTGGCAAACCAGCGGTGAGGGCGCCGGTCATGATATCCATCACCAGGTCCAGCGAGGTCACCTCGTTGTGGGTGCCATATGCCCAATTGTCAGCGGCGTTAGTAGCAAAGTTCTGACCGACGTTGGCGCTTGGGTTCAAGCCTAGACGGAGTGCGAATTGCTTCATGGCCAGAACGCTCGGGCTGGGACGTGCCGCGCCGCCGGTAGCCTCAGCCAACGCCGACGTCTTCGCTCCCTGCGCTCCATCTGACGCTGCCGTCGCCCCATAGTTGGTGCTGGTATTGGACCGCGCAACGCGTGATGTCGATATTAATGGCTCGTCCGGGTCGACGAGCGATTCAGACCTGCGCGTGGCGAGACCGGCGGCTTCCTGCTCCTGTTCGACGAGCATATTGGCATTGGCGCTGGTGTCCTCGGCGACCTCGGGGGCTACCACGTCGCTAAGGTCGGATACAGCGCTCCCAGCCGTCGGCCCCGCATCTGCCGCCGCCGTCTCGAGGCTACCCGCCGCCGCCTTGGTCATGAAGCCCGCCCCACTCCAATACGCGCCCAGTCCGCCCGTGATGGCGCCCGTTACGGCTCCCACGGCGCCTCCGATGGCCACCTCGACCGCCCAGCCCTTGAAGAAGGTACCCGCGTCCGTGACGTTGCGGTGCTTCCACGCGTACGTGACCGACGCCATGCCGGCGCCTAACAGGAAGCCTGACGCGCTGGAGGGCAAAAATTGATAAGTCAGCATGGTTCGGCGGGGAACGGTGTAAGTCGTCGAGAATCAAACAATCAAGAGAACGAAAACGAAACGATGTTACTTACGCGCCTAACCCAATCGCAGCAAGGATTGGAAGATCCGCGCCCAACGTCACAACAGTAAGGACGATAAACGCCGCGATCAAGAGCACCCCGACCACGATTGCGACCCAGAACATCCACGAGAAATGCCCAGTTGGGTCCGTATGGTTGACTGGATCATTATTCTCGAAAGCCATGCGGTTCATGCCGTCCGGATATAGCGTCTGCCGCAGGGTGAGGATGGAGTCCGGGGTGGTGAAGCGGCCTACAATGGGGTCGTACATGCGCGCCCCAAAGTCCAGCAGCTCGCTCAAGTCGTCCATGACGGCTCCCTCGAACTCACGAGAGCTGCGCGAAGTCTTGCTCCCGGTTGACTTGATCGCCTGTCCGTAGTCGTCGTAAGTGATTTGTCTGATCAGACGCCTGTCGGAGCCGTCAAAGACGTGCGTTATGCTCCCTTTGTGGTTCGTCATGGGCACTTGGAATTTCCGTGATTTTTGGTCCTCTATCGGAGGGGACCCAGCCACGGACGGCATGATTTTGGTCCAAACTGTGACTGCTGTCTGATCTGGAAATTTGAAGTCCTTTTTGACGGTCTTCGAGCCGTCCTTGCTGAGAATCTCCTGGTAGTCTGGGCCCGCATTGATCTCGATGGACCCGTCAGGGGCTTGTCGAACGACGGTGAAGAGGCCGTGATCCGAGAACATGATTGATGACCCCTTCGAGCTTGTCGCAGAGCTCATTTTGCCATTCTCGTCGTAGGTGTAGCTCATCTCGGGGCCATCACCATTCTTGCGCGTCGTCAGACGACCGGCAGCGTCCGAAGTGGACCAGAAGATCGTCTTGCCGTCCCGGGAGCCTTCGATTCGGGTGAAATCCTCGTGCGATGAGTAGCTCAGTAACATACCGTCCTTTTCTGTCAAATCTCCCGACGAGCTGTACGAATATTTGCGGTGGATACCTTCGGCACTGTGTGACGCGACCAGTCGCCGATCAATGTAGTCGTACGCGATGGATGAGCCGCTGACACTCTCGTTAAGGCTGCTTACCTGGTCGAGGGCGTTATACACCAGGTTATTATCGACCAGCCTCTTACCCTGACCCTGCTTTTGTCCTTCCAGTAAAGTCATCCTGGTTGGCAGGCCCAGCTTGTCAAACGCAACCTCATGGTGCCACCCGCCCTGAGCCAACTCGGAACCACGGACTGTCCAGGCTGTAGGTGTGCCCGACTCGCTGAATGCAGTCGTAGATGCAGATATGTCCCAGCCGCTCTGCCTGCCGTCAACAGGAGGGGCCTGCATCTTCTTCTGGGCCAGCCTAAGTCCAGCGTAGGTCGAGTTCACCGTCGTCGAATCGGGCAGCGTCTGGGTCAGGATGCGGCCCAGACTGTCGTACGTCCATGTCGAGTTGAGCACTACAAATTTGGAACCATCCCAAAAGGGTACGTCGCCCGTCAACTTGAGGGATTGGCCCGTTTTACGCGCCGCTTCGTCGTAGGTGTATTCGTACTCGAGCTTCCGCACCGCCCGCGACGTCCCGGCCGCGTCGACTGTGTCTGGACTGCACTCGATCGTAACGCCGGCGAGCAAGCCCTTGCCGGTACCCGGCTCGTCGAACCGGAATCTCGTGGTTCGCATGACACCGCCCTTAGGGTCTTTGCCGACGATTTCGACCGTTCTTCCCACCGCGTCGTACGTTCGCTCCAGGGCCTCTCCGAGCACGTTGACCTCCCTAACGAGACGGCCGCCCGCGTCATAGGAGCGTGTCAGACCCCTCGTTCTCTTAAGCGGGTTCTGATATGGGTCGTTGATCTCGATGACGCAGCCTAGAGAGTTATACTTGCGCTGTTCGACGCGGCCGCCTGCATCGGTGAGCTCTACGAGCCGGCCCCGCCCATCATACTTCCATGTTTTGACTTGGCCGCTGCCGTTCCGTGACAGAACGATCTTGTCCTTGCCGTCCACGCTGGCAAACTCCTGATAATCCGTCTCAATGATGGACCTGGTACTCACCGGCGTGGAAAAATCCCCGATCAGCGCGGCGGTGCTGAAGTGGGTCGTGCGAGTAGACCCGCCCCGGCCATAGACGGCGTCTATAGCCGTAAACCCGTCGGCGGGGTTACTTGCCGGCCGTACGAGCAGCACCGCCCTGCCGAGGGCATCGAAGACGGAGAGTGTCGAGCGGGAGTTCTCGGGGGCCGTACTCCAGCTTGAGGGATCGGGCGCGTATAAGGTGCTCCTCACGACGGGATTGTTTCCCGTGTCGTACTCGAAGAACGCCCACGACCTGCTGGAGGCCACACCGCCGCCGCCACTGCTTTCCGCGTCCAACTGCTCCGCGCTGCGACGGTTGCGGCCCTTGCAGTCCACGAAGTGAGTGGCAGGTAACACCGGCATCGAAGACGGACCGGCGAACTTGGCCACGGATTTTGTGGGTGCCGGCTTCGAGGTCACCGGGTCAGTGTTGGTCGTCGCGTATGATGTCTCTTGGTAACGACAGAGTCTTGAAGTCTCTAGTATCTTGCCGAAGTCTTGGCTCTTGACGCTCGTCCCGGCCGGTCCTCCGTCCCACTTGAAGTCGTCCGTGTCGGACTTGGTCGCGGTGATCGCCTTGGTCCGCTCCCGGCCCCACTCGTCCACGGTGGTGGTCTGGATGACGCCCTTCTCCGACATGTGAGCCGACACGACGCCGTACCTTGCGTCCCACGCGTAAGCCGTCTTGAAATCTACGCCTGTTCCCTTGAGTGTGGTTCCGACGACATACTGGGGGTAGAGGTCATCATATGTCATCACCGTCGAAAGACCGGTAGTGCTGGTCTCGGCCAGCAGATTGCCAAAAGCATCATATCCAAGGGTGGATTCGACGAATTGCTGAGAGTCCGAAGACCACAAACGCTGTGTCGTGATGAATCCTTGGTCATTGTACACGAACTGAGTCAGACTGAGATCTGAGGACGAGTACGTGCTGAAGTCGTTGCTTGCCGCGTTGGAGGTCACCTTGCTGGCAGCGGTAAGGCCTTGGACGCCCAACCGAGTGGTGGGAGCGTACTGGCTCAACGTCCACCGCTCTCCGAGCCGCGTCTTATTCTTGGTGGGCTCGCTGATCTCATACGAGTACTCTACCGACCTATCCCTCGACTCGCCGTCATACCCAAACTCCGTCATCAAGAGGCGCTCCGCCACTTTGCCCAAATCATCAAAGTAAGTCCTTGCTCTGGATTTCTGTCTAACAATATAGCAGGCGGGTCTGCCACTCCGCTTAACTGCCTCGAAGCTGTTGGAGACGGACTTGAGCAGGATCAGTTCGTCCCCGGCCCACGTTGACTGGTGACTCGTTTCCAGCCCCTTGATACGTCGTTGGAGCGCTGTTGGAGAGCTGCCGTACGTGTCGCGGGTCTTGACAAGTCCGCAGAGAGGCCATTCCTGGAAGTAGGCCGTGAGAGCACGCACGCCAGACACGGTCTCGGTGCGCGAGACTTTCTCAAAGCTGGACCAACTTCTTCTCTTGACGTCAAAAGCACCGTTGTGGTAATTGTACTCGTAGTTGGCAGAGTAAGGAAGCGGATTGACGCTGGCATCGTTATCCTCGCGGACGCGTGTCACGAGGTAGGCCGGGATGGCGATACAGCGCACATTCTCATCGTCGCCGGCAGGACGGTACGTCTTGTAATCGACACCAGACTCGTATACCTCGGCCCGCGTGGCGGAGCCATATTCGATTGTGGACCGTAAACCGATCGGACTGGTCACGCTTTGGAGGTGGTCAGAGAGCTGGACGTTGTTGTAGATGGGGCGGATGACGGCGTGATTGTCGTATAAAGAGTAGGCGAGCCATCCACAGCGCGACACCCCGTTCAGATCAATAGGCGTCAGGTGTAGTTGGTCTGCGGGATCGCCCAGCGAGGCGCCGCCGGTCTGGACCAGAGGCTGTGAGAGGGCTTGAAATGAGCTCAGCTGGCCGTTACTGTTACCGACGGCCAAGATACAATTCCAGGTCTTATTGTCGGCGTTCGGGTATGCGTAGGCAATGCCACCAAAACGGGCGCTGGAGGGGTTCACGGCATAGACGCGGCCCAGGTCCATCGGTTTCGCCGAAGTGACGACAGAGGTCTGCTCGGGCTGCCGCGCAAAGTTGCCGTTGGAGTCGTGGAGAAAAGTCGTTGTGGTCATGGTGAAGGTGGCAGTATCTCCGCCGCCACAGCTGGCAACGCGTGCGGTGCAGACAACGATATCCAGACATCCGTCGCCGTTGACGTCGCAGACGGCCGTCGAGCGCCGGACCTTGTCCTCGGGCACGTAAGTCAGGATGGGCTGGGAGCTCAGGAGGCTGAAGGCTTGTCCTTCCGAAACGTGCTGCATAGAGCCCATGCTGATGACGTCTACCCATAAACATCGAGACCCAACACCGGCGGAACCTTCCATTACGTGGACGAGAGCTGGCGCGCAGGTCGTGTCGTTATGGAAGACAAAATGTTCGATGGTAAGCCCTCTTACCGGCCACGCAGGTGACTGGCGTGACGGAGGGATGGCTTTGGGCCGCGTTATCATGGCGGCCACATCATAAAAGGTGCGGAGGGAGTAGGTGCGAGCACCATGATCAGTGATCATTTGCAATATATCTATCTGACCGTCACCAGTGGAATCGGCGAGCAAGAAGCGACTGCCGTGTTGCCAGGCGAAACCGGACGTGATGATGATGGGCTTGTCGAACCCTTGGCCGTTGGCGCGCAGGACGGCAAATGACAGGGCATTTCTCTGGGGATTTCTGTACGGGATAACGAGGTCCGAACGGCCATCGTGGTTGAGATCGGCCACTAGAATATCGGGGATGTTGTTAACGTCTGTCCACGGCAACTGGACTGGAGCGTGCCCAGCATCCATGCCGAGGTTCTTGTCGTGAGGCCACTCCAGTTTTGGTGGTGTATACATCTGAGAGGACTGCTGTTGGTGTGAAGGCATCGCGGCCAAAGTGCGCACTTGGAAGAGGCCGCTGGGACTAGGCAGCTCAAGACAGACGAGGTCACTGTAGCCGCGACCTGTGGTATCAAGAGGGAGGATAGCGGCAGGGGCGGCGCCAGTACGCAGGGTGAAGGCACCGGCCGGATCCTGGGCGAAAGGCGATGTTCCGGTGGCCGAGTCATCAGCCGTGGTATATGTGAAGGTAGTCGGTGTAAGCGCGTTGTTCTTTGAGCCGCGCTCGGTGATGGAGGCGAGAAGAGACTCGCCGCTGGCAGGAGACAACTTGTAGGTAAGATCAAAGGCCCTGGCCAGATCTGACTGTTGGGCGCTGTCAGGACTGCCAACACGAGCCTCGATGCGCTCGAGCCTGTAGCCAATGTTGCACAGCTGACCATGGCGGACAACAACGGCACGATCTGGGCGGGTGTTGTAGAGGAAAGTCAACCAACAACGGCCCTTGTAGTCGTTGCGGGGATTGCTGGTGTACTGGATGGTGTCGATGTACGACACTTGCGCAGACCACGTCGACGATGATTCTTTCTCTGACGGCGGACGAGAGCCTCCAGCAGCCAGACCAGGAGACTGGGAATAGTGGTAGGTGACAGTGTTCCCGTGAACGTCTGTAGTTCTGCTGAGACGCCATTGACCGGGCAGCAGGCGACTGTCCGGCGTGGTGCCGTACTCTTTCGTGCGGCCATCAGTATCTAGGAGCTGGAAGCCTCCAGATGCCAGAGATGTGACGACCTGGCCCGCGTCGACCTGGGTACAGTACCGCGCGTCGCTCGTGCCATAGGAACCCTGGAAGCAGATGAGCTCTGCCCCATCGACGGCTAGGCGCCAGGGAACGGGCACCTCCTTGCCGGCGAGGAAGTCTGGGTGCTGGCGGATCGCGCGAGATGGCGCAACTCTCTCGATGGAAGACAAGCCCGCAACCGCCCAGCGGAGGCCACAAGTGCCGGCAGCATCGCGGGTCTGCGAGTACTGCAGGCTGAGCTTGGGAGTATTTCCCTGCCCCATACCAGAGGGGACGGTGATGGGGAAAGAATAGCTGGCGTGGCCATTGGCGTCAACGGCGAGAGCGCCTGAGGGTCTATCCATGAGTTTCCTGTAGGATGTACGAAATAGTACCGTAATTCAGTCCGACGATGTGCGACTGCTAGCTTCGTCTCTTCGATTCTGCAATTCTGTAACAAAAGTAAGTGGTGTGTAGTGAGTGTTTGACAGAGAGATTTCCGACTTAGATACTTACACGACGGTTGGATGAATAGGTTAGTTGACAAACAGACACAAAAGACGAATACGAAACAATTAGTCTGTCCCTTTGGACGTGAAGCTTTTCAGCTAAGCCGTGATGCGCCACAACTCTATCCCTGTTTTCAGCCGTCGACGCTAGGTTTTCAGCTCACTCGTGACGTCTTCTATCTTTTGACAAGAACACTCCGTGAAATTCCAGCTGCCTTTCGTAGTGAAAAGCGCAGTATTGGTGAGAGGACACCTTTCTTTACCCCGCCAGCTCGGAGGCGAAACCACTCTGCGATGCTCATAATACTCCGTCTTACCCCGTTCGATATTGATTGCCAACCAGCAAGGTAGTTGTCAGAATAGCACAGGCCAAACAACACTCGCCTACACACACGCACACACAAGACTCTGATCTTAGTCCGCAACAATTCACCATGTCTAGCGACGAGGCCACGGAAGCGCTGCTGCTCTGCTACTTGGATGGGAACAAACTCATCTTTAGATATCTCCGTCGCAACGCAGGAGCGGACAACAGCTCGAGCTTCGCGACCATCAGCAAGCCGTATCCGCTCAACTTGAGCAATTCGCTATACAGCTTACTCCCGGGCTACCGGCCTTCGTGGCCCATGCCGGTCAACTACAATGACAATATCGAGATCAAGTCCACCGGCGCTCTGACCTGGCAGGACGGTCTCGCCCAGCTGCAAATGGTCGTCGTTGTCAGCCACGGCCAGCAGAGCAACGATGCCTCGCACCCGCGATACAAGGCCTTTGTGCTGGAGCTCACCCCGAGTCTGGACATCTGCTCCGCTGCGTGCCTGCCCGCGGGGACTGAGACGGGACCAGCTACTGACTGGGCCAACCAGCCCTGGTCCGCCGGCGTCAAGCAGGACGACTTCTCACACATGTCTGCGAGCATCCTGACCGTCAACGGCCGGCTTTTCGCCACGGCCTCGCCCTTCTTCCAGCCCATCGAGCACAACCTGCTAGTTCCTGACGCCAACGACCCGTACCGCGAAGTCGCTTATGACGAACGCAAGTGGCCCAGGGCCGACGACCGCTTTGCCTCACTCTGCTGCCGCAAAGACTCCGGTGACCGTGACTTCTCCGTGCCTACGCGGGGCGGGGCCGCGTACTTGACCGGCTACCGCCCGTCCGCCGACTGGTTCGCCTCGCCGATGTTGATTCCAAACGGACCACAAATAGACAACAGAGGCACAGGAAACGTCGGACCGCAGCAGCTCATCTACCTCGACAACTCGACTACCGTCTTTGCGCTTTATACCCCGTTCCCAGATGACAACAGCGGTCTGGCATCATCGAGAGTCATCACGCTCGGCTTCACCAGCGCCACTGCCATGGGCAGGCTCACCTCCACCTCGGCAGACACGCGGTGGTCCCTCCTCAACATCACCTCGGGCAGCCACGGCTTCCGGGCGGCCTGTGCCGTCGCCGTCCAGCCACCCGACCCGTCCGCTCCGCCGCTCCTTTACATCTTCGCCGTCGATTCCAACGACAACAACCAGGGCCGGCTCTGGTACATGACGCTGCCCCTGTGCGGCTACGACTCCATATACGGCCACCCGAAGCTAGAGCCGGGAACCACTACCATCGACGTGGGCGATCAGGCCGCTAGCAACGGCCTGCAATGGATAGACGGCAATTCTCCCCAGCCCATAAACGCTGAACCGACAAGGCCACTCAAGGTCGTCCGCTACGGCAACTCTCTTGGTGTGTTACACCAAGCTGGTAGCGAGATTCGGTTGCTCAGACTCGACTTGCAAAAGGATGGCACCCTTACTGATCCTGCCTACCCCCAATTTAAACACATGTATCGTCAGTATGCCAAAGTCACGTCCGAGAATTCGGCTGTACTGGTATCTGCTTGCGCCATGCCCCTCAAGTTTTGCAGCCGCTTCGTATAAGACCCCTGATACGCTCGGGCACGGGATTTGTGCGGTTAAGATTTGCAGATAAGCAGTTGTTGATATCGTAAACATTATTGACATCATGCTAAGGCAAGGTGGGTATCGTGAATCTAGGTGATCATATGGGAATGTATAGTCTGAGAGGAGAGAGCCGAGGATGAGAGGACAGAAAGAAACTGCAATCAACTAGACTATTCCATTCGTCAACCCTGTTATCTAATTTACGTTGAGAATAAAACAGTATTTTCTCTGCCAGACTTTACGCAGCCGGTACCCTCACTTTACCCATACTCGTGCCGACCAAACCCCGCCTAACGTCGCTCTTACATCCCCCATACTTTCAGGTTGTCTATTATCAAAGCAATGATGACAGTTCTGACGGCCTTCTTGCTCTGATTAGTCGATTACTCCACTTTTACTGACGCCAGCCTTGTGAGACGAGGGGATGTAGCAGCGAAGCCTGGCAGGCTGTGCTACAGCGCGTCAGGAGGTGATAAAGCAATGCTGCGTGACCAGGCGTGGAGCTGTTAATTGCACTTCTGCCTGATCCTGGCATAGGTACTGATAGAGGCGGCTGAAGCTGAGTAGGAGAAAACCAATCAATCATTCACATAGCATTCGAGGCTAGCGCTTACTCTTGCATGTCCATCCTGGAGATATTGGCGAATGAGCCTAAGAGCTGTGGTCCGACCGCTCAAGTCAGTTCTCATCAGCCGCTGGTAGGTTTTCAGAAGGTCTAGGTAAACCAGCGCGGGGATTGGTCGTCGTGGTGACGTGCAGTGCTTGTTGGTTTGTGGTTTGAGGCTTCCAGACATGCCTTGATAGGCCCAAAGCCGAGCTGGAGTGCGAACCCTTGTCAAAACCCAAGCACCAATGTCTTCCAGCCACGGACGCCACCTGATAGGTGTAAACCTCGAGAACAGTGCCAACGGAGGGGGAGAAATCTTTTCTCTTCGCCAGCTTCCGCTCTTTCGCCGGCTTCGTTGCCTAGTGCGAGGTCAGCAGCATCATGCCGACCGATCACAACCAGAACTTCAGGATACGAGGACTACCCCGTGGATATGAGACCAGGGCTAGTGTCCGTGATTTGGTCAAGGAAGTTCTTTCTCTCGAACCCAACGCAAGCGTCATTGTTCATTCGCTTGCGACTTGTCCTGTCAAACGAGACAATCGAGTCGCTACTCTCCGGTTCAATCCCCTCCCAGATTGCTTCTCGGATCGCTCTAGAAATGAATGGGTGATTAGCCTAACGAATGAGGATGACTCCGACTTTAGGGCACCGCTCATATTCGATACTCACTTCTCAGGCTTCACACCTCTTCAACGTGACGTCGAAACGAGTTGTAATGTAGAGTGAGTTGACGAGGATCTCACTGTGGCTAGGTATGCGACATTAACCCATACTCCAGTGTGATTGCTATGTCTGGCCTCGGAGGGCACGCCTTTGGTTCGTTCAAGGAAAGAGGAGGGCCTTTCATGTGGCTCCGAGATGCGCTTCCATTAGATATTCCAAATGCAAGGATATTAATATATGGATACGACACTCAACTTGTACGGAGCAGCTCCTTCCAAAACTTGTCGGATCTGGGCAGAGCTCTCCAGATTGATTTGAGAGGTATTCAGGTGTGTATATTGCGCCTGAAATCCGAGTCGCTGTATGTAGCTAATCTAGCATACAGGACTCAAAGCATCCCCATCCCATAGTGTTTATTGGGCACAGCCTGGGAGGTCTTGTCATCAAAGAGGTTAGCTCAATCCAGAGTACCACCGAAGAAGGGATTCATCAGCTACTGACAGCCTTGCTTTATCCATTCGTGCAGACTATAGTCAGGATGAAAGAAGAGACACACGAAGCGCATGCATCGATCCTAGACTCAATATCTGGATTCATATTCTTTGGCGTTCCTCATCAAGGCTTGGCCATCGAGTCACTCGTTCCCCTGGTCAAAAACCAGCCTAACCGGAGTCTACTTGAGTCGCTCAACAGAAATTCGGCACTCCTCCAACGCCTGGACAAAGAATTTAACAATGTGATTAATGCAAGAAGGCCGTCAATTGTGTCCTTCTACGAAACGGAGAAGTCTCCCACGGCTGTGGAAGTAGGTTCATCTGGTTCGGTTTGCCTCCGACGAAGTGCCTGCTTACACTTAGTTTAGGTAAATGGCAAGTGGGAGTTGTCTGGGCCTAGCGAAGTCTTAGTTGATGTCTCTTCAGCGACATGCTACAGCAATCAACGCCATCCGATTGACCGCAACCACTCTGAGATGGTGAAATACAGTCACGGACTCGACGTGTTCTACAGGCGTGTCATCACTGTTACACGAGAAATTCTGAGCACCAGTACGCAGAGCAGAACCGGTGCCAGAAGCCGCCAAGAAACTGCAGTTGATGGTGGGTAGTTAGATCCCAATCTTCGTCTAGACAATAAAATGACAGCTCTTGCAGCATCTATATTGCTTTCGGATGACAATAAGGGTACGCAACCTGAGGACCTACTGTAACAATTAGCTGACACGACTTAGACTGTCTCAGGTCACTTTCTTTCCGAGAACAGGAGTATAGGTACAGCGATGTTTATTCCACAAAGGACACCTGTGGTTGGCTTCTCGAGGATCCGGAATACCAAGCTTGGATGAATAGTGCGCGGGGTCTTTTCTGGATCAAAGGGAACCCTGGAACCGGCAAGTCAGTTCTCATGAAATTTGCAGTCACAACCATGGATCGCAGAGGGTCCGGAGAACTCGTTGTGTCCTTCTTCATTCACGGCCGGGGAAACCCTTTGCAAAAGACTCCCTTGGGTGTGTTCCGGGCATTGCTTAGCTCCATGCTCAAGTCCTTCCCACAACACCTCTCTCAACTCACTGAACGCTTCAAAGACCGGCAGGCGCGATTTGGGGCTTATGAAGAGAACCGATGGAATTGGACCGAAAGGGAACTTCAAGATTTCATGTCCGAGACTTTGACCAAGGGAACCAAAAAGTTGCCTGTGGTAATCTTTGTCGATGCCCTTGATGAGTCCGGGGAGGATGATGCGAAAAGCTTACTGACGTACTTCAAAACCCTCATGGACGACATAGAACGCGAACAGGCACAGGTTAAAATATGCTTTTCTTCGAGGCATTATCCTATCCTTGGGTACGAAACGATGTCAGCAATCCATGTGGAAGAGAAAAACGACCAAGACATCAGGCTAGTCGTTCGAGAACGACTCAAAGAAATTCAACCGGTCGCAAAGCGGCAACAGCTTGAGAATGAAATCTTGATGAAGGCTCACGGAGGATTTCAATGGACAATATTAATTGTTGCCTTGATACTCCATGGAAGCGCTATTGGTAACAGGGTCGAGAGTCTGCACAAAAGACTCACAACTATCCCAGAAGCCCTTGATGGGTTGTACGCTGATATACTAAGCGACGTCGATCCTGTCGAGCAACACCAAGTGACGAAATTGTTTCAATGGGTCTTATTTGCCGCGCGACCATTGTCTTCACACGAGCTTCGAGAAGCTCTTGCTATCGATTACAAGGACAAGAGTTGCAGAACTATTTCGCAACTCAGACAACACGACAACTGGACAGAGACTACGACTCAGTTCGAGAGAATCGTCACACATATCTCCAAAGGCCTTGTGGAATTCCGAACTCGCGAGATTTGGGAGCAATACGAGCCTGATGGAGAGGACTGGGACCGGGAAGCTCAGTTCGTCCACCAGTCAGTTGCGGATTATGTGCTCGAAAAATTCATCCGCCACGATTCTACCGGTCGATATTCCATTGGAGCTGGTCACTTTGAGATATCAAGGTCTTGTCTGAGCTACCTGACTTTGAGAGAAGTCTTAGAAGGCGCTCGGCTATCTTCGAATAGACTCTCAGCAAGGTTCCCGCTGATACCATATACAGCACAGTTCTTGTTCCACCATATTCGGGAAGTTGAACGTGCAGGAATCCCTCAGGAAGACCTTCTTGCGCGTATTCACTGGGGTCGGCAATCTGAAATCTTGAATAATATCGCGAGCCTATGGAGAGTGATGGATCCTGACAATATTCACGCACCTAAAGGATGGCCCTTTGTTGGGGCAACATCGCTTCACGTTTTGGTGGGGTTCGGCTCAGAGAGCTGTTTGGACGCATTTCTTGTCAAAGATGATGCAGAGCTAGAAGTTAGAGATGCGGATGGGAACACACCATTACTACTGGCTCTCAGAGAGTGTCGCGAAGACATGGCCTTACTACTGCTGGATCGGTCCATCGAATGGCAGCTCCAAGAAGAGGCATCCAACATCGGGGTCGCTCAAGACAACAGCCGAGGGCAGCCAAGGAATTATCTTTCTCACCTAGATTTGAAAAATCATGACGGGGAAACGCCCTTGACCGTTGCCGCAACGGTGAAGGCCGGGGAGGTAATCTTCAAGTTAATCGAAGCGGGCGCTGATCTGGAGCTCTTCGGGCATCCGTTCGAGCTCGTATCATACGCCATCCGTGACGGGAACAAAAAGCTTTTTTCAATACTATTGGAAAAGGGGGTTAAGCACGACGGAGCTATCTTTTCTGCGGTGAAAGGCCTGCCTGAGAACGTCGACCTCGATGTTCTAGAAATTTTGTCAGAACTCCTAAAGGCTGGCGGCAATACACGCAAATCTACGAACTTTGTTTGGACATCTGAGGATGAAGATGAATATGCATACGAGGATGAAGCGATGATTGTGGCGTCGCGAAGAGGTCTGACGGCAATCGTCAGCCTACTCCTGTTACATGGCGCTTCCGCGGAGGTACTGGACGATTCCGGGAATTTTCCATTGTTGGTCGCTGCACGTAATGGCCATGAGGAAACAGTGAAGGTTCTTCTTCACCACGCACCGCAAATGGTTGAAATCTCTGACTCTAACGAGCAGACAGCCTTTGACGCAGCCGTTGTAGAGGGCTATTTTGAATGGGCATTGATGCTTCTGCCTCAAGAGGACAAAGCTGTCGCATCAGTCGAGGCATTTGAGGTGGCTGTCAAGGCGGGCGAAGTAGGATTAGTGAGAGCAATTCTACGCGCGGAAGTGAAGCACGCATACACAGACGATCGAATGCATCGAACACCATTCTTTTGGGCTGTCCTGAAGGGGGATGAAACTGCAGTCGAACTACTTCTCCAGCAGGGTGAGGTCTACATCGATAGAAGAGACGGATATGGTCAATCGCCATTGTCATGGGCTGCACGGGAGGGGCATGAAGCCGTAGTCGCACTGCTTCTAGATACGGGTCTAGTCGACGCCAATGCAAGAGACTATGACGGTCAATCGCCATTGTCATGGGCTGCCCAGCAAGGACATGAAGCGGTGGTCCGCCTACTTCTCCTTAGAGGTGAGGTCAATGTCAATGCGAGAGACCATGAAGGTCAATCGCCATTGTCATGGGCTGCTCAACAGGGGCATGGAGGGGTAATCGAATTGCTTCTCGATTTGTTAGAGGTTGACATCGATTCAAGAGACCAATATGGCTATACACCACTCTGGCGGGCTATTCAGCATGGATATGAGGCGGCGATTAACTTGCTTGTCGTTAAAGGTCATGCCGACGTCAATGTAGCAGATAAACATGGTCGAACGCCACTCTTATGGGCTACTCAACATGGACAACAGGAGGTAATCAAGTTGCTTCTCGACACGGGAAAGGCCGATATCGATAGAGAAGATCGTTATGGCCAAACGCCGCTCTTCTGGGCTGTTAAGCATGGGCACGAGGCGGTGGTTAAGCTACTTGTGGAGACAGGCAAGGCTGCCGTCGATGGGAAAGATCAATGTGGTCGGACACCACTCTTAGTGGCCGCTCAGCATGGGCACGAGGCGGTGATTAGGCTTCTTCTCGATACAGGTAAGGTCGATGTCGATGGGAAAGATCAACACAATCGGACACCACTCTCATGGGCTGCTGAGGAGGGGTATGATAGAGTGGTCAAGCTACTCATGGACACAGGCAAGGTTGACGTCGATAGCAAAGATCAAAATGGCCGAACGCCACTCTCATGGGCTGCGCAGCGAGGGCAAGAGGCGGTTGTCTGGCGGCTCAAGCACTCATCGAAACTTGCACACTTCGAATGATGCAGTTTCTTAATTAAATTTCCTCCCCCACGTCTTCGCTGAAAAATGAGATAGTCAACGTAGCCGTGGCGACTAACTTCAATGCGGCACCTTATCATTTCCCCAAACCAGCAGAAACCTTCTTTGAGAGGCTGCATCTCAGCATCCTTTCCGTAGCTTGAACTATCTGTCGCTGACTACTTCTCGTGCGGCGGCCTAAGTTTGATGAACAGAGATGCCGATTTCGGCGTAATAATCTAAAGTAAAGAAATGGAAGGTGGCCTAGAAGTCAGACGATGATCCGCATCGAAGGTCGTATCTGCCCAATGGTGTCTTACAGGCGTGTGTGTCCCGACAATTGGGATAGAGGAACTCGAACATCTCTTTCGACTTGAACTCTTCTGTCTCGGCCCCTCTACTAGGCTTTGCTCTTGAGAAGCTTCTCCTGGGAAGCATCAAGTCACATTTCTTGCACGATACCTGGACATGATGTTAGACTCCGTATTACCAACGTCAATGCGAACCCGGAGTAAATGACCAGTAATACCAAGGGATGGATGCAGCTTTATAAACTTCTAGAACCAAACTTGCAACATCATGGAAAGGCGCAAGTGGAAAGCCGTCGTGGACTTCCTCACCAAGCTATTCGAAGGCAGAGTCCCGCACTCAGCCATAATTCATGTCAACAAGTCTTCTCGAAATCAAGTTTCATGCGTCAATGCTCGCTATGAACCTAACATGCTTCAATCGAGGCTTCTTAAATTGACATACACAAGGCTCGCCTTTTTTTTTGGAGGGTCGCTTTGGGAGGAAGGCTGATGCGTACTAGACAGCGCCACCTTCTTCTTCTTTACCATCAGAACCGAGGGAACAGCGTCGAAGGCGATTGTGAAAGTAACATTATCAAGGGCATTTCATTGAAATGACGGAGAGCAACCTTACTTGGGCTTTTCCCTGGTTCACTTCATTGAGGCCCAGCGGTAGCGTTCCCCACTACGATCGTTCCAAAGTGGACCACGATAGCTTCACAAAAAGATCAAAAACATACAACACCAGGTATTCGCTGGTCGTCACCGACCCAACTACTAATCCGGCCCTCATTGGCTTGTCTATGGGAGAGCGGACGGGATCCCGAATTTTCCAATGGGTATGGTCGTATGTGAAGGTATCGCGAGGTCTCAGAGACTGTGACGGCCACGCGCATTACTGCGGGATCCTAAGATCAGCTCATTATGCACTTTTCTGCTGCATTTCTGCTCAGTCGGAGAAGTTCTGTTTGGTATCTGGTCTCTTCGCAACTAGCAGGCTAGGTATCTGAACCATTAAATGAGAACTATGAGTAGTAGATGCAGCATGAACTCCGGCCAGCGAAGCTACGTGTCACAGATACAATCCATTTAATCATGTTCTGACTTATGCCTACAGCAACAGATACGGTAAGAAGTCTTGCATGAGAAGATATCATAAGAATTCTCTGTGGACTCTAAACATGGGTACTTTCCGTCGGTCAAAAGATCCCAGCAGACGCAAAGGTCTGCGCCTTCGATATGTCATGGTCCGTCTGATAGAATCTATACGCTCTGCGAACACGCCAAAGAAGAAGTCATAGAACCGACCTGCGATTCAGAATATACAGAAAAGCTTTCCCTATCGTCTATACGACCTATTCCATATCCTTGCAATGAGACTGCGCTGCCCCTTTCCCGAACTATATCCGCTGAGCCTACCTGGGAATAGGATCGACTCCCTCAAAAGTAGTCGCAGGCAATGTCCCCAATGCCGCGCCTGGTTCTTCGGCAAAAAGTCCTGGAAGAGTACTACCGTCATCCAATAAGTCATCCAACCACGCATCCCCGATAACACGGGGAAAAGCCGCTTCCCACGTTGGCCAGTACATCATGTTGTTGATGTTGTTGCTGAAGTCTACATGTAGACTTTCCGAGTCCGGAAAGACGGAGCGCTCCTCAGCTCCTCCGTCTCCTGGCCAAACCCCTAGACTTGTGACCCGCTCCGTCGGCTGTATGATAGTCTGGGTTGCTGACGACATCGCGTCGACTTCGTCCAACTCCACGTCCAGCCTCCCGCCTGCCTTCTCGAGTGGCTGCTTCTCGCTCTGGATCTTGAGTTGACGGCGAGTCTGACTGATCTCTCTAGCGCCACTATACTTTGAGACAAGGTTGGCGTTTCTTTTTATGGTCTTCTTCGGCGCGGGCTGGAGGATCATCTTGACGGCGAAACCCTTGAACACATCTAGCAGCTTCCACCGCTTCGAGTCGTCCAAGCGCTGTCCGATAGCTTCCTCCATCTCCGAGTAGGTTCCATTTTCTACGTCCGATGGGATAGCTTGCATGAAGATGCTTTCGGTGTCGCCTTGTTCCTTTGTCGGTGTCTCCATTGTTGTATCTTGTTCATCGAAAGGTATCCTGTAGACTTTGGCCAATGTGAGTTGGAGCTCTCCAATCGAAGACATAACCCGGTCTCCGGTAAGAGAGCCTTGGATTGACTTACAAGGATCCGGTACATCTTTATGATTGGGGAAGAGAATCCTAAAAATCTCCCTCCACTTGTCCACTTCCGTCTTGACTCCTGCTCTGCGTCTTTTGCTCCTAAGAAGCCTCTCCTGAACGGCATCGAAACCCTCAGTAAGACCCTCGCCTTCGATGACCTCACAAAGTGATGACGCTTTCAGGTGGCTTGCGACTTCGGCCTCTGCTTTGAAAGTACGGTGGCAACGTGGGCAATTGGGGGTTTGCCGGTGAATCCTGTGCAGGTGCTCCCTAGATACAAGTTCGCGTCAATTCTAAGAGTCAGTCCATAGAAGGGAGGGTGAAGATCATCACTACTCACTTCAACCGGTGCGTCTTAGAAAACGCCGCTCCTCTGCAGCTCTTTCGTTGACCATACTTCGCAGGATCGTACTTCAGATAGGGGCAAGCCAGTAGCAATGAAGTATTAGTGCCACGGGTAAGAGTTTCTGCGATTTCTGCCTGGCTCAGTTCGTCATCCGGAAACCGAGGCACATTTCGCCCTTCAGCAGCGGATGTCTTTCCGACTTGTGTATTGCAAACCCCGACGCACTGGGCGAAACAAAGCTCAGCTCGCGAAAACTCGCACTCCAGATCTATAGATGAAGAGGCGGCTGTCGGGCTTCGGATCGATGGAGAAGGAAAACGATAAGACTGGCCCTGGATCGTCGGACGTCTTCGCCGCCGACGTGAGAAATACCAGGTCAGATTCGGAGGCGAGGCATTTTCAGCATCCTCAATGCTCAGACGCGATAGCCACGTCCCTAAAGTGGCCATTGGATGGAAGCCTGGCTTAGCAGCCTTTGGTGCCTCTTTCGACTTGGACATGGTGCGTGAACACGTTCAGATCGAAAATAATATTGTTATGGAATCACAGATCTTCAATTTTACAAGAAACCTGAGTTTCTTATAGACTTTGCTAAAGGGAGGCATCGCTCACAGAGCCTGCGCAGAATATCGCAACTTCGCAATTCTCACTCTACGCGAAAAATAAAATAAAAATAAAGCCAGACCAATACCAAGTCGCCTAATCTCTATACGCCGCAACGACAAGTTGTGTCAGGCTAGATGACGTAGTCTCCATGCTGTGCGACGCGAATTACGAAGCAGGCTGGCCGACTTTCCAGTTCAGCTCAGCTGAACGGTGGCAATCATATAAAGGAGCAAAGGTTTCAAGCAGGGTTACTTTGGCGTCAGCGTCGGCTGGTAGGTGTATATGGATTTTGAAATCGCGCAAATCGAACCATCCGCAATGTCTACCCTCCATCTTTCTCGAGATGGCGCGAAGTACACGCGGGGACTCGGCACTTCGATTATCCAACATTTCCCCAACAGCCAGGCGTTTCCGAACTCAACAAGGCTCTGCCATCACATCCAAACACACTCCCAATCAAGGGATACCAGAGTTCGAGCGCGTCAACGAGTGTCTCAACCGGTCATAAGCATGTAAGCTAACCCACAGCCTGATCTCAGGAATGCGCATCACCCAAAAACAGACAAGGCAAGGCCGGAGTTTTAGCCCGGCATGCCCCGCCATCACCCCGCCACCAACCATCACGCACCCAAAATTACATCTCATATAGCGGTAGCCGGTCACGGAGCATCCAGCCAGCTACCGGCACGTCACGATACTTTCGCATTCCAGACGAGGATGCTAGCTAAGTACGCGCATTAGTACGTGGTCCCCACGTACTCGATGCAAATGAATTATCTCCTACAAAAGTCTTTCCTACAAATACAGGACTCCTCCCCCCCCCGTTCCCTTGCCCCAGACGCCGTGAGAGCTCTGCACCTCTTTGCCCATGCCTCCATCTCGAATATCACCTCCTCTCTCCTCTCAAGTCTGAAGCCCCTCGTGTGGAGTCTTTGCCGCTGAGCGTGGCTGGGTGCGAGTGTTCTGGTCTGAGCGAGGATGAAACGATTTATTCACTCGAAGAAGTCTTTAGGCGGAGAGTCGGGAGGAAAGAATCATGATTGATTGCCGCCAAAACGAAGAAAAAAGAAGTATGCCATGCCATGCCATGCTGACCCTTTCATGCCCGACCGTCCGTCGCCGTGTCAAACCATCTCTCAGAATCGTTTCTTTTTTTATCGCAAAGGTCTCCGCAAAAAGGTGTGATGCCAAACAAAAAAATTAGTCGTCAAGTCGCGCTTGAGAAACTCCAACAATGTCTAGACAGACAGTCCGTATCTGCCACAGGTGCGTTCTTCTAGTTCTGTGCCAACGATGAGGGACGATTCAGGCCATGGTGAAACGTCCGTGAAGTCTGCCTGGCCGCTAATGGCTCCTATGACGCGTGAATCGTCAAAGTCGCCTTGCGGTCGTATGTTCGTGCAGAAGAATTATGTATGCTTGTTCATTGCCACCATTGGCAAGGATGTAATGTGTGCTCGCAAGAGGCGATAGTCTTGCAAGAGTGAATAAAGTGCGAGAGAACGGGATGATACCGTGCCATCGAGCAGAGCGCATGTGGTAGAGGAAGCTCTGGCGCTCTTATTGTCTTCAGGGGCAATGTGAGTCGCGTAAGCACTTCGAGGATCGATGCTTTATAAGAGCTTAGTGCTTGCGAGCCGGAGAATACTAGTGTCGGCCCACTTGACTGTTGCTGGCGCGGCTGCGCTCGTCCTCTTCCATGACATCGCTCAGGCGAGTTGGGTGATGATGTCTGGGGACAGTCTCCCAACCTGGAGCAGCATAGCCCGAGCCGGAATAGTCTTGAGCGGTTCCCTGCTGCTGTTCTCCAGCGGACGTGGTGGGGGTCTGCAGGTAACCGGCACTGGGAGGGTTCGTTGCTGGGGTTTCATACTCTTCTATACCTTCGTCAGAAACTGGGGAAGGTGGAGCAATGAAGGGAACCTTGTTTCCCTGAGAATCGCGAACGAAGTGGCCTTGCGCATCGATAGTGTACTCACCTTCAGAGTATCCACCCTCGGAACCAGCACCCGTGTAAGTAACGCCCTCCTGACCTGGATCGCCGGATGGATAGAGGTTGCTGGAAGTGGCGGGGATGGATTGACCACCAGGAGCTTGAGAATAATCGCCAGCGTAGCCGGCCTGCTGGCCGCCGTATTGCTCACGGGAGCTGCCATGGCGACTGGGGACACCCTGCGTCATCGGGACGACCTGGACGCCGCCGAGGATGGTAGGCTGACCGCTCTGCAGAGACTGGGTCCGTTCGCGCTCTTCATGCTCACGGCGACCAAGCTCCTCCCAAGCGCGGCGGGCCTCTTCTTTGGAGATCTGGAGCTCCTTCTTCATCTCCCTGACGCGTTCATCGTTGGCGGAGTGCTGACGCTCCTTCTGGATAGCTGCCTGAACAGCGTTCTCTCTAGCACGTCTCTCCTCGTCAAGGGCCGACTCTAACATGGCGTTGACCTCCTGCGCACGCTCCAGCTCAGCCCGGGTCTCAAAGAACCATCGCTGGAACTTGCGTTCAGAGCTAGCGCGGAGGCGCTGCAACTCGACGACGGCGTGGAAAAGGTTGGCACCGGCCGCAGTAAGGTCGGTGACCTGGCGAGAGAGCGCTTGGTTGACAGGATCACGCTCAATGTCCTGGTTATTCTGTTCAAGTCGTCGAATCCAGAAGCTGGTGAGACCCTCCCAATGAGCCGATAAGGTTTCCCAACGCTCAAACGCGTGGGGAAATGAGTTTCTGGGTCTCGATCCCGTAGCGCCGGACTCCTGGGCTCCTTGAACAGAGGTGTTAGCAGGCTGTTGAGTGGTGCTGGCCTGAGGGGCTGTGCTGTAGGGTTGCTGGCCGGGCTGAGACGTCGACGCCGTTCGACCGTGTCGAGTCTGCGGCTGAGTCGTTGTGGGCTGGCGGGAACTTCCTCCCGGGTTGGTTCGGGTTTGTGGGGTATCGGTAGCTACGGGTCGCCGGTGAGAGGTGGGGTCCTGCTGGGGCACGTTGGCGGCGCCACCAGCTGTTCCTCCTCCGGCAGCGCCAGTAGCGGCGGTGGCAGCTCGGCGCTCCGCATTCCGTCTCTGCGTCTCCTCCAATAGGCGAGCTTCCTGCTCGGCTCGCTGTCTCTCCAACTGCATCTGTTCCTGTTCGGCTCTCTGACGGGCTGCCTCTCTAGCAGCGCGCTCCTGCATGATCATTCTAGGACCACGAATTCCAGAAGGCGAGCTGGTAGGGTTAGGGGCGCCAGTGGTGCGCTGGCGAGTGGAAGCCGAGGCATTACCGTTGGAAGCGGCAGTGCCGCCTCCGATCAGGTCAGCCATTGATGCGCCCTCTTCTATTTCGTCGGGCGTGAACAGGTTAGGTTGCCGAAGCGCCTCCTCAAGTGCAAAGAGGATGGCACTGCGAGTGTTTCTGGAAACGCGATGAGATCGGTGAGACTCGCGTCGGGTATGAGAAGACGATGATGTTGGGTCTCGGAATAACAGAGCTTCGTCGGAGGACTCTTCGTCAAAGTCCTCGCTCAGATCCTGTGAGAGAACTCTTCGCGCACGCGAATTTCGTCGATCGAGGGGAGCGACGGTTCGAGGGTAATCGTAATTAAAAGTCGGGGCAGGCGCAAGTGCTGGCGTGGGCGCAGGCGCAGGCGCGGTCGCAATCTGTGGTTTGGGACTGAAACCTACTGATGCGGCCTCAATGTGGACCTGGCGGGCAGACTGCGGTGTAGGACTTGGGGTCGCAACGGATCGCGAAGTACGTCGAAGGGTGCGGTGGGAGAGTTGGGACGAAGCTGGAGTGGTTGGTCTCTCAGCGACTGGATCTGGGGTAATGTTTCGCGCTTGCCTCCGCTGCTGCTGGCGCTGCGCAGAAGGGGTCGTGATTTCGTGAATTTCGTGACGGTCGTTAGAAGGCGTGGGGGGAGTTTGGTCTGTCAACTTGACAATGTTGCCCAGGTCACTGCTCTGACCTGTTGGAGTAGACAAGTTGGAATTATCACCACCTTGGTGGTGATTCGGAACTGAGAAATGAGGTAGTGTGGGTGGTGTTGAGGAGGATCTGGGGGAACGCTGATCCAGCAAGAGTCAGCAAGTACCGAAAGGTAGGAACACGGAGGTGGTGTGGATTGTGCGAAAGTCGGGTTACATGGAAAACCGGGCAGGGAAAAAAATGGGTGAGGTTGGAGGGAACAGGGTACAACTTACTCGGTAGGGTGGTATCTTGATGATGGGGGTTCTGATACCACACCCAAAAAATATTGTCGAAGGCGGTCTGTATGAGCAAGTTGCTACTGCTCAGCAGAGACGAATTGAAGGCGGAGAAGTGAGGGTCCAGAGAAATGGAGTCCAAGAAAGAAGAGAAAGGTGCTAAGCCGGAGGTCTGAGGTGAAGAAATTCGAGAGGCTGGAGGTTGGAGCTTGGGTCGAGAAAAAGAGGGTGGCTAGGCGACAATGCGCTTTGGCAGCGTGGGCGGAATTGGACGGATAGATTGGAAGAAGCGCAATTCGAACGGATAAGAGTGAGACTGGAGCCACCTCCCTGCTGTCAGTGGTCGAATTGAGCTGAGCGACCTCTTTTAAATGGATTTGTCGGAACTGCTACTGACTGCGTGCAGTGAAGATTTTGAAAATGGCGAAGATGGCGATGCTGAAGATGTGAGGATTTTGATGGTCGAAGTGAGAGGAAGAAAGCCCGCAGTAGTTTGGAGTAAGGATCAGGGTGAGGTGAGAGGTGAGAGAGAGTGAGAGAAGAGGTTGTGCCAGTTGGGAGGCCTGCTGGTTGTGCGTGGGGGGGAAAAAGAAAGATGGCAAGAAGAAAGATCTTGTGAAATTGGCTTCTCTTTTTTTCCCCTCGTGCAGAATGTTTGTTTTGTTGATGAGAAGGTGGATGAGGCGTGAGAAAAAGCCAATCTCATGTGAAGGAAGGAGCGGCCAATTGGGCAGTGACCGGTGGTGGTTGTGCCTTTCTTGCCCAGTTGCACCTTCCTTTGATTTTCAGTGTCAACTCCAAGGCGAAGTGAGTGTGGAGAGCATCACGTAGGACACTCCAAAGGAAGGTACAAAAGCCTGGGAGTGAGAAGGTGCAGCACCTTGGGCTGGAAGGGGCGGACCAGGAGCTGAAGTTGAGGTACCTTGAACCTCAGGTTCTCCCACTTTCAGGTTGCTGCTCTTCGGCTTCCTCCTCTCTGCGAGGCGGTCCTCCTCGATGCAATTGGATCCAATTGGATGCGGCCTGCTTGCTGGAGGCTGGAAGTTGGTCGTGCCAGTTGGGTTGGGTTGCGACGACCAGGCCAGGTACACGACACGTCCACCAGCCAAACAAGCTCTTTTCTCAGTCTCAGTCTCGGGCCGTTCAGACTTTCTGATTGATAGCAACGCCAATTGTCTCGGGTTGCCCTGGTAGTAAGTAGTGCTCGTCCAATTCCATCCAGTTCACCACATCCAGCTTCAGCTCAGTCAATGTCAGTGCTGCTGCGCGTACGTGACTGGGCTGACGGGAGCGAGAATTGTTTGGTGGCCGCTGTTGCTCCTGCTGCTACCTTGGGCCAACACGGACCTATGGCAGCTCACCAAGCAACACCTCCTCCATGCGACCTCTGTCAGGATGTGGGTGTCGAGGTCATTGACGGCTTGAGTGGGTGGGTGGTCGGTCCAAAGTCGAATGCGCGCGATCAAGTTCGAGTTCGAGGTCAGGATGACTGATGATGCAAGTCGCGCAAGAGCAGGGCAGAAGGCAGGACGGAGACGGGGACGTGGGACACAAAACGGGATGGGACAGGTGACGGGTTTTAATTGTTTCGGCAGGGCACTGGCATCGTACCCAACACCCAACCCATCATCGCGTCAAATTACGAACCACGGCGGAGCTTTCGCTTCTCACCCGGCGGACAAGGCAGGGTTCGAACCATCTCGACATGGAGCTGGGGGTACACTGGAGTCTGGACTCTACACTCTGCACTGGACAGACACGAGCATCCGTATGTACAAACCTGAGTCCTGAGGTATTACATTACCTGACATTAAAAGGTAGTCCTGGTGTACGGACACGGATGCAGAGTACCAACAACATCTCCCGCAGGTGGACAACATGGGCCAATTTCCTCTACTGGCGCGCCCCCAGCCAAGGTACAGCATCCGCCAATTCACGACGTGCAGCCATATGCAGGCTTTTGCAGCTCTTTGCAGGTTGTTCCCCGTCGCGAGGTAACTGGTCTGACGCCTTGGCTCTGCCATCCAACGCCAGAGCCGGCCAGGTACATTGAGATGCGCGCGCCCTGTGGAGCGTTGAGCTGTCGTCTATTGCAGCGCCGGCGTGGAAGATGGCTGCAGCTTTCAGGATTGGGCCCTCGGGATGCCTTAACGGCGCCTTCCTAAGTCTGACCGGTGCATGGCTCTCCCCGCTGAACATCATTGCCATTACGCGCATGGGATCGCGGGATGTGCAGCCTAGGCCGCCTGGTTATCGACGACCATGCGCGACCCGGTCCAGGGATATCCCGACTGCTCATTGAGATTATGGGAAACTTGGCCTGCCCAAGGCCCCAAGGAGACTCTGCCGGCCATGAGCTGACATATCGGGCATTGGGTGCCAATTGGGACGGAGGGACGGGAGGATGGGCTAGACGGTGACAGTGTGCGACCAGACGAAGGCGGCGCCGGCTGCGGCCACGACGGGAGATGAGAGACAAGAGATTGGAACTGCTCGCCTCACCCGTGTGGGATTGACCAGTGACCGATCAGCCGTGGCAGGGAAGCTCGGAGAGGCAGGGAAACTGCCTGCGGTGGCCGCGGTGCCGACGATTGAGATTGAGCCAGTGGCAGAAAATCGGGGGGCTGGGGACGTGTGGTGGGAGGCGCACCGGGGGTAAGCTGTGAGCTGTGAATAGTGAGCATGGGCAAGGAAGTGGGCGTAGGTTCGGCCGGAGAGGAGAGGAAACACCAATCAGCCCTAGTGTCAACCAATCTTGCGCATTCTGACCTCGGCCTGGACCTTGGTTGTGGCCATAAGACCGGCTTCGATGAGTGACGAGGAGATCCATGACATATTCATGGTCCAAGGGCACTTGTGCGCCGGCGGTGAGAATGAGTTACTTTCAAGAATGAGTGAGTGAGTGCGTTGTATGGTATGAGAGACGAAGAGTGAGAGTGAAGATGAGGTGTGGGTGAGTGTGTGTTGTCACTGCGCAGTGACGAAACCCACCCAGATTGCCAATCGCCTGCCCTTTGGCCTCTCTCCGTCTTCAGCAGTCCCAATGGCATGGTATTTGCCCGGAGGTTCCCCGTCTACCTAGACTTAGGGGTTCATCTTCGTGAGGCGATGTTGGATAGATTGTATGGCGAACGTCTGAGTTGGATCTTGGATTCGAAACAGTGTCTCTAGAGATTAGTGAGGCAGGCAAGCTATTGCAGGTACACAATTGCAAACGATCTAAAAGGTCTTTGCTTTGCATATGTGCCTGGTCTGGAGAAACCAGCGGCCCTCTCCGTCGATAAAATGTCTAGACGATCGGGAACGCGGTAAGACCTGCATTGGCGCGAGGCTCGTTCATCCTTCTCTCGATGTTCTGTCGCCCAAGTGCATTGGACAATGCGTTGAGATGGAATCAAGGAGGAAGGAGATGGTCTTGGACGAGCGTTGACACCCACCGAGCGTTGGAACTTTTTCTCAAGCTTTGATAGCCCAGGCATCCCGGAGAGTATTCGAATACCGCAATAGGTACGGGGTATGTCAGTGGAAGTTCAACGTCCAAACTCCGTGAGGTGGAAGCTTGCTGCTTGGGTGCGGGATGTGCCTGCTCTTAACACAAATCTTGGCATGATTAGGTAAGGTGCAGTCATCCAGGTCAACTTCAACCTGGAAGGGAAAGGCCTGGGCCCATGTGCCAGCGAAGAGGGAAAGAACAAGGATGGCCCGTGCTAGAAAGGGAGCTCGGGGATCAAACTGGGAAACAACGGGTCGCTCCCGACGACTTCCCCCTGTTCCCTGATCTTGCAGGAGTGGCAGGACCCAATCAAACTACTCATTGGACCTTCCCCATGATTAAGCTCGCAATTGCCTCGTGGACCTGGAACCAAACGCTCCAAGCAGGTGCGGTGCAGCGGTACTTCCTTCCATTCATCGACGGTTACAACTTCCTAGACCTGGGGGCCATTTTTCCAATTCTTCCTTGACTCTTCATACCCGTCTGACTGCAACGGTTTCTACGCCTTTGGGAATCAATTTTCGCGCCCCCGAAACTTCAAGTCTTGAACTGCTCAAATTCGACGTCGCCCATCTGATTTCTGCCCATCGCTGCTCATTCAATCCACCCATTTCATCCGTACCTACGGATACATTATCGACGACCAAGGGCCATCCTTTCTCGGCGTTCCTTGTCCAATCTGCCGGGCCCCTCAAGCAGCCTCCCTGCTTCACTTCCACTCTTGAAATCTCTAAAGTCAAGGATGCATGCCTGATAGTATCTATCCGAACCCTCGACTCGTTCAAACGTAAAAATCAGCACCCGAAGAACAAAAAAACTTGCGTCGATTTCTTCCGTTGACATCCTTGCCCGGAGACAGCCGCCAATTGTTCGTAACAAACCCAAGGGCAAGGGGACGCGCAACAGTCCGCCCCAGGGATGGCTCAGAGTCTGCACAAGCCACTGCGTTGGAACCTCACGATACCGGTAATCAACCGCCCTGAGAGCTGCTACCAGCATGTCTCGCGAGTCTGCAACCCAACACGATCGAGATCGAGATCTGACCCTTCTCCTTCCCCTGATTCACATCCCTTCTCAAGTATCCGCGAACAGGTTTGTCGACTCAGCCAGCGACCCTGTTAACTCGTGCGAGACAATGGACCCTTCAGGTACCATTACGAGATATCGCAGGGAGAAATTTTGAGCTTCAAAGTCGAGAGAACTTTTCGGACGATGTCCCGATGCGAGAAAGCACCACGCTATATCGAACCAAACTCGAAAATTTGCACTTTGATCCGGCGTTGGTGGTTCGCAATTCGAAGCCATCAAGGAAAGCGGAAAAGTCGCTCACTCCTCTTCGGCCTCCCTTGCAGCATGTCTCTAACCATATCCTCATATCTCCGACCCGCACACAATCCTTCGGAACCACGGAGCATAGCAACATCCCTGGCCTGTGATGTTAGCTGACAGAATGAGATCGGTATGCTAGGGGCGATCGTCCCCTGTCGATCGTCCAGCTGCTCAGGCCCCTATCGGATTGCCAGGTCGAGAAAATCAAGAAGTCCCCATCTTGCATGGGAAACCTCTTTTCCAGGGTCACCACTTGTTCGCTGCCCTGAATCACTTGACGCCCTTGGCTGCGGACGATCTCCCGCATCCTAACTTTCGGGGACCAAGACCACGCAAAAGACTGATTGCCTGCGTTGACGCTTGATTCCGCCCGACCGTTTACTTCCCGACCAGACCATCTATCGTCTTCAGGTGAACGTCGTTTGGAACTTTGATATCAATCATTTTCTCAGGCCAACGGCGAAATGCGCCTTTGACGGCATGAGGCGTATGGCAGGCGGCATGACGTCTTCAATACAAATCGCTGAAACTCCCGCTGCGGTCAAGGCTTTATTTCCCGTCTGCCACCATTCTGATCATTTGGGCGACAGGCATCTTCAGCTCGAGTTGTCGTTGGACCGCAGTCCCGCCATCCGATCGATCGAGCCATACATCAGCCGGTTTGTCACACTGTGGCTGTTGTTGCTCTGGAACGCCGCATGCCTACTGCCGGTCGCAAACGGCAGTACCAAAACAAATGGCCCGCATATTAAGATTGTCACCAAACAAATAGAATCAGGGGAACGCGGTTTCCGTCATCCACGGCTGTGGCTATCAACGTCTTGTAAGCCCCCCGCAGCCGAGGTGATCCACGAGAGAGATGGCTGAAAAATGGGCTGCGCTATCGTGGCAGAAGTTATCTCCACCGAGAGCCAGATCGAGATCGCATATGAGGCTCTGGATGAGCAACATCGAGATTCACTTGTCGCTCTGGTCGTCTGATTTTCTCCCGGACGAAGACTGCCAAGCTTACCATCTTGTCAGCCAACCGGACGAACCATTATAGAAAATTGTGTTGTGTGTCTCGTTTCTCGTCGAAAATCTTCCCGGCGAGACCATACTGCGAGACCTAGGCCCTCAAGCCTGGATTACGTCAAGTTCTCGTGAGATTTTTAGCTGGTTTGCTTGCCCTTTTCTGGCAGTGTCTGTTGAATCGAAAGAGAAGGTGGGTATTCTAGGCCGGCCCTCGCAAGTTTGCTGCAGCGAACGCAGGCCGAGAAGGACCTCTAGGCTCATTGTGGCGCCATCGGTTCAGAGAGAAGTTGGTTGTCACCGTGGAAGCGAGACAACGAGGAGGTCGACACATTCCAGAGGTCTGGTTCCCACACCAAATCTTTCCCGTCTTGCTTTTTCACTAGGACCCTCTCGGCTACTAAGGTAGCCAAGCGATTGCCAGCTGCAGAAGTGCAGGACTAAGGTAGTCTTCCCCGTCGACCCTGTTTTCTAGCCAGAAGACGGCTGAGGAAGAAGCCTATGGACGCAGGGACGTTGTTGAGGCTCTTCCGATCGGCTTCCCCGCATGACGGTGCCCTTTTTCCTTGCTTCTTCGTCCCCTGCGCAGATTTATTGACGCTGCAGAAAATCTTGTTTTCCCTTTCGGTATATTCAAGCAGATGGCCGGAAAGAGTAATCACGAAGATCTTCCGATCCAAGTAGGCCAAGCCGGCAGACTCCTCGCTTGTTGTAAACGACACACCAACGCCATGTTTCCAGAGCGCGTTTGCTGCTTTCTTGAGCAAACCCGAGTAATGCAGAGACCCAAGGTCAAACCTTTTCTGTCCATTATGCATTCCTTTCGAGACGGAAGTCGCCAGCAGGCAATCTACCATTCCTGTGAGAGCCGTCGAGGCCATGCAGCATCCGATACCCACCGACCCGTCCACAACACACCGGGCCACATTCGGTGTCTTACCGGGACTCTGATTGGCCCCGGGCGCAACTGTCACCGAGTATGCATATCACACGAGGGATGGCCCCTAGGCGAGGAATGTCTGAGAATTGCAGGGGATGGTCTGGTTGTCATAATCAGCCACCCGGGTGGACCAGAACTCAAGACGAGACCTCGAGTATGGAGAGACCAAGACAAGGTGCTGCATATTTGTGCTCCTGTTGTTGTCCGCCGTTGAGTGGAAGGCATATGATTCGTGCCGCCGGGCCAGCCGTGACAGAGGAGGCATTCTTACAACTTGTCTGGGGCAGGGAGACAGGCTCCGCTTGGCTCAAGACGGCCCACGCATATATCGTTGCCTCGCCCTCATCCATGAGCCCTCCGGCCAGTATATCCATCGTGGCGTTATTATCCCCAGAGTTTCACATCCAGCATAGATCAAGCCGGTGTTGCAGACGCTGACCGCAGCGATGTCCGGCGCTCAAGAGGACATGATCGGTTACGCACAGGAGCTCGACATCACGGTAGCTTCTCGACCATCGTCTCGGCCGTCGAGCATGGAGCGGCAAACAAAACTTGCTCATCTTAAGCTCGTTTCCAAGTATTACGGATACGCCAACTTCTCATACCCTCGACCCGACGGCACTCCGACTCGCAACCCGTACAGAAGAGCCGGTCAAACGTACTCATCCGAGGACCTCACTCAAGATTACCGCCACCACGGCCTTGCTTGCCCGGAAACACCAACCAAACGAGATCGTACTTCTATGGGCTCGCAAGGCTCCAACAGTTCAGCACCCAGTCTCATTGATGATCGGACTGATTCCGAAGTATCGCTCGACGACGACTACCAGTACCACGCTTCCGCATCTCAGCTTTGGGACACCTTCTGGCCGATTGATGAGGGAAAGACCCAGCAGACCCCAGAAAAGGCCAAGACCCAGTATCCTGCCTTGATCCCGTCACCACATATCCGCAGGGCGAAGAAGACGGGTTGCATCAACTACGACGCCTACCCCCTACCACCCCGACCTGTCGAGTATAACATCCAGGTCCAGCACTCACCATCTCCAACCCCTTCCACCACCGTGGACCCTGTCACCCAACCCCAACCACCCGCAAGTATGCCAGCGTCACCGGTCCCCCATTCTGTTCAGGGCCCCGAGGACCCTGAGCCTCGGAGCCCTCCAGAACTTCGCCGGACCATTCGTGCCGTCCGGTCCTCTTACAGCCTCTTCCCTCGTACTCAGCCTCAAGCTCCGAGCTACCCTCCACCACCGCCACCTCACTTCTCTGCCCTCTCAACTCGACCGAGTATGGGCAATCTTCGCAAGGGACATCGTCCACCACCCATCCATCTTCATTCTATGCCCATGTCTACGGCCACGGCTACCGCCGCTCCACTATATTCTCCTGCCACGGCTTCTCTGTTTTCTCCTCTCTCATCGCCTCTGTACTCTCCCCTACCTTCTGATTACACGAGACCTCATACCTCGCATGGGAATTATTACCCATGTACTGCCGACCTCACACATCCCCGTTCTGCCCCCTTGCCACCGCAGACGCCGACAATAGGAACATCGTCGGGTCTGGACACGCCCAAGTCTTTCTTCGACTTTGACTCGGACTCGGACTCTGATGAAGAAGAGCCCGAGCACACCATCTCTCGCTTCGTCAAGACGCTGCACAAGCGAACCGCCAGCGAGACTCGCCGGAGCGCCAAAGGGGCAGCCTACGCGGATGCACAGCTCCGCAAGATCCGCGCCGAGACTGAGGCCGAGAGGATTCGCGAGAACCAGATGATCTTTGAACGCCACAAGAGATCCGGTGCCGTCTTTGGACGCATGTTTGGACGTACGCATGCAAGGTCTCCAAACGCATGAAGACCATGTAGCTCATTTGCGCATTACGAGCATATGGCCTATTTACGACGGGGAGGCGTCGGAACCAGCCGGCGTATTTGCATTTCAGCGCAGCGTTTGTATTTTACTCGCTCATTTTTCTTTTGTTTCGTTGTTTTACTTAGTTTCATTCTCGTCATGTTTGCTCCACGTTAACGCTTGAATGTTCTCATTATACTGCCATGTTTATCACTATCTCATGAAGAAGAATACGGTCTTGGAACACATGGAGTAAGAGGAGGATCTAGTCGGTAAGAGGAGGACAGACACCAGGTTGCGCAGACCACCTGGAAGTGGTTTGCGCGGGGATTTCCTGACAAGGGATGAGAATTCGTGTGGACCCCGGGGGAAAGAAGGTTTCCAAAGGGATGGGTTAGGTGAAGGGAGGAATTTGGATCAACGAGTCAGACGGATCAACGACGAACGACAAAATTATGGTGAGAGCGGGGTAGACTAGTTCTCCCCCCAAGGGAACGCAATCTGATGTAACGGCCTTTGAGCTCGGAGATGACTCCGTCCCTCCTCTGGGGGGGAAGAAGTATGAGCGTCGTCAGTCCACAGGTCTTGTCTGGCGACTTGACCAACCTAAGAAGAGTAAAACATCAACAATAACAACAAGATAGGATAATTGCCACAAGGTAGACTAAGTATGAACGGGAAAGCCACATGCTTCCTCCAAGTTCCAACTGTCTGTTCAAAACAAATACCCAAAAAATCCTGGAGTCTTTTTGCCGAGGAAACCTCACTCGCCACACTACCAGTCTTCAATGACGTAATATGACGATGGGAGCTGCTCACTTGACTTACCTCACCCGTCTCCCATCCCTCTACTCTCGTGAGGAAACCTGCGTCGGGATGGATATGGTTTCTGGAATAGGAACTTTCTAGGTAGGCTACTGGGGTAACACACGAGCGGAGGAGTTCTAGTCCATTCCCCAGTACGAGAGTCCTCAGCCCTTTTTTTGCCAAGGGTTTTCGCTGCGAGCAGCCCACGTGAAAGGATCTAGACTCTCGAGTTGCTGGAGCAATGCGCGACGTTGATATGTAGAGGGAGGAGATGGCAGCGCTGCTTACGGGCGTTTGGGAGAAACTTGGTTCGCCGGTGGTTCGTGTAAGCCGGAGAGAGCCGAGAGGGTGGGGCGGAGGTAAGATGGGGACGGCGAGAGCTCGGTTCGGGTTGGCGGGTGTTGGATCCGCATGTTAGCGAGAAAGGCGAGAGAGGCGAGAGATGCAACGAGGTACGGGGGACCCGTGAGGAGGTTAGACGAGGGAAGATGTCTTTGGGGAAGGTTTGCTTGGCGAGTGTATTTGGAAAGGTTTGAATTCCAGTTTTGAAGGGATTCAGGGTCGTGGAAAAGAGTTTTTACTTCTGAATCTCTGGAATTCTAACCCTGGATTCGCGGGAGATGCCGCTGCTTCGCTACCCGTTCATGATTGCCATATTCTTACCCGATTGCTAGAGATTTCTAATACCTAGCAGATCGAAAGACGTGGATCTAGAGCACTGGGGAAAGTCATACTCGATGGGGCGATGATTGTGTCGGGATGAGCATGATGAACAAGGTGAGTTGACATTAATGCATCTGATGCGTAAAGACATTCTATCGTGGATACCATGTAAATCGTTCCCGTACACTCATATCGTAAAACTCTTCCCTTCTCTGTTCTCCCTCTCTTTCTCATTCGTCTTCATCTCGAAACTTCGTGGATATGCCCAACCTGTAAAACGCCATGCCAATGCAATGAAACCCTGAAATGTGACCCGTGAAAATGCCAGTAAACGCCGATACATGAGTGAAAAGAAATAGCAAACATTAGAAACCGAGGTTGAAAATCAGACTTTTGTCACCCAATTGCTCGGGAGGAAGACGAGATGCTTGGAAAAGGCGGCGTACATGTCGAATCTCGACATTACTAACGCAGTCTGAAAGGAAAGGGGAGATGCGCGGTTCGAAGGGATGACAGTCGGTCCTCAAACCATCCCCATCATAGACCTCCTAGAAGCAGGCCTCCCAAAAGGCCCCTTCTCCCCGGCCCCATCCCCCGTAAACCTCTTCAATCTTCTCACCCCAAGCCTCCTGACATCGCGCCCGGCCTCGACGTACCCCAACACCCAAACGCTCTGACTCATCCCCGCCGCCGCAGCAGACGCGCCCCGCGCCGAGCTCCCCGGGCCGGCGCCGAGGTACACGCGCAGCTTCTCCGCCGAGCGGGGCGCGGCCTGGAACGCCGGGTCCGCGGCGCAGTCCTCGTTGGCGAGGAAGGAGAAGATTTCTGCGGGGCAGGTGACGGCGTGCGGGAGGCGGTAGCTGTTGCGGCCGAAGAGGAGGGAGACGAGGGCGGCGAGGTAGAGGACCAGCAGGGCGAGGATGACGGCGAAGACGGGGATGTTGGGGAACATGCGGACTCCGCCGCCGCTGCCTCCGGCTTCTGAGGGGCGGTTGGTGGCGGTCAGGGCCATGAAGAGGCCTCCTGCGAGGGCGGGGAGGAAGGTGAGGAGGAGGGAGAGGGCGGAGAGGGCTGCGACGCGGTAGTGTCCGTTGCGGAGGGCGTGGAGGGTGGATTGCAGCGGCAGACAGGCGGCGTAGTCGGCGAGCACGGAGCGGGAGGCGGGCGCGCCGTCCGTGGTGGTGGAGAGGTCGGCCCAGGGCTGGAGGATGCGGAATTGCTGCTCGAGGGTCTGGAAGGCGAGGAGGAGGAGGAGGCCGAGGAAGCTGGGGACGAAGCTGTACAAAAAGTTGGCGGCGGAGAAGGAGGAGGGCGCGGAGAGCGGCGCGGCGGGGACGCCTGGGCGGAAGCCGGCGACGAGAGATGTGCGGTGGAGGAAGGAGACGACGAAGAGGGCCGTGAGGAGGATTGTTGAGGCGACGACGTAGAAGAGGACTTGTGGGGTGCGGAGGCACCAGGGGAGTTTGTAGGTTTCTACGAGGCCGGAGCGGTGGGCGGAGCGGCCTGCTAGGAGGGTGGATGTGACGGAGCGGCCGTCGTGGTGGTCGTCGGCGGCGATGGCGGAGGAGGAGGAGGAGGATTCGTTCTTGACGTCGTAGTGGAGGTCGGACGGGGTGTGGCCCTGGGAGTGTTCCGTGCCGAGGCCGTACCAGGGGGTTTCCTGGTGGTCGTCCGTCATCCAGTAGCCTAGGCGGTCGACGATGCGGTTGCGGAGCATGGAGCGAAGCTTCTTGCTCGTCGGGGCGACCTCTGCGCCGCGGTAGGCGTCGCGGGTGTTGCTCCGGGCGATCATGACGGAGAGGTCTGCGATGGAGCGCGGGTCCCACATGAGGCCCGTCACGCGGTTGCGCCAGAAGAGGAGGAGGATGAGGACGGCGGCGAGGACGAGGAGGTAGAGGGCCACGAGGGTCCAGACGACGCCCTGGACGGCGGTCCAGTACCAGACGTCGACGAGGATGACGGTGAAGGAGGCGCTGGCGAGGGGGATGGCGAAGGCCGAGAGCCAGAGGATGGCGAGGGCGATTTTGACGTGGACGGGCCCGGCGAGCTGCGGGAGGAGGAAAGTTTTGGTGTAGAGGTTCTGGAAGAGGGCGTTGCGGCGGCGGATGGGCTCGTCTTCGGAGAGGGCGGCGAAGGGGAGGATGCGGAGGGTCGCTGCCGCGACGCACTGGGCGTAGACGAAGATGAGGGAGGCGAAGAGCTGGGGCAGGATGCGGAAGAGGAAGTATTTGCCGCTGTAGATTGTCTCGCCGTAGGTTAGGAGACCGGGTTGGATTGGCGAGTAGATGGCGGCGACCATGAGGCAGGCGATCATGGCGAGGCAGAGCACCATGAGGGCGATGAGGGAGGGGAGACGCAGGATCGCGGGGACGAAGTTGAGGCGGGGGTATATCGCGCGGTCCTCGTCAATGGTGTCGATCTTTGTCATGCCCGGGAAGACGCTCTCCCTCTCGCTGATGGGGAGCCATTTCGGCGTGGTCTCAGTGGGGTTTACGCCGGCCGGGGTCTGGGCTTGGTTGTGCTGATATCTCGAGTCTGCCGAGTGCGGCGGTGACATGGAGATGATGCGGGTGCCGAGAGACATGGAGGGCCTCTCGGCGCCGGCGTTGGAATGCGGCCGGGACTGGCGGCGGACCGAGTCCCGGGTGTGCGTAGGGACGGGGACCATGGGAGAGAAGCCGGAGTCAGGGTCGCCGCTGATGAGGGGGCTCTGCAGGTCGTCCGGGAGGTATCCGGCAGCGCGGTAGTATCCGGTGTTCTCGTTCGGAGAGGGAACGCTGGACGGGGGAGAGAACCCGCCGCTGTGGCCGTGCTCCCTCGTCAGGGCCTCCAAGGCATAGCGGAGGTAAGGGGTGTCGTCGACGCCCGGGGTGACGGAGCCGTTGGCGGCGATGGTGAGCTCGTCGCGGAAGCCCTTGGCGCGGGCGCGGTTAGTGACCTCGTCGACGGCGAGCTGGGCCTCGTTGAAGTGAACGGCCGGCTGGGAAGTGTAAGGGTCCTGGCTCTGGGAAGAGAACATGCTGCCGATGACGACAGGAGCAGGGAAGTTGTTCTGCTCCGGGTGGTAAGGGTTTGAGTGATGTTGCTGCTGGGAAGGCGGTGATGGTGCGTGGGGCACGAAAGACGGCGGCGGAGAGAGTGCTTCCTGGGGGCTGGAGTCTTCTTCTTCTCGTTCTATGCCGTGTGCATGATGCTGTCTCCTTGCGTGGTGAGGGCGAAGGGTGTTTGGTGTGGATGAGTGTTGTGATGGTGTCTCAGCAGACCAATATTGAGGAGGATATTGGCCGCCTACGATGAGGTTGTTAGTATGAGTGAAGTAAGAGAGGCGGGTGGACAAGGTTGTCGTGAGTTGGAGGGGGTGGGGAGGGTGAGGGTGTGAAGGAGTTGTTGATGAAGCTGACGATGATGAAGAGGAAGGAAAGTGTGTGTAAGAGACAGTGTGTGTGTGTGTGTGAGTGGGTGAAGAAGTGGTAAAGGAGGTCAAGTTGCGATATAGGGTGTAGACGTACGTTGATGTTGGACGTAGGCGTCGTCGGGGTGGGCGTTTTCAGGATACATGGCGGCTTTGCCTTTGATCCTATTTCATGGGTCGTCGTTGTTGTCGTGAGAACCTCTCTGCAGAGCTGATGCGGCGTGATGAAGCCTCCACTTGTTACGGAGCCAATTACCAGCGAGAGTGAAGGCGGAGATGTCTTCAATAGTCTGGCTGCATACGCATATCCGAACTGCAATAATGGTCAGGGAGGGGGGGATCAATAGAGAAGGAGAAAGAAGAGAGAAGGCTAAGCATCGTGGTTGGGAGTGTGTGTGTGGTGCGTGGTGTGGGTGGTGGTGAGGTTTTTGCTGTTTGTTGAAATCGCGTGGTTGGGAAAGCAAGAAAATCATGCATCATCGAGAGTTGTGACTGGCGATTGCAGCTCGTCGTTGGTTGCGATGGTGTTGCAGGTCGGAGGTTGGGAGGGAACGGCGTTGCCCTCCCAGCCACCGAGAACCCCACCGAAAATCCCTGAAGCCCCGGGGGTCCCTGACGGGCGCTAGGCCCCGTAGCGCCCCGGATGCAGGAACCAGTGCCAGAATAGGAACAGGAGACACTTTTTGAACAGGGAAGACTGACCTTTTTGACGTTTGTCAGGAACAAGAAACGATGTCCTTGTTTTACATAGAGAGAGAGAAGAGGAGGGGAAGGAAGAGAGAAAGCATATCACGAAGTAGAAAGTTTATCGCGTGGTTGCAGTTCGTCCCATGTTGCTTTTGTACACCTAAGGCGGTTTTCAGATGACAGAAGGGTACGTATCCTGCAGTACAGCTGTCCTGCATACATCTCCCAACTTCCAGGTTGCACACCTTACGGATACTTAACAATTGAAATGTGCCCAACACCACCCATTCAAGAACCAGAACTGCTCTGGCTTGGGTTCGCACCTATGCCTGACAACGAGAGAATGACACTTGTGACTTGGGATCACTGCGTAAGAACACCACCGACAGGGGACTCCACCCCGGCGGCAGCACGTCTCCGCATCCGCTGCCACCTCTCCCGCCGACGAGGCAACGCCACCTCATGACAGGGGCTCATTTTGCGAGTGGCTGGGCTGCAGGGGAGCCCGGCCGTTTGCTTACCTAACATCCCTCGACCTCTCAGTCTTCTCTTGAGTTTTGAGCTTTTGAAGCTGTGATTCTCACCGAATTATGAAACATGCTTCATGTCTCGAGCCAGAAATGAAGCATCTTTGAAGAATTTTTGAGTCCATGAGCGATCGCAGTAATCTCTGCATGACATGTCCCCAGACTCGGTGAGAGATAATGAGGCGGGTGTCCCAAGTGTTAGCTGCAAGAGGCGCCCGAGACCCAATCTTCACCGCCGGACGAGCTGTCAAACTCGAGACGGCAGGTCTAGCGGTCTACTAGCAAACCCTCTTGCGTCTTTAGTCTTCACTTTCACCACAGATTCACACTATCATGGTCCGAGTCTAGCTTCCATATGGAATCTTGTATCCCCGTTCTTCATCCTCTTCGCTTGAACCCTGGCAAGCACTTGGAATATCCAACCCCCTGCCTCGCCATGCCCCTCAACGCTTCCCAAACGCCCGGTAACGAAGGCAGTAGATGGCAAAAGATCAATACAACACAAACACCTCGTCACAAAAGCGAAAAATGAAAGGGACGAGACTCGAACTCGCGCGGGTTGCCCCACCAGGAAACAGATGTTAAGCTGACCTTAACCTGGCGCCATAACCAACTCGGCCACCCTTCCGTGTGGACCTGTTTGTTGAACAGGGGTGCTGTGACGATCCCCGCGCCAGAGCAGACCAAGACCGCCGCACAACGTTCACTATGGTCAGCTTCAATCCGGAGGACCACTTCGACAAGCATCACAACAAAATGGACTCACTGTCACTGCAAAACGTAGTGAAGAGGGCGACATAATCACGTTGGCTTTTATTGTTGACTTTCGTTCTCTTTACTTTCTTCTTACGGAAGCATTGTGGTCCCAAGCTCCCAAACCGTGCTACAACACACGACTCATCTACAATTACACCAGCACCCCGTTTTCGTTTTCGTGATTAAGTTCGTCATTTTAACTTCCCATCTCGGCCCGTGCCAACCACCTCAACCTTTAGCAAGGTAAGTAAGCTTAAAGACACAAAACCTTACATCTACAATGCCGTCAAAATTTCGCAGGAATGGAGAGATAATCATTGGTAAAATCATCACTTTGGTATATAAGCTGCTACGACAAATTCAACGCGAAAGAAAGCGGACCGCAAATCTTCTATCCCGTCTTAACTCAGCAGGTAGAGCCACCCTTGCAGTGCTCCTCGCACTTGGCCCTCCACTCCTTGCCGCCGAGTCCCTCAAACGTCAAGAACTCGTTGCCGTTGTTGTACACGGCGTAGCATTTCTACATGTCCACGCGCGTTAGTCAAGGCGAAAGTTGAAGGCATGTCAGTTAAGAGGGAGAGAGAGAGGAGGTTTACGTACGCCATCCTTGACTTGCGAAAAGACGGTATCCTCGTGGCCCTTGGGCTTGTTGAAGAAGACACCGGCGTCGGAGTATCCGTTGCAGGCGACCTGGAGGCAGGTGTCGTCGCCCGTGTTGCACTTGCAGCCGACGTGGGTGTTGGCGGCGGCCCTGTCGTGCATCGTGGTTAGCAGGATGCTCGGAGGACTTGTACTTTTGGGAGAGGGAGCTTACATGTAGGGCAGGACAACTGCCAGAACAAACTTGGTGAAGTGCATCTTGAAAAGAGAGTGGATGGTTATACTGTGGAAACGAATGTAGAGACTGTGGAATGAGAGGCAAAGGCGACGATGACTTCGAGTTCTACCCAACTATCCAGACGAGAGACTTGAATGCCCTTTATACAGATGACTGTGCTTCTTCAACTTCACAGGTGGAACGACAACATGCCTGTGTCTCTAGAGTACGGATACACTAGTTTACCTTCAATGATCTACTTAGATTAAGTCAGTTTGAAGTCAAACTCTATGTCTAATTCCAAACTCCTACTCCGTACTCGGGGCTCGCAGATTCGCGCAACTCGCCTCATTCATCCTTTGCAGTTCCCACAACTTTCACCCAACGATCGCGGCCTGGCTCAAGCCCTACCAATCTCAGAGGCTTAGACCATTCGCAACGTGGAGAAGACTGACGGAAAAGAATCCAAGGAGTCGTTTGATCTTGCGGTAGTTCATCCAGTGGAGCGACCTCCACGGTGTATCCGACGATCCGTACCCGAGTGCCTGAGTCGAGACGAGATTAAAATACATGTGGATGGGATCTGAGAAAAGTAGAGATTCCAATCTCTATCCGGTGCGGGAGGCCAGTAGAGTACGGCAGAGCGACGAGATACGCACGACTCAGTGTCCCAGAAATCTCGAACCCGTGAAGCGGACTACTCCGTATCGCCGGGAGCACCAAAGTCATCAACCCAGTAACTCACACCTCCTGTCCCGTCCGTGCCTATTATCCGAACCCGATCGTACCCCGTGTTGGTAACGGAAAATCTCTCGGAGCCGGATGACTCCTTAGCGGCAATGCTCTTAGAACGTTTTACGGCCAACGCGCGGCGCCAACCGGTGATCCGATCGTTCACCTTATGCTTCAGCTGCCCAACGACGACCGGATGCATGACTAAGTCTAGCATGCAAAGAAGAACAATCTAGTAGCGTAGGTAAGGACACAAGCTAAGTAGTATCCGTAGGGCGCAGCGAATTTTGCCAAGACCACGCTCAATCTATCTTACGTGAAACTTGGAGCCCGTTTTGGTCCTCAAACTTGGGGGGACCACAATTTACACTCCCGAGCTGAAATCTCGAGTCTGTGAGCAGCGTGGTGCTCCGCGTCGCTGTCCTTTGAAGAACCCGAGGTGACATATCTTTGGGGGCATTTATAAGCCGTTTCTCGCATCGTTGATTGATCGGACGTTCCCAACGAGACCGACTTACTGGAGGGGGAGGCATTGCTGTTGCAATTGCATCGACGGGCGCAACAGCCGGTACACTAAAGTACCTAGGCACCTGCCTTACATCACGTCGTTGCAACTGCACGGCAGCAGCAAACGGCTGGAATCCTCAGAGAACTGAACGGCGAAGGGCTCCAGGCCGCACTAGTTACCTAGTCGGCTTGCCGGAGGCGGCGGGAGCTGCAGGACAATTGGGGGTGAGACGGGTGGACTTTTCGGAATGCATTTTGTCGGGCGGCCTTCCGATGTGGGGCCGTGCGTTCGGGGCTCGGGAGTGGCTTGGAATTTCCCCTGTGCTATCAGCCAGGGAGGCAAGCCACATCTAGGCCATTGCATCAAGAGAGCAAACAAACGTAGCCTTCTCGAGAGACTAACATCACGCATGTGTCGTTCCGAGACCGCCTTTGCAGACTCGCGTGTCAGCAGACAGCTTGTGGATGTTTAAGGGTATGTTGCGATTACAAATCTATTCCACTTCATACTGCATTTCTATCTTGATACTGGTCGTCATCGCCACCTTCCACTCATCCGCTTATCTTGGGTATCTTCTATGCTGGAATCGTCATGCATTGAGTGCCTCTGTACCGACCAACGAGGCCCTATCACCGAGTCAGTCGTGATCAAACACCACGGCCTTGTACCCCCTCTACTCACAGCTTCTCCCACTCATCTGGGTCCGTGTTTCAATCTTCTCGGTCTAAGGGCGACAGTACGAGCAACGAGCATGTGTGCACGCCACAAATGCATCGTTGGGCTTGTTGTTGAAGTCACAGTACTCGTAGCACTCCATCAAGTTCTTGTCGGGGCAGACCTGCGCGCTGGCGAACGAGAGGCCGGCCACGAGGATAGATAGAACGGGTGCGAGCTTCATGTCGGCGAGTATTCGTATATCGGGTCTTGAAGATAGTAGAAGGGAGGGTTTACCTAGGAGAAGGGAGTTGCCAAGAGTGTTTATAAAGGATTTTCTTTCCCCGTCTTCTTATAAGCGGAAACTGTGCCTATAAGGCCTTGCGCTCCGACAGCAAAAAAGTGATTAGGCTATGTAGGGTGTAGGAGCGGCAGGGCCGGTGTTGATGATTTCCCCGAGTCGGGAATGATGACGCTCGCAAGCCGACTCGGGAAATAACTACGCGTGGAGCAGAAACGATATTGATAATCTGCGTTATGACACATGGACACACTATCAAACGTTGTGATTGGGGGACAGTTGCCAGTAAAAGCTATAGTGGACTGTCTAGCAAGAGACACGACTCAAGGCCCCAGTCTCTGGCACGGCTGTACGGACACGGCGTATACGGGTTACGGATAGCAAGGAAATGAGCTTTCGTAGTACGAAGTTACAAACTACGAAGTAGTAGCGAGAGTAAAAGGCCGTGCTTAGTCGCGAGGGTTCATTTCGTTCCTCTCAAGGTTCATGACTATAATCTAGACTAGGGCGTCACCCCATCGTCTCAACTCCCACGTGCCCACGGTCTTGTGGTTTTAAGATTGCCAAGGTGAGTTTCCCTTCGGGAATAAACCCCTCGGAGATGCTTGATTCAACGGTGGAGGAAACACTCGAGAATCCATGGTCAAAATCATCTGATGACAGAGTGCAAGACAACAATTCATACGTTCCTCATGAATCTACGGGCACGATACTATCAAGGATATCCTACAACTCTTCGCTCCAACCGCCCTCGTATCCTACCTCGATAAACCGGGCCAGCCGCCTCTTGAGTTCCTCCACGCCAATCCTCCCCGAAGACGAAGTCGACGACAGTAATGGCGGCGCTGGCGGTGGCAAGAGCACCTCGTCCAGGATATGCATAACGCCATCCCTGACCGGCACATCTCTCGCTGATACCGCCGCCCCATTCACCCTCACCACGCCCACCGGCCGTCCACCGTCACCCGTACGTCCCGCGCTGCGAGAAACCACTGCCTCGATCGAGACCCTCGCCCCGTCAAGCAAAGTCTGAACATCCCGTCGCACCCGCCCCACCCCGTCGGCGTCCTCCCCGAGGTCCCTTCCCCCGTCGGTCTTCTCCTCCATCTCCTCCTCATCCATCTCCACGCCTTTGAAAAAGTCCGTATAAACAACCTCCGCAACAAAATGATACCTCACCAAAGCCTCAAGAAACTGAGCCCCCTCCCGCGAAGAGAAAAGGAAATCCATCGCCTCCTCGCCCAACTTATCCCACGCCTCATTCGACGGCGCAAACACCGTGACGCCAGAGCCGCCACGGAGGCTCCGCAACACTTCCTCGCTCGCTCCGCTCCTCTTCATCGCCTTCGCAAAAGTCCCCAGCGTCTCCTCTGGCACCGCAGTACCGACGAGCACATCCCACCGCGGCGGCGGAATCAGGACCTCGTCTATAAAGTGTACGACAACAGCACCGTCCCCGCTCTCCCTCGATTCGGGAGCGAGAACCCGGGCGTAAAAGTTAATCTCAACACCCGATGGCCCCTCCGCGATCCTCACCCTCTGCTGTCCTAGCTCCCCGCCACCACCTTCTTCGAGAATCGTCTCCGCCGTCCGCAGACCACGGAGATTTTTGTAAGTGTACCGCCCCGGAAGAATGTGGTACTCGAGGATCTCGCCGAGTAGTTCCGCTCGACTGAGTTCGAAAACGCCCTCAAGCTTCTGAAAAGCTGAGTCCACGGGGACGAAGACCGTGAACTGCTCTTGTTTCTGCGTATTCTCGTCGTTGTTGCCGAGAAGCATGTCGTGGGCCTTGCCGTATGAGGTGAGGAGCGTTGTGAAGTACTCAGTTTGCATGCCGCTCTCTTTGATCAACGCCAAGAGATCCTTCCCTTTGTCTGCCTCTTGACTCGATCTCGGATCGTCACTTGTTATTTGTTGGAGTACGACCGGCCCTGCGTGGCCGGTTTCGATGTCGTGGGCGTCGGTTGGCTGTCCCATCACGCGTCTACCGGCCTGGGCCATGGCTCCAGCAGCTTGGTAAAACATGCCGCCAATGGCGTTGACCACATCGCCGAGTGACGATGACTTCCCGTCACTCCATGCCCGCGTTGTATCCCAACTCGAGTCCCTCGAACTTCCATCCTGGGTCCTTACTGTTGACTGCTCGGGCCTAGTCTCGGGTAAAGCAAAAGCCGAGACAGAAGTAGCCACAGCCGCGTATGGCAAGACACAGCTCGCCTTCATATCTTCGCAACCTTTAGTATCCGATATCAAAGCCGCAGCAGCAGATGACGACGGCGAAGAATCCACCGACGATGAGCGAACGTGACGTATCAGCTTCTCAGAGAGTTTTCGACGAAGAGAAGTGGAAGAGTTGAAACGGATATGTATTCGTCGCCCCATGGGGAAGTACTCGCTCCCGATCATAGCCCTATATAAATAAAGGGTATTTTGTTGTGTAATTCTTCAACACAAAGAATGGGTCTGAGACATTCACGACCCGGATGAAGTGGGCGTCCCGGTCTCCGCTGATGTAGGTTTCCTGTCATCGGATGGAGACATAGAGGTACCCGTCACCCCCGGTCCCGGGCGGGCAGCAGCATCGCGGCGGACCATCAGGGTCCGCACATGCGGCGCAGTGACTTCTGACTTACACCGCACCGTCGCGACTCTGCATGCTGTTCCACTTCTTCCCGGTACATGTGATATTCAGATCCATTGTTGGCTTTGACTGGTTGAGAATGCATCAAAGTCGTGTCTTGGCGGTTGTGTAGGACAACAAGGTGCCGTCACCTGAGTCGACGAGAATATCGGGTCCAAAAGGCATGATGACCGCCCGTCCGCAGCGATAGATTCAGGAAGTGTGTCCCGCGGCTATTTTGCATCGTCCTTTTTTTTGTCTCATCTCAGAGGATTGACATGGTGATGCCGTAAAGAGTTGTACGAAGGCAGGCGAGCTCACACTCTCGGGCCCCCGAACCCGCCAACGACCCGAATCTCCCCAACCTTCTTTTCCACCGCCTCGAAGGCATCCACAACCCGCCCGCCCCTGACATCAATAACACCCCATCTCTGCTCTCTGCTCTTTCTCGGGACCCTTCTTCTTCCTCCCGATTCCGCTCCCGTCCCGTGCTCCCAAACACCATTCTCGTCAAGAAGAACCTCCAAAGCCCAGACAAACCTCACGCCTCCTGTACCATCATCCTCCCCACCACTCCCAGGCGCAGAGGCATACAACCTCTCAGCATCCTCCTTATCTCTAGGTATCTTCGTACACAGCAGGTGCAAATCAAGTAGCTGCGAAAAAACAAGCCCAAAGGTCGGTTTATTCCGCCTCGACGCCGCCTGGTTCCCGCCGTAGCCGTAACCCGTGATATTTAACGCAGGTGGGTTGAAGATGGATCGAAGTGTCGGGTCGACCGCCTTTCCACTGCTACCAGTGAAATGATCTCCTCCAATCGGTGGCGGCGGCGGCGGCGGCGGACCTCCCTGGGCATCCGCGGGCTTGGATGTCGTCGGCTCCTTTGAAGAGCTCGTGCTGTTGAGGAGCATGATCAACGGGCTGGACTCCAGGTTCCTGGATAGATACCGTAAGTGGGAGGAGAGGCGTTGGAGCGAATCATGCGCGGATTGACGGTCGCGGCGGGTGAAGAGCGCCGTCATGAGGCTGTGGAAGTGCGTGATCAGGATGATATCCGGCAAGGCTGGAAGTTTCGAATGGTCGTCTTCTGGGGATCTGCTCTCGGGCGCTGTTGCTGCTGTCGCTTCTGCCGCTTCTGCTGCTGCTACGGCTGGGATGGCGTCGAGAGGCTCGTTTTCTGGCTGTGGTGGTCTGCTCACAGTCTCCTCCTCATGAAGCTCTTCTGTGACTTGGTCTGGTGTTTCTTCCGCGTGATTGTTGAATCCTTCCCCCTCTGCGCCTTCAGTGACTTCCTCTTCAACCGCTTCTCTCTCGGGAGAAGCTGCAGTCATAAACGGTGTCGGTGACCGAATTGACGAAGGCGGCGGTGACAGCGAAGACGACGACGAAGATGGTAGCGAGATGGCGTCCTCGTCGTCATCCTCGTCGCTGTCGGCGATCTCCGTCCTCGTAGACTTGGTCGGCTGAGGCCGCGGCTTCAGTTCAGGCAACACAATCCTCTCAGGCTGTTGAGATACTTCCGGCTCAGGCGCAGCATGCTCATGTCTCCTCGATGAATTCGCCGCATCCTCAGCAGGAGCTTCCACACCGGCCGAGGCTTCCGCAACCCCTTCATCCTTTTTCTCGCCTCCCGTAAGATGCTTATCGTCATCCTTCTCCAACCGGTCTCCAGACGGAGCCCGAAAACCCGGAGAGGAGACCATACGCGGCTCAGGGCTCTCAGGCGGAATATCCAAGTCCCCAAGAGCCTCCCACAAGCCCTCGAGATCAAACACCCTCGAGACAGAAACCCTTCCCAAACACCGCCTCAACCTCGTCACCACATCCGCCTCAGCGGTGCCGCGCACCACGAGCTCCGTTCGAATGGCGTCCCTCAGCGGCGGAAGAATAGCCGCAGGGGGCTGCGTCGTGACAATCATCACCCTGGCCTCCACGCCTCTCCCATCACTCTCGGGCTCCTCTCCGCAGAGCGTCTTCGCCAGCGCCTGCATCGAAATCTAGAAATAACAAGTCAGCAGATTTTCCCTGAATCCCCCAATGCAGAAAGAGACTCACCAAAATTCCCATCTGCTCACTCTCAGAACTAAGCCCAACAACACTACCCCTCTCGAACCCGCCACAGAGGACCTCCCCATCGACCTCCCGGCTCCCGACCTGAACTCGACCCCTCGCCACCGCCGCATCTCTGCGCTTCGTCTCCCGACTGCAGAGGACGGCCGCGGAGACCGGCTCGAGAGGGAAATGCGAGCTCGCCTGCGACGCGGGGAATACCATCTCATCACCGTCGTTGCCGGCGCCTGCCATAGCTGTACGCCTCCTGTCCTTCCTTCCTCTTCTTCGTCTTCCAGGGCTCACCGTGGCCCTAGCCGTTCTGGACCGAGACAAGTGACAAAATGAAAGAGTCTCATTTCCGTGTCATTTCGACTTATTCTTTCGTTGACTCTGCTGCGTCTCTACTCCGAGATGGAATGATGGAAGCCGGCAAGAAGGTATCGTCAAGTCACATGATGGCAGCTGCCAACAGTTGTGCGGATTAAATTCCGACGAGAATGCCAGGGGAAGGGAGGAGCTGCTGGAAATTCTCCGCTGGAAATCTCGATTCAAGTCTCGGCGCTTTCCAGGGCCAGCCAGACTGGCACATTACGTTTGGACAGGGCCTTATCAGCCATTTCAAGGCTCAATGACATCACCCCTGTGTCTTGCATGATTGTCACTCATGCAGCCCTTTCTCACTCCTTGCCTTACACCTTACTCAACGCATCTCATCCGGACTTCGCCATACCAAAAACCTTGCTAGGGGGACACGACAGACTAGGTAGTCATGCATTTTGTGCTTTTCTTGTCAATAAGCTGACCCCTTGTTCCAAAAATACCTTGCACATGTTAGGTATCCCTTCATTGTCGCTACCTTGTTACGGTTGAATGCACTGCAAATTGGCAATAAGAAGCAGCATGTGAGGCTCAATGTTCTCTATTTTCAATAAAGCTAATTCATAACAATCTGCCGACGGACTGTTGGATTGCCTGCTCTATGCCTTCCCTTTGTGTAAAGTGCCTCTGCCGGCCCTGGAATATTTGTAGCAAAAGAGGCAGAAAAGGAGGCTCGTTTCCTCCCAAAGAAATATGATTATTCACGAGAAAGGTATCACTTGTCGGGTGGTGTGAAAATCCAGACGCATATGTGCGACCGCTCCGCCCTGACAATCGTAGTTCTCGTCCTGATGGCTTCTCCAAGAGCCACCCAACCCAATTCGAGATCCCAACCGTATTGACTCCCTCCACAAATGATCCAGAATTCGATATTATCGGATCCGTAGCCCAATGTGTTTGCATTGTAACCAGATGGTTCAAACAACTTCACGTCGTTCGTTCAAGGGGTGCATCGACTGCACCCTTTCTCTTTTTTGAAACTGATCGCCTTGAAGTGAGGCGTTTGATGAATGGCAAGGACTTTCTTTGCCGTATGCCTTCGCATTCGTCTTGTTGTGTCCTTTGTTTTGGCTCGATGCTCTCGTATCCTGCTTCCTAAGTTCTGCGAAACCACTAGGCGGCAGTGCCAGGTGCAGGAGGCGGTGCCATGGCATCAGAAGCCTGGCGTCTGCGTCCACCCTTCAGACTCTTGACTCTGGCCATGAAGCCTCCAGAAGGCTTGCTGGGTCCGTCCTCAGTCGGTGACATCACGTCAGCTGTGGCACGACGCTCGAGGCCATTAGCAGAGCCTCGACGGGGCACTGGGGGAGGTACACCAGGCGAACGGGTACCGTTGTCGGCTCGCTTGACAGAGATTGTCTCGGGCTCCTTTCCATACTCGGAAAAGAAGGGGTTACGCTCGCCAGTGTACGAAATGCTGCTGGCGGGTCCATTGGCATCGGGCGATCGACGGGAGGTGTATGCTCCCTCCGGGTTGGTGATTCGACCAGAAGGACCATACTCGCGGGGCTCCCTCTTCATTCCACGAATGCGTTGGGCGATGGACTTGCTGCGGCCAAGGCCCTCGGAGGTCGACTGCTGGGCTTGCTCAGCCTGAGTCTTCTGGATGGCAGCTCGGGCAGCAGGAGTACCCTCCAGGAAGGTCGAGGCACCGAGTCCCATGGATTCCTCTCCGTAAACGATCGAACCGCGAGCTCGAGGGTCAAAGACAGCGGGATCATCCTTGCGCTCAAGTCTGGCAGCAGTTGCAAAGTCTGCCGATGCCTCGCCGTCGTTGTGGCCCATGAACACAGCATGGTCCGGGCGCTTGTTGAGGGGACCGGAGCCGCCAAGGGACATGTTGAGGGAGTCCTTGGCAAAGGCTTGCATCGGTGCACGGCGGCTGCCCTTGCGGTTACGGTGGGGGTTGGCTGCATCGAAAGGACCGTCGTGATGGAACACTACATGCCATTAGCCTGGGAATTTCCAATTTAAGAAAGGAAAATGCTTCACTCACATCCGGTGCCGTAGATGCTGGTGGCATCCAGTTGGTCGATGATATCGATTCTGCGACTGGGCTTCTTGGGGTCCTTATCCTTTCCTTCCCGGGCGCGGCGTTCTCTCTCCCGACGTCTGGCTTCCTTTGCCTTTCTCTCTTCGTCGGTCGGAGACTTCTCGATATCAATCAGTACGGACGACTCAGAGTTCCTGCGTGGTCGGCGTTCCTGAGGTCGGCGTTGGGGCGATCCAGGAGCTCCACCAGGTCGGGGAGGACCACCACTGCCCTGAAGGCGTCGCTGTCTCATCGCCTCCTCCTGAGATCTCGATGGACGGTGTCCGGGTGGCGGAGGACCGCGACGGGCTCCGGGCGGCACATTCTCGCGTCCTGGCACTCCGGGCGGGCGATTCGTCGGGGGTCGAGGTTGCTTCTGATCGTTAATGGTGAGACCATCCTGTGAGACGAAAAGTCAGTAACCTGCAAGCTCTTTATGTACGCGCGGCAAGAATTCAATTGGCGACCGTGGGATCGGCTCGGGTTGCATCAATTGATGGCTCGGGGGCAACGTACAAACAGCTCCTCAGCGGTAGGCGATGCCTTGTTGTCCAGTGATGTCGACATGGTGCCTGCTCCGATCAAGTTCGGTTGACTACTCGAGTATGATGGATCGAGGAATGGGTTGCGCGAGACAGGTCGGGGAGGGTCGTCAAAAGGCGAGGCGGGAGAGGTGGTATTCGTAGTGCCGGAGAGTAGTGGGGAGGCAGCGCGGTTGCGAAAGGGGTTGTTGGATGAGAGATTAAGCGTCAAGCCAGCGCCAGCAGATTTGCTAGGTTGATGGCCTATTCCAAGGAAGTAAAGTTAGCACTCGATAAGAGGAAGGAGAGAGAGAGAAAGACAGTGACGGCTCCGTGCATGCGAGTGACGGCGAGGGGGGAAGGGATATGAAACATGAGGGCGGTATACATGACACAGCAGGTTCAACAACTGGGTGGAGCGGGCGCGGTGCTTGCGTTTGCTTGGGCGGCAGTGCAATCCGTGAGAAAGGGCGGCTCTCTTCCCGTTGGACAGGGCAAAAGTCAAAGGGGGAGAAATCCGGGAAGATGGTGGCAGGCATTGAAAGGGGTGGGTGGGAAGAGGGATGAAGGTTGGGCAGGATAGGACATGCCGGCGCATATCCATCCCCTACATCCATATCAGAGTGTTTGATTCTTGGCTTACCTGGCTGTGCTGATTGTGCCTTTGACATTTTGGCTGTAGTTTGTGAGGTTTACCGTGTGGGATGGTGTGGTACCCGCGACGGGAGGGATGACCAGATGGGAATATGGATAATGATGATGGACGGGCGCGTCGTATTGAAAGTCAAGGGATCGGCCTTTTCTTCCGCCAGAAAAAGGGGAGCTGTCCGACCGATTGAGGAGAGAGCAGCGAGCGTTGCTAGCAAGCTTGATTTTCTTTGGCTGTCAAATGGCCGTTCCTAGCGTCATGCCTCTCTGCAGGGACAAACAATAACGGGGGGAACGGGTTTTTGGAGGAGCCACCCGACGGTTCCTCGGCAGGTCACTGGGCGGTGCGGTGCGCGTGGTGTGTGTGGCAGCGTGCGGGCAAGCAATCTGCAGTACGTCCGAAGGCAGATGGGTGGTCGGGATCCGGAGTCGTAGGTGGGTGGGTGCGTGGGTTGAAAAGAAGAAAATAGGGGTGAGTTGTAATATCAAAGATCCTCGATTATAGTCGGCAATGCGCGTCTGGTTTGGCTTGTAGTGCAGCGCGGTGTCCTTTTCTCCTGCTTTGATCCGACGTCAGCTAGAAAAAAGCATCCCTTGGGCTCTGAGGGGATGAATTGGTTTGGGGGGACGAATTGATTATCGGATAATGGATTGGGTCCAAATCATCCAATTCAGGGGGAGATTGCTGGTCTGCCGGGAAGCGAGTAGTTTGGCTTGGTGGCTAGGAATTTTTGGGTGGTAGAGTGGTGGATCTGGGGTCCACGCACCATCCACGACTTGCGAGGATGAAGGGGTTTGGCTGCTTGGGTTTGGAGACTTTGGACAGGATTGGGCGGGCACTCGACCAAAAGGCTGGATGATGCCGACGACTGGACGAACGCGCGACAACCGAGCCAAGCAGCTGTCTGAAGAGTGGGCCAGAAAGGGAAATGCAAGCTCACCTTCTCTTTTGGCCTGGGTCTGGCTTTTTTGTTTCCTTTTCTTGCTCAGTCCACGTCCTTGTCAGAGGTACGGAACAACGTTGTCTCTCTCACAAGAGAGCGGTTTGACGAGTTAATAAGTCGATGCTCGGTATTTCAATCCGTGCGATCGCGATACCCCAAAAACGATCCGGGGACAGTGTCTAGATCAGTGATGATGTTTGACAGCTCGTACAGTCGCTAGCTGGTATTGCCGTGTGACATGGGCTCGGTGTGTGCCTGCAACACGGACCCGGGTTGACCCAACTTCTGGGTCGCTTTGATGCCTTGATAGGGATGCCCGTGTCTCTGCGAAGCGAGAGATGACGACAGAAAACAGAAGGTAGTGTAGTTTTGGCTGAATAGGGAGGTGATGGTGACACTGTTCCTAGTCGTGTTCGGATGCTTAGAGAATGCGGGTGGTCTCTGAATATGAGATGCGAAGTCGGATGAGATGGTGAGTCGAGATGAAGGTAGATGGATGCGAGAACGGACGAGAAGTTGGAGCGAGAGACGAGAGATGCTGCTTGAGAGTTCGTTCAGCTCGAGAGTGTGTTGGCGAAAGAGGAAAAAAAACGAGGGACGGGTGCGAGGCAGTGGAAAGTCCCGTGAGGCAGGTAAGGCCAATGGTCCACTCGTTGAAGAGGGGGAGAAGCTGTGAGGCGGAAGAGGAAGGAGGTCCCGTTGAAGGAAAGAACAAAGGAAGGAAGGCGCGAGGCTTAAGTTCTGAGGCTTGGTGTGAAAGAGCAGGAGGCAGGAGGCACTCCACGAGTCGTTGAGCAGGGCAGGTGCACCTCAGGCAAGATATTTGTGTATCCGTCCGCAGCTTTTGAACGGGAAGGAATGAATAATCGGGTAGGAGGAAACGAGGAAGCCACGGCCAAGGTAGGTAGGTATCTTTAAGCTGAGGAAGGTGAGGTGGGTGAGCTGAGGAGGGGCAGGCAAGAGCGATGATTTATTAGTATTAGTCGACTCTGGTTCTTCTTTCCTTTTCGTCGTTTGGGGAAAGAAGGCACAAACGATGAGAATGGGAAAGAATCAGACCGGAGTAGAAGCAAGAAAAAGCGAGAAAGGGAAGGAGAGGAGGAGTAAGAGCAATTAGGAAACGGAAAGACACAGAGCGTGGACAATGCAGCAAGAAACATCCCAACGACCTAACGACGCCCTCCCGATCCCCGCGCATTCCACCCGTTCCGATCGCCTCCTCCTCTCCTCTCTGTCTCTCTCTCCATTTCGACATCCATGGATGTCATCCCCATCACCCATCACCCTCATCTGTCAGCGGCACCTGAACTCGACCAGGTCCTGGTCCTGGTCTGGCACAGGCACATGAGCCACTCGATCTCAATCTAAGCCGCCCACACCACACCGTCCGAACCTATCCGTATGAATAGCTTATTGTCTTGTAAGCTTACCTTTTTTTTGCCCTCAGGGACACCATACAAAGACGAGGGAACGCTGACAACGGCAGATACGGTTGGCTGGGAAGACGCCTCCTCCGACTTGGGGCCCTTCAGCCCGGGTCTGTGGCTGCATCGTGGGCGGTGAGCATCTTCATGCCTCTACCACTATGTCCAGTGGACCTTCATTACCAGGTGGGTAAACAGTTCCTGTTTCCTAGGTACTACCGCTATCCGTCCTTCCGCCATTTCTATTACTACCCGTACCTCCATCACCATTTCTACTTCCAGCACCGGTCCTTCCAGTTGGCTCTTTGAGTACATTGCGTAGAGAATACGGATATACTCAAAGTATCGTAGTGAGACATTTATAAAGACAGCTGTGCCGAGCGAGGACAGCAGTGGCAACACGAGAAAGGGGCTGACTACCTATCTGTTGACTGGCGGATTATTTCTAACCCTCACTGAGAGCAACGAACTTGTTCAAACAGAATACCTTACCTCGACCTCATGACCTTCACGGCCCTTCCTTGCCCTGTCATGGACCATGAACGCTAACTACTTTCCATCATCTCCCGTAGGACACACGGCTCCCCAGCTGAACCGGGCTGTAACGGCGGGATTCTGTTTCTTCTCATTTCCATCTCGCCATTCCGACCCAGATGTAATAGATCCATCACCAAGCTTCCAACCAAAACATGGTGCAAATGGCCACCGCTGCTCTGCAAATCTGCCGCTCTACGCTCGAACAAGTATCGCGGCATGGGGTCTTTGGAAACACTAGCCATGACCAACGCGGGAGTGATGTTCCTCGGCCGACCGGGGTGCAGACGAGACGTGCCGACGACACACCCCAGGACCCCTAATAATCCTAATTATTTTAAACTAAGGTAATTCAACAAATTGCTCTACAGTTGAACGACAGGGTGCAATGCGCCTAGACTCGCCTCCGATGGAGTTCCGCAGAACAAGCCGGCCACGAACAACTGAGAGATGAGCATCTTCTGCATCTGCGACATGCACTCGTCCTCCAACAAACGATGAACTGCGCGTGGGAACAAAACGGACGGACCGGAACAGACGACAAGCCAAATTGTGTGGGCGCTGGAGCCATCTGGCCGACAATGCTTCGGTCGTTTCCCTCTCCACCGGGTTCACAGCCATCCAACCCATACCTTATGCACACATACCGGCTACTACCGACGGGCCTTCTTGGAGCTACGGACACCTTGACTTGGCCCTGTGTCTGTCAGGTACATGCCACAAGTACCTGACATCAGCCAGGGTCAGACTTGTCTGTCCATCCTCCCGTGCATGCTCCTCCACTCGGACTGTCGGCTCTTTGTTACTTGGTTCCTCTCTTTTTTCCTTTGACCAGAGAGCTCACAGATGCAATAAACAGAACCAACTCTTCCCGACAAAGCCGTACGTCTACCTGCGAACGTATGTCCTTGACGACAAAGTCCACAACCCGGCTATGACACCACCACTGAAATCTTCACCTGGGATCAAGATGAGGGATGGAGCTGTTCGTCCGCCCTGGCCCTGGTCTCTCCAGCAGCTAGACAAGACGGAATCACAAAGGGTAGCACAGGGGCCTGGTTTGTTGCAACCTGCCGCCCTTCCAAATTCGCTGGATTGCAACCTCGTGTTGGGGATCCCCTGGTCGTCTCAACCATGCCAAGGGAACATGGGGTGCATCAATTTGAACGTCAGGCCAGCAGCCAGACTTCAGACTCCAGTAGTCCAGAGTGTCCGAATCTCGAAAGCTCTCTGCCACCAGCCTCGGCGCCGCGCCATTGATGCTGCTGACAGTGCCAGCCAGCCCAATTCCAAGTCTATTGCCGTTGCACACACTCGAGCCCGTCTCCCGCCTGACGCGTGACACTTCCAGCCCGTTGTTGGCTGGTTTCCCCGCAGGGCCCGGCCATCGAGGTGGCGCCCAATAGTCACTCGCCATCGGACAATTCACTTCGTCTTTCGATCTCAGCTGTCATCCGAGCGCAATAAACTCCCACTGCTCCAATGTATCGAGGGAAGCCTGGAGACTGAATGGTTACCCTCACGCATGGAAGCCGAACGGTGAAAACAGATCCGCATTGTTCAGATTATGATAAGAGCACCGTCGTGTATCCGTACGGGGTACAGCGTGGTTTTTGCGACAGTCGAGATCGACACGAGCACTCACTCAGCGACCAGCGTACGGAGTAGAGCTGCTTGCCGTATTGCCTTGCCAAGCCTCGGGCAGGATAACCAAACGGGCAGATGGCGCTGCCCGAAGAGGGAGACAAAACGCCCTCCAATCTCAGCCTCGGACGATCTGATTCGATCAGCCCCCAAATCTGACTCTCCTGGCATACCGTAAGGAGTTCTACGCTTCTTCTAGCCACCTGGAAGCAGAAATATGGCAGACTGAAAACATCGACCGTATTCGCCCATGTTGTTATTGCAAATATCCAGCCATACCGCTCTTCACTTGAAGTGAGCTTGAAACCTCGTTTGATGTTGACGTTTGCAGCCTGCGGCCTCCCTTTCCCCTTCTTGGTTTTTTTTTTTTTGCTTTTCTTCATCTCACCCACATTGCGTCTTGATCGGATCGTGGAGCCGCCTTCCACCGTCATGGTCCTCCTAACAAGACTCCAGCCTCAGAGAAAAGCGTGACAGCATCATCCTGGAATCTCATCGCCAATCTGAAACGTAAGCGAGCCATCCATGGGCGAGAGCATTGGAGCAAAATCTTTTTGATGGGGCTTGTTCATATGAGCGGACGATCATGGGGGATTTGATTAATATCTGCAAAGTACGGATACAACAGCACTACGGATATAGCTGCACCAGCCGCACCTGCGATAGTGACCCCACAAGAGAATGGGTGAGTATGCATGGGTCCGGTCTGCGTAGTGCAAAAGCTCGATCTCCCAGAGATTGCTCTAGGTCCAGCGGGGGCCGGCGCAATTCTTACTTCTTCTTTCCGTTTGTCTCCATCACGGATGGGCTGTCAGCCTGCCACGAAAGGATCGCGATAGGCGACCCTCGTTGGGTCTCCTATTCTTAATTTCTTAGAAGTCACGGACTCACCCTCAGAGTCACAGTTGCGATCCCGGGCCAGGACGCCGGCTCGCTGGGTAAACCTCTTCCGCCACATTGACCTTCGGGAATTGCGGGGATACAATCAGGGCAATCGTTCGTCTCAATTACGGCTTTCTTCACGGTGACCGCCTCCCGGTCTGGGCCCTTCAACCCACTAATGCCCGCAGAGCCTGAGTCTGAGCCCAACTTCGCCAGAAAGCACTGGACGGCACTGGAACAGACCTGCTCCTTGTACGAACATACACTATGTACATAGTAGACGGATATGCACGTCACGGTCCCTCGCAAAACCCGGGTCCTCTTGCGCTCACTCAACCCGACTCAGCATCCATGAAGCCTGTTCAAATCCTACAGGAATCACCTTGTCTGCACGAGTAGGGACGAAGTCTGGACAACGGGTGTTCCGTGTCCAGCGTCTCTTGCGCATTGGCGGACCACCGATGTGATCTCTCGCTTTGGTAAAAGAAGATGCATTCCAAGCCATCACCAAGGGAGATGGAGCGGTGTTGAGAGCTCTTTGCCAAGAACCGGCTCAGCCGTACCGATGTCACCTACGAAGGCGTATATCAGTTAAGAGGGTCTTGTCCACCAGCAGGTGTGTACTTACGCGGACCTCTCGGCGCCCAGTACTCGCCCGTCTTGGAAATGTCGAGCTTTGTTGTCCATTTGATGAGACTGTCGGCGGCTTCGTCGGGGGTGACGGCTGCGACACTCAGACGTTAATGATCCCTATGAAACTCACCGGGCCGCCTACGCCATCAATGATATGAAGTACTTACCACCGCCATCGTCCCAGTACTTATCGAATCCCACGCCTTTGGTCATCTCAGTACGCATGAAACCCGGGTGCACGATACTAATGATGACGCCCTTGTCCTTCAAATCGAGACTCAACAGCTTGCCCACCATGTTCAATGCGGCCTTGGATGCGTGGTGGGCATAGTTGCCGCCGCCCTCCTTCTCGTGTCGGAGGGTGATGCTCCCGGACTCGGACGAGACGAGCACAACCTTGGAGTCCTTTTGGAGAAGACCGGCGTGCGCGAGCGCGTGGACGATGAAGACGGGGGCGATGGAGCTCGTTGTGTACATGCGCTGCTCTTCGGCCCAGTTCGGACCCTTTTCGGTGCTGAAGTCCTCCGTCGCGAAGTAGCCCGCCGTGATGATCTACCTCCCCGCCAGTTATTCAACAAGCTCTCCGGCAGCAGCGGGACGGGTGCATAAGAGGGAGCCACATACCACCGTCGAGAGCGGCTTCGAACCACCGAGCACACTGACTAGGGTCTTACCGACATTCTCGTCCATCAAGTCGATACCTGGGAGCCACTTTACGGCATCGGAGAAGCCTTCGGGTCCTTCTTCGGAACGCGTGGTGCCGTAGACGGTGTTGTCCGCGTCAGCGGCATACTGTTTGATGAGGGACGCCCCGAGGCCTCGCGTGCCGCCAACGACTAACACAGGAGACATGATGGTTTGGCACTGGTAACCTGGTTATCTCTGGAACTCGTATCTGCCGGTATTTGTGTTCTATTTTCGTTTTATTCCGGGCTCACTCTCAAACACTGCTGGAATGCGGCACCCGTTGGGGGAATTAAATTGGAGGGGCTGCGAGGGAGTCGGTCGAGGAATGTAAAGGGAACGGTTGAAGTGGTGAGCCACCTAAGCTACCAAAGCTACCTTATCGTGACGTAGGTGTCGCAGTGTGATGGCGGCTGGCCCAATGAAGCATGGCGAGTCGCATCACTGTGAATGGCGGGGGAGGGGCCTGGAATCACGTCTTATCGATAAAGTTGGTGTGACCATCGTATTGCTGACTGATCCATAGTCTTGCCTCGAACAGTCAACTTCTCTTGCGTGAGTTATTCGCAGTTACCTTAGCAGTAAGAGAGCGTCTAATGGTCAAATACACTTGAGACGAGAGTCAATTTTGTACATAAACTCGGGCCAGTTGAAGTTCTGCTTCCGTCGACGACAAAGCTGCGGCTTTCATAAATATATCATGACCAACCGTTGGCAACGCACGTGAAAGGCATTAGACCTCTTAAAATATATGTGAAAAGAATTGCCTGACTCCGCTTCAATGTATCAACTTCCTCCAATCACGATCCAATCTGGCGAGGACAACGGATTGAATGGATGGCGAGCTGTCAAAAAAAGAAAAAGTGCCTAACAACGTGTTCATGAAACCAACCACGCGGTTTAAGTTTCGAGTGAGATGCTACTACATACAACGTAGCCGTCAGCAGCATCCTGGCGCAGTGACGTCTGAGTTCACCTAATGAGGCAAACGGGTGGTGTTCGCCGCTTTGAACCATCGCATCGAGTTCGTATTCGTTCTAATGGATCCTTAGATAATGGCAGCTGTGTAGGTGGCCCTATGCTTCATAGCTTCATGGACTCCATTTCACTAACCGCAAGTCAACTGAGCAGAATAAATATCTAGCAAACATGGCCCTCAATTACGGATCTATTGCCTTGTATATGATTGAGATCACGATTACATACGTTTGTATTTGGATTGCCCATGTTAGATATAGGTCTCACACTAATCGGGTATCATAGTACTTTTTACTCGGCATCTACAATGTCTACTTCCACCCTCTCCGCCATTACCCAGGACCAGTCCTGTGGCGCTTCAGTCCGGTGCCGAAGAACATCTACCTCCTGACGGGCAGATACGCCGCCAAAGCCCGTGAAATCCACGAGACCTACTCCGGCGCCGTCCGGGTAGCTCCCAACGAGCTATCCTACATTCAACGTACGGTCACCTCACCTCACCTCACCTCACCTCACCTCATCTTCCCTCCCCCGCCCGACGATTCACTCCGGACCCACAGTTCACAATACTAACACGCATAAACAGCACAAGCATGGAAAGACATCCTAGGCCGCCCCCTCAAATCCGAAATGGCAAAAGACATACGCTTCTTCGGCGGCGAGAATTTCGGCCGCGACAGCCTCGTCACCACCACGCCGGAAGACCACACCCGCCAGCGCCGCATCTTCACGCACGCCTTCTCCAACACGGCGCTCAAGGCGCAGGAGCCTCTGCTGGTGAACTACGCTGACCAAATGATCGAGGCTATGGGAGCGCTCGCCGAGCGTCAGCATCAGCAAGCGCACGACGGCGAGGGTGAGAGTGATGGGTTGGGGTCCGTCAACATTGTAGATTTGTACAACTTTGCCACCTTCGACATCATGGCGGACTTGACCTTTGGCGAGCCGCTTCTTCTGCTCAAGAGGGGTGATTACACGCCCTGGGTGCGCAACGTCTTCGCGGGTCTCAAGTTTGTCATCTACGGGCTCGTCTTCCTTGAGATTCCGGTGCTGGGACCGCTTGTTCAGGCGGTTACGTCCGCGCCGCTGAAGAAGAAGGCGCAGGAGCATACTGACTTTGCGGGCCAGCTCGTCGATCGGCGGCTGAGGGAGAGACAAGCGCATCCGAAGCCTGATATCTGGAGCTTTGTACTCAAGCACAACGACGGCGGCAGTGATGACGACAGAGTCAAGAGCAACGAAAAGGGTCTGTCTGACAGGGAAATGCACGCCAACGCGGCCATGTTCATGGTCGCCGGGACGGAGACGTCGGGGACGGTGTTGTCCGGCACGACGTACTACCTGCTGCGGAACCCGCGGGTGTACGACATTTTGACGAGGGAGATTCGGGCCGCGTTTGCGCGGACGGAGGATATTTGCGTCGACGGGCTTGTGCGGTTAGAGTACTTGACCGCGGTGCTGATGGAAGGGTTGAGGTTGTATAACCCCGGCGGCGCGGGGATGCCGAGGATCGTGCCGAGGGGCGGGGCGGAGGTGTATGGGGAGTATATCCCGGAGGGCGTACGTCCTGAAACCTCCCTTTTTTTCCTTCGTGTCTTTTCTTGTTTGCCACTGCGTGGTGGAAGACGATGGTGGTGAGTGTGAGCGGGACGTTTGAGCGGATGCTTACAGTGAGATGAACAGACTCTGGTATCCGTCAACCCCTACTCGGCCTTCACGAACCCGGAGAACTGGGCCCGGCCGAACGAGTTCGTCCCGGAGCGGTGGATCCATACGGATGCGCCCGAGTGGAAGGATGATAAGAGGGACGTACACGAGCCGTTTTCGTATGGGCCGAGGAATTGTTTGGGCAAGAAGTGAGTACCACCAACTCGAGACCAAACCCACGCTTTCGCGGCCTCTCAAAGTTTATTTGCTGACGACGAACCTCGTGTGCGCTCGACTTCAGTCTCGCGTGGCTGGAGCTTCGTCTGCTACTGGCCAAGACGCTGTGGCACTATGATCTGGCGCTCTGCCCCGGTATGAAGTCGTGGGTTGAGCAGAGGAATTATATCACGTGGGAGAAGGGGCCGCTGATGGTTAAGCTGAAGCCTGTTCAGAGGGATGGATGAAAGCTGTGCTGTTCTCATCATGTAGGAGGGGAGGGTAGAACACGGTATTGATTATCTTGTTTTATTTATTAAGGGTATACATTTACCAAAGCCTGAGTTGAAATGTGAAAGATGCTTTCGAAAACCGATACATCATATGGCGATACACCAAGCGCCTATCATCAAAAGTAAGAGCTGTGACCAAAAAACACAGAGTCTACTAGTGCATCTTGAAAACTCGTCATTTACATCCTAGATTTCAGGGAGATTATGGGACACAGAGACTCCCCCAATGTTGGGTTATATTGCCTGATGAGAAAGTATGTACAATGAAATAGAAAACTACCAGATCATGTATCTGTAATTCAGTTGACTCAGTAAACCCCAATGGCTTCACCGACAACGCTCTTGAACATGCCGTTCGGGTCAAACTTCTCTCTGACAGCCTTGAAACGGGCAATGTGCTACAATACATTGTTAGCAACCAGTAACTTCTACATCAAACAACGTGGTACCAAAACTTACATCGGGGTCAATGTTCTTCGCGGCCTGGGCAAAGACCTCGCGGGTATTCTTGGTCCAGTGAGGGCGGCAGGGGAACTCGTCAATGAGAACCTTGGCAAGGTTGTGATCTAATAACAAAACTTAGTCAGCTTATATTCCTCCTTCATCAATGGGTTGTGGTGAGTAGAACACGTCACCGAGGGAACCACTTACAGAAAGGCTCGTTGAACCTGCTGTGGTCGCCAACAGTCGGCCTAAACGTCGGGAAATCAAGCATAATCACCCCCTTACTCCAATCCGCCCCATCAGCAGTCCCATACGTAACCTGCCCCAGCAGATCAAAATACGGCCTGCCAAACTTAATATTAATCCCGCTCCGATACGTCGACGTCATGACAATCAACTTCTTGGCCTCGTCGTCAAACAACGCCCTCACGCGCTTCAGCATGGCGTTCGCCTGCGTGATCGGGAACGCCAGCTCGAGCGTATACCCCTGGACGCCGACCTCCCACAGCGGCCTCTGGTCCGGGTACAGCCCGCCGATGAGCACGTCGTAGTTCCACCCGTAGACGGGCCACTCCTCGATGGGCTGGTTCGTCGTCTTTTCGCGGAAGTTGGGCTTCGACCAGAGGCCGAAGAAGATTTCCTCGGCGAGCATGTTGGAGGTCGGGAGGTAGCGGCCGCTGTCGAGGAGGGTGCGGGCCGTGTTGCCCTCGAGGTCGGTGACGGAGAAGGTGTTTTGGAAGCCTTGCTGGTCCGAGGTGTTTGTGGGGACGACGTCGTAGTAGCGGTGGTGGAATTTGCGCTTGTAGGGCCACCACTGCGTGGGGTTATTAGTCCATGGCAGTCCCTTAGGAAAAGGGGGTGTGAAGTAAACGAACCCAGAAGTTTGCTGTTGCGTATGGCGCAATCATGCCGTAGATGTCGCCGTCGAGGACCTCGCTTTCTTCCAGCCTTTTCCGTTATCGTTAGCGAAGTCAAGCTACACCAGCTTCATGAGAAACTCACGTCTTCTGCTGAGCATAAACCTTGAAGTCGGGGTAAATCTTGAACTTCATCCGCACAATAACACCCAACAACCCAAGAGAAGTCGAGGCAGCAAGCCACGTATCGTCATTATTGTCCCGCACAAGGTGCCTCAGCTCCCCGTTCCCATCAATAATATCCAACTCCAGCACGCCCGCCGCAACCATGGAATCCTCACGGATCGAAGACCGATGCGCTCCCATAGCAACACACCCCGCCAGCGTGATATTCCAGTTCACAAGCGTGTACCCTGCCGACGCGCCACGGGCATGCAGATACTCGGCAAGCTGCAAGAACGTCACGCCGGCCTCGATGACCACGCTCCCGCCCTCGAGATCAAAGTCGGAGATGCCGTTGACGTCCTCGGTGCGGATGATGACCGTGTTGGCATCGTCGGAGCACATTGTGTCGTACCACATGTGGCCCTTGCCCGAGGCGCGGACTTTTTGGCCCGAGGCGATGGCGTCCTTGACGAGGGACTGGATGTCGGAGACGCTGGTTGCGTTGTGGACTGCGGCGACGTCGTTGCAGGCGGGGAAGCCTGGGCCGTCAAAGGTGTTGTAGGGGGCTGCGGTGACGGCGGTCGATGCGAGAAGCATCGCCAGGAGGGGGAGGGGGCGTAGAGACGGCATTGTCGTCAGGCGGGGGCTGAACAAGCCCGTTTTGGAGGCAAGGGGAAGGAGGATACAAGCTTCAAGTCCCTGGCAAGGAGTGCGAGAGCTTAGGAACTTGCTCGTGAGATGGGATGAACCTGTCGTTTACTTAGAACAACAGCCTTTTTATCGCCATCTACACTGTTACATCTACATGGGAACTGATAGACTGCACGCCCAAACTCTCCATCAGAACAAATGCCGCGGACCTCGAACAAGCTTTCATGTGATGCCGGGAAAGAGTCACTTCTCTCAATGGAAAACCTGGTTCAATGGAAGGTCCAACGTCACCCAGGTCACCCAGATCACCAGGCCAGGAACATAGAGTTGTATCGCAGTTACACCACATCGATGGGAAAGCTTCTCGCGTACCGTATCAGGAAAGTAAGAACATCAAAAGAAGGGAAGCCAAGACGGTGACAGATCCCGATCAGAGACATGGTCCGATATGTAATGTAACCCAATGGGCTCGTTGGGGTACCGGGAAGGTGACAGTAGAGAACGCGGGGAAGGCTCGGAATAGCGACGGTAGAGACGGAGATCTTCATTTCTCCTCTTACTCGCATGTCCGTGTGATGCGCAGGGAAGTGAGTGTGCGGGGTGACAGCGGCACAGCGGATGCGACGCCGCAAATGGAGGGAACCTGCTAGGGATAAGCGGAAGACGAGAAGTCAACCTTGAGTAAAGTTAGCCATCAAGTATTCCGCCATCATCGTCTGATGGACTAGTAGATCTGGAGTCAGCTTTGGCTTTTATGCATATAGTCTGGCATCTGACGGCTAGTAGCAGTTGAGTAGTGATGTGCAAGGGGTCGGGTGGAGGATGTGGTTGGTGATTGGTGGGCTGACCGTCTCGTCCGGACGGACTGACCTGCTCGGAGCGGGGAAGTCGGGTCGGAGAAGCGGGGCAGTCAACGGCCGAATCACTCCCGTAGCGCAGAATGGATTGGGCACCAAATGGCAGAATGTAACATAGAGGAGAAAAACAACCACGTAGCAAAAGACTCACACAACCATTTTGAGATCAGATTTGGGCAGGCAGAATGGCGGTGTTGCTCTTTTCATACAACTAGTGGATGCTCTCACCGGCTTCATGAGGCGTAAGAGAATATAAATGGTATGGCAGAAGCCCCAGAATGGAACGGCCAAGCAATGGAACTATCTTGACTCTTTCGCTCATGCGAGGGCGCGCACACCCTAATCCTCCTTAATCTTGTTGATCTTCTCCAACTCGAGGTCACCATGGCGATGAACATAGAAACCTCAACCTATTCCATTTCAAAAACTTCATCATCTTTCTATACCCCTCCATACCCTCGCTGTATAACAAACAGAATACACCTATACTGGCTAAGAACACTACCATCTTCTTGAAATATGTTGATAATCTCGACTTGTGGGCGAGGTTAAGTACGATCAATACAGCAGTCCAGAACAGCTTCGCGTAAGCATGTTCCTCGACTTAACTTTTACCAATGACCCTGTGGAAGAGAAGGGATAAACATCTGTTGGCACGTCTACAATTCCGTTTCTGGGCCTTCTTATATAGTATAACAAGTTCTCGAACCGAGACCGCTTTTGGCAGAAGCAAACATACACTCCCATCTAGTCGAGAACATCACTCTAAGTAGGCAACTCCGTACTCACTATCTTGATATGTATATGAAGCCAGGAGCTCCCTTATTCCAGGATAAAGACCTAGGTAATCGCGTCTAGATCGTGTATCCGAAAATGTGCGCTATTCTCCGCAAGGTCATCCCTCTCCCGTACTACACGTCAAGGCCTTGGGGTTCTGGATCTGTCCCTTACTCACTTAAGCACATCACAATATGGTGTCAATCACAACTGTACACATATCTTGTATCCTCAGAACCTCCCAAAAGAAAAATCTTTACAAAAACCATGAGTTCACAGAAGAGGCTAGAAACACCCTGGAGGGGTTGTATGCTTGAACCACACTTTGACTCTACAAGATATGATCCCCTATTATCCTTCTGCACTCCATCGCTGGCCTCTGTATAGATGTCTCAGGAGCATGCATCTCACGTCGAGCCAGAGCAAAAAGATCTCTAGCTTCAACCCGCTCGCTGTGCACGATTTTGGGGGGAAAAACGTTATTCAGTTGCCTCAGAGCCCGAACAGACCTGTGTACCGTCTAGGCTGAGCTTAGACAACCGACTCTTCTTCATCCATCGCCGCAACGTTGCCAGGTATTCTAGATACAATACTCCAAAACTAGCAACGAGCACTTTAATACAGAGAACAAAACGACCAGATTCTCTCTCTCAAAACGCCTTTTCTGAAATCATCCTTCGAGTGACCTTACGCTCCTTCCACGGTCAAAAATCAAGACATTTCCAATCCCAGTGGACAAAGGACAAAGTACTGCTGCAGTTCCAAACAACAACCTCGCAATTCGGGTATGTTTATATACCTTCCTCAAACCCAGCCAACCTCGAGAAGCCGAACCCAGGTCCAGAACACAACTAATCCCAAATTCCACCGCCCCCATCTGCTCCTAACGCTACCTTTTCTACAACAATGCACCCTCCCCTCACGCATGCTCGTCCGACTCTCAATCATGTCCAATGGAGTAGCGTCATCATAGAAAATTGACACCCAACTATCCAAACCACGCACAGAAAACCATGCGACATCACATACCGCAGCGCTTCAGAGGGTGATGTACACGAGGACGACAAAATGACGCGGCATTCCCTCAACTCTTTTACGGCCGAGCCATGCGTAACCCTCATGACTCCCTCATGACCAAGACATGAGGGACAAAACTCTTGCCTTGAAATGCTTCAGTCAAGACATTCTCATGCTTCGCGCGTCGGAAGTAACACTGATGTCGAACTCGTTCCTCTGAGATGCAATCCTGGCGAGGGGCTCATCACCGTGGTGACAGCGCGGCGGAGGCAGGTCTCACAGAAAAGGTAATGGCAAAGTCCTCGACAAAGAGCAGCCTTGGAGGGCATGAAAACCAGAATTTACTCATTGGCTTATACGTGGCAGTTACACAAAAATTGCAAGTGGACAGCGGCATGATCAAACGTTTGGGTCCTAAATCATCTATTCTCCTAAACCAAGTCCGACAAAAAAAGACAAAATAAACTACAAAACATCTCCTACATTACCCAGTGATACAGTTCGTACAAGTCGTAACTGTTCTCTTTCCCCCATGCTAGTTAGAAACAAATTTCACACAAATCCCATAAGCTGCGGGAAACAACTCCCTAGTCTATATGTGAACCGTACATGTATCTTATGCCAATGACTTCGTGATTTGATGCTGGGAAAGTCACGCTCAGACGGTAGCCGTGGGCAGGGCAGGGAGCAGCGACGTCTGTCCGATGAACCAGGATCGGGTGACGACGTAGCAAACCTCGCCACCAGGCAGAGGAGCCCCAGCCGTGTACAGACCAGGGGGCAGAGTGAGGGTGCCCGCAATGTTGGGGCCAGTGCTGGTGGGAACCGGCGCACCAGTGATGGTGGTACCAGGCTCGGTGATGGTGTTGACGACGGTGACGGAGGCGGTGGTACCGGCGCCGGTGCTGACGCTAATGCTGGTGACAGTGGAGACAACCGGCGGGGAGACGTCAAGACGGACGTAGACGGTAAGACGGACATCAGTCGGGATCTGGCGACGAGCCAGACGGACGGAAGAGGCGCGACCACCGCAACGCTGCGCAGGGTTACCAGGGCAGACAGTGTTGCACTGGGCCTCGGGAACGAGGATGGTGAGAGTGTTATCGATGATGTCACCACAGTAGCAGTCGGTACCAAACAAGCCAGCAAGTCTAGAGCTGGCGGGGCAGGCAGCGGTACACTTCTCGAGGGTCAACAACGGGTCAGACAAGGCCAGAACGAACGAAGGGAAGTTGCTGGACGAGGCGAAGCATCCCAACAGAGAGAAGCCATCAACAGCGACAGGGTTGGGAGCAATGCTGGAGGTGGCTGCAGCAGCGCTGCTGTCGGTTGTCGCGCCGCCAGCAGGACCAGTGGTAGGGCTGACGATAGTAGATCCACCAGTGACAACGGTAGAACCTCCAGTAACGAAGGTAGAACCGCCGGAAACGAACGTGGAGCTGCCCGAGACAATGGTAGAGCCACCAGAGACAACAGTTGAACCGCCAGTGACGAAGGTCGAGCCACCGCTGACAAAGGTAGAGCCACCGGTAGGAGCGGTAGTGGAACCAACGGGGGTAGTTGTGCCACTTCCAGAGCGGGTGGTGGTAAGGCTGGAGGAGACGGTCGATCCAGGGTTGGCGGTAGACGTGGTCGAAACACCGGCGGGAGTGGTGGTGGCAGAGTTGGTAGCGGCGGTGGAGGCGGGGAGGCTGGTAGTGCTGCCGCTGGCCGTGCAGGAAGAGCCTAGTAGAGAGTGTTAACAGCGAGATCGTTAGACATGTGCGGTTTGACTTACGAGGAGTGGCGCTCAGGGTGACCGGAGTACAGTTGGGCGGGACGGTGGTTCCGAAGGTAGCGTAAACTTGACCGCTGTTGTCCTGGCAGAAACCGGCCTGTCCTCCAGAGAAGGCTGCGTTGGACCATGCGAAGACACCGTTGTTAAGAGTGAAAGTCGCGGTGATCGATCCAGTGCTGCCGGAGCGGAGAGCAATGAAAGGCGTGTTGGGGTTGACACCGAGGGCAACGCCATCAACAGTAAGGGTGCCAGAAGCGCCGATTCTGAATACAGCAGCCTGGTTGCAGTTGGTAGGGTTGGTCTGTCCAGTGGTACCGACGTAGGTGGTTGCGCCGCTCTGGCGGTTCATGAGGTGCGCCATGATAGGGCCACGCTTCTTCATGGTAAGGGCAGTGGTGGAGTTCGAGAACGGTGCGCTAGTAGAGCTGCTGGTGGAAGCAGAGCTGGTAATGGACAAGCTGGTAGAAGTATCCGTAGTGCTAGCAGTGGTTGATCCAGAAGAGCTGGAGCTGGAGCCAGTGGAGGTAAATCCAGAAGAGGTGCTGCCCGAGGAAGAGCTGCCAGAGGAGCTGCTGCTGGAAGTACCAGAGGAGCTTGAGCCAGTGGAACTGCTGCTGCCGCTGCTGCTGCTGCTACGAGTAGAAGAGCTTGAGGACGATGTGGCAGTGCTGGAAGAGCTTGAGGAGCTGCTGGAGCTGGTGGGTGCTCTTCCGCCGACAATGGCGAGGATGAAGTCGGTCTGAGAAGCCGCGGCGGCGCTGGTGACAGAGCTGGAGGCAGAGTTGGACGCGGAGTTGGAGGCAGAGACCGTTCCAGAGGTCGTGCCGGAGACCGTACCAGTGGAAGTTCCGGAAGAGGCGGTGGAGCTGGCGCTGGCGCTGGCGACGGACGTTCCAGTGTTGGTAGGGACGAACTGGAGGTTAGTGTCAGTGTTGACCACGGCAGAAGGAACGCTGGATGAGCTCAAAGTAGTCGAGGCAGCAGCAAGGGCAACCTGGCTGGCAGGTGTCACACTGAGGATCGTGGCGGGATCAACAGTACCGGCCTGGCGTTTGAGGGCGCTGCGACGACGGCTGCTCGCAGCGGCAGCGCATTGATCAGCAGGAATGAGAGGCAAGGTTCTGAGAACAGAACCGCAGAAGCATTGGCCTCTAATGACGGTAGTGTAGGGCAGGGACTGAGAAGCGCAAGCAACCGCGCATGCAGGGGCGGTAGAAGCATCGGGAGGGTTGACAGTGTTCTCGAAGGGCGACTCTCCAGCGGGAACACCTCTGCATCCCTGTGACTGGACAACAAATCTCTCCGCGTTACCGCTGGTGTTAGGAATGTCAACGACAACAGCTTCGCCGGGCTGGATCTCGAGAGCCTTAGAGAAAGGCACCGGATCGGGGCTGAGGACAGCGATGGAAGACTGGCCAGGTTCAGCCGCAGATGTGGTTGGGGCAGCTGATGAAGCAGGGGCCTCCGACGAGGAAGCAGCAGCAGTCGAGGACGGAGCAGCTGCCGAAGAACTGGCAGGCGCAGCGGAAGAGCTAGCAGCGGCAGCAGAAGACGAGCTGGCAGCGGCGGCAGATGAAGAGCTGGCGGCGGCAGCAGACGAGGAGCTAGCAGGGGCAGCAGAAGAGCTGGTGGCAGCGGCCGACGAAGAGCTAGCAGCAGCGGCAGAAGAGGAGCTGGCAGCAGCAACGGAGGACGACGAGCTGGCGGCGGCAACGGAGGAAGATGAGCTAGCGGCGGCAACGGATGAAGAAGAGCTGGCGGCGGCAACGGATGAAGAAGAGCTGGCGGCAGCGACGGAAGACGAAGAGCTGGCGACAGAGGCAACCGAGGAGGATGAGCTAGCAGCTGCGACAGAAGATGACGAGCTGGAAGCAGCAACTGAAGACGAAGAGCTGGAAGCAGCAACGGAAGACGAAGAGCTGGCGGCAGCAGAGGTTGATGTGCTAGAACCAGCAGCAGTGGTAGAAGCGGAGCTCGAGGTGCCGGCAGCAGAGGTCGACAGGGACGACGTCAAGCTGCTGGAAGAGCCGCTGGTGCTTAGCGTACCAGAAGCGGAGCTAGATCCAGTCGAGGAAGAAGTTCCGGCAGTGGTGCTTGTCGAGGAGTGACTAGAGGTGTCGCTCTGGGAGCTGCTCGAGCTTGACGAAGCAGATGAGCCAGTGGAGGTGGTGCTTCCGCTGCTAGTAGGCGAGGTAGTCGTGGTCGACAAACTGCTGGAGCTGCTGGAGCTGCCAGTGGACGAAGAGGACGACGTCGGGCTGGTAGTGGCTGTGCTGGTCGTGGTGGTCGAGTGGCTGGAGGTGCCACTGCTGGAGCTGCTGGAACTGCTGGAGCTGCTAGAGCTGCTAGAGCTGCTGGACGAAGATGTAGTAGTTGAGTTGGACGAGGGGCTAGCAGTGGAAGTAGTGGTGGTGGAGTGGCTGGAGGTATCCGTGGTGGTTGTCGTGAGGCTTGAAGTGGAAGAGGAGGAAGAGGTGGTGCTAGTAGAGCTGGATGAGGAAGAGGTGGTGGTGGAGTTGGAGCTGACGACTTGAACGTTGAAGTGGATTTCACCAGCCGTACCACCGCAGTTCTCAGTCTGAGTGCTATCGCCAGGGCAGATCGTGTTGCAGTTGCTATTCGCGACAGCGGTAGCGTTCGTAGGAGTGCCACCACAGCCACAGGTGTATGTATTGGCAGCTGACTCGTAGATGCCGAACACGGTGTAACCCTGGCAGAAGTTGTTACACTTTTCCTGGGTCATCTGCGAGATGACCGAGGTCGTGGCGGTTTGCGTTCCCGGGGGGAAACAGTTGCCGTTGGCAGCAGTCTGCCCTTGGGTGACTGCCGCAAAAGCGACAGTGGCCAAGACGGCCGCCTGCTTCATCCAACCCATCTTGTCGGTAATCTTCGGAGAATGACTGACGAACTACAGCAAGCCAACAGGCAAAAGTCGAAAATGGAGAGGGGTAGGGGAGTATTAAGACGAAAGGGATGTCAATCTCCCTAAAGAGTGACAGGCGCAAGCAAGAACCAAGCAACAAGAACGAATGACTGCCCAACTTGCCCCCGGAAGAAAAACCAGGTTGAGACGGACGAAAAGGAGAAGCGAGTGTGAGTCGAAGCGCGGTGGAGAGAAGAAGGAAAACCGATATTCTGGGAGGAGAATCTTGGCTGTATTTGAAAGCTTCTCGTCGCGAGGACCAAGAATGCTGTTCCTGTCGCCTCTTGCCCACTTCCATCGATACGGGCGGCATTGGATGTCCCACCTCCCTTCCCACCTTAGGGCTGCCGGGTAAGAGAGAGAGCGAGAGCATGGGCTCGTTCCCAGGAACCTGGAATGTTTGAAATGACGATTCTCAGGTCCAGCCGTATGCGATGCTTTTCCCCTGAACGCCAGTCATTCCTCTCATGCAATACGGGTCGACGTATGTGGGTGTCTGGCCTAGCTTGCCTCTTGGACGGCCGCCCCTCTCACTCCTGAGTCGAAAAAGAGAAGAGAGGCGAAAGGGCGAAGAGGCGTTGGCGAGCAATGGGACTCTGGAGCCAGGAAACCGGATGGCCTGGCGATGTCTCGCAAGAGCCGTGGCCACTCTTCACATTTCCATTCATCATTCTTCCCTCATGGTCGTAGCGGGGACTTTCTCCTGCGGCTGAATTCAGACAATTTAACGGGGGCCGCTTGTTGCAATGTTGCGAAGCACGTTTTCGAGAACGGCGATGACCTCTCTTGGTGTAGCCTATTGCCCCCGTCCTGTTAGCAGAAATCGTCGTTTGGTGTGGAGCTAGGATGTGTGGGACGACTAAGAGAATGCCGGCCGACCGCCATACTTTCCTCTGCGTTCTTGTGCAACGGCGACAAGAAACATTGGAGCGCGAGACGAGAAGCTTGGCTGTGCAACGTGCGGAATGTAGAGGGGGAAACAAGCCGTCGTTGATCGAGGGACGGAGAAGGCATAGCGGTCTTTACGGTGGATGCGTTACGTGCCCACACAGTTTGCCGTGGGCCAACGGAGCAGATAACCCGCCGGTGAATGTATGTACGTATGTGTATGCTTGTGTATAGTGTAAGCACATCTATGCTTGCCTTGAGAGAAGAGAAACCAATGTCTCGTGAGAATATTGAGCAGAGAAGTCTTGCGAGGACAAGGCCCTTCAGTACGGCATCCATATTCGACGATAGTGGTTGTCCCTGTGCAACCAACGGCTCCCAAGTCCCCGGGTCAAAAACACTTGTACGACTGGGCGTCAAGACAAGGGTTGTGGCCGAAGATGGGGGGGATGTCCGTGGTCACACAAACATGTGGCCATGTCGTGCAGACTCAGAGCGGGTGAAGTGGAGGCCGGGACACGTGAAAAGAAACTTGGAAGACGCAAGCAGAGACGGCAGGGGACAAAAAAAAAGAGAACGGAACGGACGGGATACTCCGCCGGCATACCATGAGTCGAGGAATTCCAGACTCCTGGAAACTGGTTGTCCAAGGAAATGCAAGGCGTCGTGATGTTGGAATGTGGAGTGACGGTGTTGGGTGGCGACGAGTTGAGGGATATGCGAGAGGCGTCGACAACTGGTGGCCCTTGGTGGGAGTTGAGAACTTGAAGTTCCTTAGCCTCTTCTCGTTCAAGGCCAAGAGGGAAAGGAAGGGTCCAATGGCACCTTCACGTCTTCGCAAGGAGTGGAAGGAATACATGCCTCGTCTTCTCCCTGCATAAGCCACGTTGCTTCGGCGTTGCTTCTTCCTCCTTGGAGACACCTTCTCCCTCGCCTTATCACTCTTCCTAGCCGTGCCTACCTTAGTTAGGTAACTAGGTATTCAGACTAAGGTATCGTTAGCCTCTACACGCAAATGTCCCCGCCAAGACATGATAATACTGACCTGACTGGCCATCTTTTTCTTTCCCTCCTCTCCCCTCCATCCTGTGCCATCAAAGTTCCTAGGCAGAAAGTCAACTGCCGTCCATGCCATGCTCTTCTTCCACGGGCTCCTTCACTCATGTCGATGATGCATAAGAGCTCCATGTTGCCCACGCCCCTCAATGCCAAAGTTTGATTGCAAACGATCACAAACTTCAAGAGGAACTTGATACCGGGTACTCTAGTGCCTCTCGAGCCATGCAGATGGCGTTGCGGATCGTCGACCCTCATCTGCCGTTCTGGGAACCCTTTGTACCACCCTCAATTCCGTGCCAGACCCTGTCGATGACCGCCGATTTCGAAACCGAGCAAGGGAGAAGGCGCCCGTTATTGTACTACGTATGCTACGACATCCAAACGTTTCAACTGATTCTGTCAGTATCAGCCAGCAATGGCTCGTGGCGATGACCTCGGTCGATGTGACGCTTTGCCAGGTCTGCATTGGGCGACTGGCACAGGAGGGACGCACTGGCACAACCAGGCCTCAATGGACAACATCTTGCTTGTCTTGAGTGACCATTTCTTCTAGCCGCAGAGGCAGTACAATCCCAAACGTGAATCCCGTGATAAGACGTCGACAGGTATAGTCCTAATTCCCACACATACCTTCTCCCACGAACTAGAGGGAAAGCATCGCCTATCCATCCTCCTTGCTACAGCGCGATTTCGTGCCGCATGCGTCCTCCCCAATTTCGCAGCATTCCTTCCAAAGCTTCCTGACAACTGCCGCTCCTTGCGTGCCTCGAACCCGCCATGTGGGCTGTGGCCGTGCCCACCTGCTTGCCGGGCGGAGCGAACCCTCAACGGATCACGCAAGCCGTGGTTCTTGCGTGCTTGCATGCTTGCGTACATGCGTAGAGACGTCGATCAGCCCTCAAATTCAACGACACCCTTGGTATTCGTCTCGCTCCGGTTTGTGGGCTCAATGTCCACGAGCTGTCCTTCCTTGCCGCTACCGTTGGCCCCAGCCTCGGCATCTGCCCCGTCGAGAAGGTCACGGTCTTCGCTCCGTACACTCCGTCTCTCAATGTCCGCGCTTCCGCTGGCCGTGCCTTTTCTGATGCCGATTTCGACTCCAATGTCCGCATCGTCCTCCTCGTCTTCGACATCTCTTTGTTGCCCAGGCACAGCGTTCTTCTCCAGCTCCTTCTGAGCCTCCTCCATCCTCCGACGAACTTCTGCAGCCACACGCATGCCGTCCGTGACGATGTTGTCCAGTACACCGCGTAGACCGCGGGTGGCCCCTTGAGCCGCCGGATTGAGAGCTGCGACGGGTGCACGTCCAAAGTTGAGACTGGAAAAGGTAGTAAGAGTGGATGTGGGCGTTGACACTGTTGGTAGACCCTCGATAAGGTGGAAAGAGGTTGGGAAAGATGACTCAAAGAATTGCTCAAGGAGTTCATCGGCGAGAACGACCATGCGGAACGTTGGCAGCGTCATGTGTAACGGGTTCGCAGGGTCCAAAGCAGCGTTTGCCGCTTCTGACTGCGCCTTTGAGACACGTCGTTGTGACTGCCCTGCGGCAGGAGGCTTCTCTTCAGTCGGCGAGGATAGCGAGTCCGAGAATGACTTCTTTGCTTTGCTTGGGCTGCCGGGAGGCGAATCCATGGCAAGTAGGTCCTCTTCATCATCGTCGTCGCCGATGGCGAACGCCTCACTGTTCTCCGTAGATTTGGGCTCTTCTTCTTCTTCGTGGATCTTGTTGTTGGGGTGGTCGGGATCGGCATATTCGAAGCATCTTCTGATAAATGCGCTGACGCTGCCCAGAAACCTTTCGTTGGTCGAGATGCCAGGCAGGCTTGGTTCACTGCCTTGGCCAGTGGGCGTGCTGAGCGTGAGCGTTGAGGCACTCGGGCTCAGTGTGCCCTCGAGTCCTCTTCTCGAGAGGAAGAGGAGCGCTTCGGAAATACGTAAGATGCCCTCACGGTCAACCTTACCATCGCCATCATCGTCGTAAAGTTCAAAGAAATACGTAATAGTCCCCATAATGTCCTTCTTGCCCTTGATCCTGGCGAAGCCTGACACTACATCAGCTAGAGTCAGCACGCCGGCTCCGCTGACATCCCATTTTTTGAACAATTGCTGCATGAACTCGTGATCGGCAGGTTCCGGGCCCGATCCCCATGGGGAAAGGAGGCCGTTATTTTGACGACGGCTTGTGTAGGCATTTCTGTCCTTATCGGCGAATGTGTCGCGGCGTGGTGTAGTGGGTGAGTCGGACATCGCCCACTTTGCCATGTTGGCGAGGAATTCTCTAAACGCATCGTAATCCATCAGACTGGTGCTAGCACCAAGGGCCACTCGCCCCTTTTCAACGTGTTCGTCGCTGGGTTCAAACACATCTCGCGCTCTAGGCCGTGCGTTCTTTGCACGACGTTGTTTTTCCTGCTGAATAATGCTCTCTCGCTGTTGTCTCTCGTACAGAATTGTATAGAAGCGATCGTACAAGGCGCCCAGCTCCTCCGCGGCAAGGAGTTTGCTGTCGGGGCCCAAATTTCGGAGGGCTGTTCTCTTTGCGAAACTCTCAATGTTGCTTAGCACGGCATCCTTGTTCTTCAACCGCAGGTCTGTGATACTGCTGTGCGTGATGCCCGAGAATTCTTTGAATGCCACCACCATCAACTCTTGGAACTTGGTTACGGCGCGCAGCTTCGGGTTTTCCGACTTGGGGTGCGCCGACTCGTCGAGACGAGCAAAATAACCCTTGAGGATGGAGATGAAGGCGCCGTCATCTGTGGCGTCCAAAAGCTCCTCGCCGTTGATTCTCAAAATGGCGAGTCCTATTTGGAACAAAACTTTCGGTCCCTCGACGAAGAAGACGTCCAGAACTCGGAAGGCGAAAACCAAGGGCATCGAGTTGATGTAGAGCGACAAGAACCAAGGTAGTGACACGACTGAAAGTTGCACGTCGCTCTTCACCAGGTGTTCCCATAGGATAGGCATAGTCTTCTCGACTAGTGATTCAAACACTTTTTGGTCCAACAAAGTTCCGTACATTGTCGTAGAGTAGTATCCTGGTACTAGTCTGTCGCACATGGACGACAGTAGGAAGAAGGCCTGCGTCTCCGACATGTAGATGAGCAATGCCGCTACCACAATGTTCATGGCCTGGCAGTATCCGACATCCGGATTCACCCAGCTGTAAGCCGTAAGCACACGGCGCAGACGGCCGATGCCCTCTTCGCTCTGGAACCCGGGATACTCTGGCAAGCTTCGGTTCAGGTCCTTTTCGATCTCGTCAATAGCGAGGGACTCTTGGCCTTCGTACTTGGCTAGCGTTTCGGCGTACAGTGTCGGGTGCTCGAGTCGGAGGTAGATCGATCCAGACGTCAACTCCCAAGTCTCACCTCTCAATCGATTAGGCAAACCAACGCGGATGAGCTTGTGGAAGGTCGGCTGGCGGATGAGCGTCATGTTTCGCCCGTTGTCGCGCAAGTACTCGGCCCAGAGACGCATCTTGGCCCTGTCGCGGAGCTTCTTTGGGTCTCCAGGATAGCGGAAGAGCATACCCAAGCCGGCGTCGGGCGGGCTCGCATTCTTTTTGTCATCGGATCGGAGGAGATACTCGGAGTAGCACTCGCTGGTGACCTTTTTGTATTTGCCAACGTTCCCAACGCCGGCCCTCAGTCCCTTCTTCAGGCCGTCGCAGAAGCGCTCGCAGCCCTGGCGGGTACCCGCAAGGTGTATCGTGATCCTTTGTTCCCTAACATCCTTCTTATCCTTGTCGGGGACGGCTTCCTTGTCCTTGTCCTTCTTCTCTTGCTGATTGATGCCATTCCATGTGGTAATCGCCAAGGCAAACTACGTGGTAGAGCAGCATGTCAGTTCATGGCCTTGCGGGGGATGGAGCACGGACTGTTGTCAATGTCACAACCCGGGGTTTGGAGCAACCTTACCTGGAATGTCTGGCTGTTCAACCTCTCTACCCGTCTGATGGCGCAGAGGGGAAAGGTGAAGCCATTTCCACTGGGGCCTCCGCCATGTGTTTGGCCAGTGAAGGCAGAGCTTGTTGAGGTGCTGGCGCCCTGGACGAAACTGGATGGGGTCGTGGAGAAGCACATGTAGCCTTCAGACAGGTGTAGCTTGCCAGCATAGTGATAGCCTCGATCGTGGTCCTTGCCTCCATAGGTGGCATTGGCGGGCGGGATGGTCAACTCGGCATTGATCTCGTACAGCGGCGTCTGGGTGCTGGGTAGGCGGAACTGGTTCTGGAACAGCGACGACTTGGATGGGTTCTTGTCCGAGTTGGTCAGGTTCAGCCCTTGGGTCGGGTCGACCAACTGCTGTGCCTTCTGCACGAGACTGGATAGAGTGAACATCCTGAAGCTGTTGCACTCAGCTGGTCATGTCGGGGAGTGGTATCGTAAGGGGACCGCGGATCGAAGGGCTCGGCTTGGGCCGGATGGATACAGATTCGCGGGATGCGTAAGGTAAGGTCGGGTCTTGGTCGACGGCTCGCAGTCTTGGAAGGGTGAGGGGGGTTCGAGCCTAAAACGAGGCGCTGGCTGCCAAAGGAGTGAAGGGGGTCTTTGGCGTCACAGCAAATGAATGGATGGTTCTTGAAGCATCAGTACGCCTCGAGACTGAAAGGCAGTTTTTCGATTCGGTGTTCGGAGAGAGAGAGAGAGTATGTGTGTGTGGGAATTCGTTGGATGATTTGATGGGGAGAGAAGCAGTAAGCAGCTGCGCGCCAGAGGTCGGGACTGGAGCTGAATGCAATGCAGTGGATAGTTGGAGAGGTTTCCCGCCAAGGATTCCGTCCATGCCCAGAGGGTCACGGTACGTACCCGCCCTACCTTTTCTGAGCCCGTCTGCCCTATCTGAACTGCTAGTGACCTGCAGCCGTGGCAGCCCACCTGCACCACTCACACCTCACCTCCCACCTCCCCAACTAATGCTTCCCACCTGGGCAACTTTAGGTGCTCGTGAACGGCAGTCAGGCACCTTAGCAAGGTGAGAGGCTTGCTACCCCTAATCGGACTGCACGGGAGGCATCTCATAGTGGGCGGCGTGGGCGGTTCGCAGCCCGGCAGTCCCCTGCAGAGGGGTAACCCCTCTGCACCTTATTTGCAACCCGCCTGCGCCGACCATTCTTAGGTCACGGCACTCCACCTCTTCCGTCAGTCTCATTCTCATCTCACCCATCAAACTCACCCGGCTACTCCCTCTTTTCCCCCTTTACTCAGTGAGAGGTCACACCTATACACACTTTGGCTCGCGACCCCTTGATCTGCCTTGCCTTTTCCGCCGTACGGATATGATGGCATTTATCCCACCTTGGACATTCCAGTCTAGTCTACCCTTCAGATCAAGTTGATATGATGTCACTTGCCTCACCAAGGCCCTCACCAAGACAAAGAGCCTCATCAAACTGTCCGACACAAAATCTGAGTGCTGGGCTATAACCAAAATGAGATACAAGTGAGATGAGTCTGAGAAAGGGGACACAACGTCTGGCTCAGGTGACGTGAGATTGGCCCATCACCAGAGTGACAATCCACGAGCATGTGTCATGCCCAACTCGGCTAGCTCCTCGAGGAGCTGAGACACTCCCCCATGCTGTCATTGTCCTGGCCAGGACTTTTGGTCGGTGCTCACGGGGGCGCTCTGACAACCTGGTCAGCCATCTCAGGTCGGGCAGCACGCTGCGATTTGCATTTGTCTTTCGACTTGCTTCTTTCTGTGATGGCACAGCATCTCACTTGCATATGGGCACTGGGGCAACAGGAAGAGACAACAACCGCCGGTCATGACCGCGATGCCTCATATGGATACGGAAATTCCTCTTCTATTCCTTGATTGGAAGTATCTCCTACCTCCAAAAGACAAGGTTCCTGAATTGCCCCCGGTACAGGCTGGCTAATTCCCCAATCGTAATCTAACGCCTTCAAATACCCGAGTGAAATGGGGTGGAAAAAGAACAATACCCAGCGATGCCTACCTTATCCAGGGTTTGACCAGCAGAATTTCCCTCACACACATAGTCCAGACCAAAGCCTAACAGCTTCTTTCCCCATGTCCAAGCTCTGCCTCTCTCGAGCGACGCTGAACGGGCCGCTCATTCTCCTGATCCTCGCTACCAAGTCTCATGCAGTACAGTTACAGGTTGGAGTATCATAACAAAAAAACATGAAAGAATTACGGAGACCAACTCCTCCGAGTAAAGAACAACTCCGAACGCATGATTCATACAATGATGGGTCGAAAAGGTTGACAAAGCTTGCGTCAAAAGTCCTTGAAGTACTGGTCGTATTTCTGGACCATGTCTTCGGTGTATGGTTCCCTCTTGCCGTCGTCCTCGGGGTAGATGTCAAAGCATTGCGCATCGCCGGGGTATCGAATCGGTGGGATGATGGGGCCTCGCACTCGTCGGTGGTACATGTCGTCCCAGTTGACCCCTCGGAAGAAGGGGTGTTCTTTGACCTTGGCTGCTCCCCCGCTAACGTTGCCTAGTCGTCGGGATCGGTCTACTGTGCAGAAGGATCTGATCAGATCTTGAGCTTCGGCTGATACTGGCGGGTCATGAGGGAACATGACGGGCTTCTCGACAATCCTGCCAAGTTTGTTAGTGGCCGCTGCAATAAGAGGGAGGGGGAGCCTGCCGGCCGCTGCGGTGTAACTCACTGCTTGTAGATCTCGATTGGGTTCTGGTGCCAGAATGGCGGGTATCCCGTCAAGAACTCGTATATCAGAATGCCCAGCGCCCACCAGTCCACCGCCGTCGTGTGACCTTTGTTATGGATCACTTCCGGGGCGAGGTATTCGGGAGTGCCGCAGAGTGTGTAAGTTTCAATGGGCTGCCCTGAGCTGTTGCTCAGCCTCTTTGCGAAGCCAAAGTCGACCAACTTGATATGGCCGTCGCCATCCAGGAGAAGGTTTTCGGGCTTGAGGTCACGATACGCGACACGGCCTTGTTGCTCGTGAAGGTACTCCAGCACTAGAACAATTTCTGCAGCGTAGAAGCGCGCCGTCTCCTCCTCGAAGCGCCGGAACTTGCGCAAGTAGCTGAAAAGCTCGCCGCCGGGGACGTAGTCCAACAGCATGTACAAGTGGTCGCGGTCGGCGAAGGAGGAAATAAGATTTGTGATGAAGGGGTGGCCGGCAACATCGCCGAGAATTAGACGTTCGTGACGGACGTGGTCGATCTGCTTCAGCTTGATGACCTCTGTTTTCCGCAGTATCTTCAGCGCGAAAACGGTATCGCGCTCCTCTTCAGTCGCATTTGCCGGGCGCACAAGACACACCCGAGCAAACGTTCCTGCACGGTTAAGGTCCATGATCAGCAAACGGTATTCCGAGACAAGGTAGGTGCAGCGAGACATGGGGGAAGGGGCGCAAACGAACCAGTTCCAAGCGTTCTCACAACGCGAAAGTCCTGAGGAGTCAACTTCCGGCTCGCAATAGGTCCAGCTCCAGCATCGGAATGTTGTTGCGCCTGAGCCTGGACCTGAGCCTGAGTGTGGCCATTACTGCTACTGCCTCCGCCCATCATCTTGGACAAGCCTCCGCCAACCTGGTTCGACAGGGGGTTCGCATGCGCAACGGTAGCCGCCATAGTATGTATTTTTTTGTTGATGGCTGCTATTCCCGTCATAAAGAGTAGGAGGTATTCGGTTCGGATCTGAAAAATTGCTTGGTATGGATATTCGTTCAGCTGGGCAGCACGTCGATCGTCACCATCACGGCCCGAAAAGGTGGTCGAGTCGAATAAGGCAGGTCCAGGTGAACCAGTCGTCGTGAGGTTGTTAGATGGGTGAAGAAGGAAGGAAGTAGGTGGTATTTCGTTGCGTCTCGTGAGTGGTCAATGGGAAGGAGTTGTGGTGGTGGAAAGGGGTTCGATTCGGATCGAGGCCTCGTCTGGTGCTGGGTCTAGGCCTAGGGACTGGGGATGGATATGTGTGGTTCGGAGCTGGCGAACTGGAGCTGGCGGGAAGACACGCCGCACCGTTTCTTCCCCTGGGGCGACTGACCACTGCTGCTAACAATGGAAATCGAAGTCGAGTAGCCGCGAGTGGTTCGTTCGCGACGTCTGATACGGGCGAGGGTAGGTAGGATATCGTTCCTGTCGCGGTCGTGCTCTGTGTCTGTATTTGGATCGGTAAGGTAAGGTATGTGGTGGGAGGAGAGCACGTCTTCCACTCTTTCTCGTTGGTGGTGACCTTTCAGGGAGAGGAAAACCTTCAGATGAAAGGGCCGTGGCAATGACGAAAGGCAGGCAGAATAGACAGCTACATACGGTAGGAGCATTTATGGGGCAGACCAGGAAGGAGGGAGGAGGGAGGGGCAGAGCGCGACTACTCAGTACTTGCTGCTTCAGAGCCCTCTGGCTATTTGCTGCTTCAAATGGCAGGGACCGCTAGGTTGTGATTGCCGGGATGGGACGTGGAACACCACGTTATGGGCAGGCAAGAGGCGTGGGTTCTTGGCTTCTTTGCTACCCGACAACACGGGGGTACCCTCCCACGCTGCCCACTTTCGCTCCTTCCCACTTTGCGACCGCGATACCTCGTGATACCTCGCACCACTCTCTACCATGCCTTGCATACCACAGCCTAATGTGAGGCAAGATGTATCCCGAGTACCTCCTTTTCTCACCGCGTGGACAAATACGGAGTACATCGTACTCACTGCGCAGTACAAGTAAGGTGGAAGGCCGTGTGGATGTGGACTTGCATTGTGTGGATGGGTCGGTCGCTCCTTCAACCTGCACTTGTAACCTCACCAACAGCCGCACTTTGACATGTTTGCCGCCTTTCTCACTCTCTTACAGCCTGTCCAATCCCAATCCACGGCTATCATTCGTAAGTACACTCACTACGGTACCTTTGCACGTTAGCAACGCTTAGCCACCCGCCCAGATACTGCAGCAGAACGCAGTAAGGTAGGTAGAGTGGATGGAGAATCAAGTCTCGACTATGCAGCTTCGCAGCGGGTGCGGCGTGTAATTTAGCGGAACCACCGACATGGTCTTGCCTCTTTGGGAGTAGCCTTCTGTTCACCCGGTGGAAATCCGGGGACTCGCTCTTCTGCCCATGTCTCGACTCGGCCCGCCTCGGCCACACTCGCACTCCTCTTCTTCGTCTTCTTCTTCTTCCAGTCTTCCTCGACGCTGACAGTCGATTCCTCGCGTGGACCCCCTACCAACACCTCGCCACGACCATTCCATTCCGTCTGGAACATCCGCCTGGGACCGTCAGCTACGGAGGCTGTCCGTCAACCCCACATGGCACCGCTTCAGCTCTGGGCTCTGGCACTCAGCTCGCATCGTAGCAGTATTACGGGTTAATAATATTCAACCCCTTTCTTCATGGTCCATTCGCCTCTTTCTGCAACATTCGTCAACAGCACTGACCAGCTATTTCGCTTTGTTCATCACACTGAAATCTGGCCCGCCAGTCTCACTCTCGTACGGAGTACTCTCCTGCCGTCTCCTCCCAGCCCCAGACGAAGAAAGCCCCGCCGCCCCCTGTTGACCACCTCTACTTGGGTTTGCTGATATCAGCCCAGCTATCGGTTACACTCCCAAGCAAATGCTGATACGCTCTCAATCCGATGTCGTCCACGATCAGACACCCTGACTCCCACATCCGAATAAATCTCCGAAGCCCTGATACGCCCTGGGACTGTGGATTCTTTCATCTTCTAGTTTCCAGGGGCCTTTCGGTACTTCGCACTTGTTAGATATAGAGCCTTCCGAGGCAACCAAAAAAAAAAACGTTCATATCCACCGCTCTCATCCAGAGCCCGAACTACAGCGGACAGTCTCCTAGATTCGTATAGACCTGCCTCACCTTTGCCATATACCCTTCCGTATTTGATCGGTCTCCGTTCCCCCGGTTCTTCTGTAGCGCCCACCCACGGCGTTCCGTCGGCCAAAAAACAAGCGGCGGCGATATCAAGCTCTGTCTCCCTCACCATACCACCGTGGCGTAGCAGATGTGGCTGCCGCATCCAAAGAAAGGTGGCTCTGACGGGGCCTCCGGACGTTTGAGGGCCGATGAAAAGACGGTAAAGACAAAAAAAGGAGACCTAACACTAACTGACAGAGACAGTCTTAGGCTACGGCTGATGGGGGCGTCGCTGTTGAATCGACAACCGTTGGCGTTGCTGCTCCCCCGAGGCTTTCATCGCATCCAAGACATCCAGTTTCGCACAGGGCCGCCTCATGGTCAGTCAGATCTCGCCCAGGCCATGCGGAATCCGGTCCCGCGGGGAGGGAAAGGGCCTGATCAGTGATACACCTTGCATGCAAGCGACTCTTATCGGTGGCTATGACGCAACGTCTCGATCTCATCCCACCTCTCGCCCACACCTCAGCTCGCTCATTGACACTGACTTTCCCGAGCCAACATCCGTTACGACATGCTTTTCGGCTTCGCAATCCGAGCCGTTTCTACCACGGGCCTGACCAGTCAACCACGTGTTGTTCGTAGTACAGTACGGGGAAGCATAGCCGCTCTGCCATACTCAGCAACACAACAACCTCTACTATATCTTACTATCTCGTCATAGCCGAGCTTAAAAATTACACCATAAAATCAATCTTGGGAGAGTTTGTCCGACAACATGTCAAAATTGGCAATTCGACGGGCCACGAAACCTTGGTGTGCCGGCAACCAGTCAACCAGAAACACATCACTGAGATCCTCACCAGCCTTTGGTCAGCGCCATGCGGCTTGGCCTGGGTCTTGCTTCCTTTACGTCCTTTACATGAGTCGCGCCCATGCCTGAGTGCGGCGAGGGCCCGACGGTTATGTCACTTCAGCCCCCAACGAACCGCTGTCTGCTCCTCTCCTCAGTGAAAATTTCTTCCGGTTTTCCAGGTCGTCCGGCCGGCAGTTCCTGAAATAAGCACCAATTTCCAGCCCCGAGTACAGAGATGAAGATGTTCATTGTCGAGGTGGCTCGCGCCCCGTTCGCTTCCGAGGATCGCGGCGTTCGTCGCACGCCAGATCTCGATTGTCTGCAGCAGTCTAGTGCGTTTCGAAAAAGTCCTTTGACGTTCGGCGTAGGCGTAAGGCTGAGATGAGCTTCCCATCACGCTCGATTGGGGCCTTCGGTCTCACAGTCCTGATCCGGCGATTTATCGGATCAACTAACGCTTTACACGTCGCCCAAACGAACCTCACGTCTGCTGAGAAGCCTCACCTGTTTTGGACTCTGCTCCGTGCGTACTCCCGGCTTTCAAGGTCTTTACTCGGAGCCCAAGTGGATATCAAGCACAACTTTGAAAGCTTTTTGCGAGTTCAGGTGCACTCTGCCACGCCGTGGTTGTCTTGGCAGAGTTCCGGCCGAGCCGCCGAATGCGAGTGCAACGCCATACTGGATTACCGATTCAGCAGACAGAAATGCATCGTCAAGAACCTGTCACGAGTTACGAGATGCCAAGCCAACCCAAGTCTTGTCCGAGCCTCACATGCTAGAGTTCAACTCCAAGTAGTCTTAAACACAAGTCATTGTCACACAGTCCGGGTTTGTTCTCCAACGGATACAGTTCTCAGATTCATGGACGAGGGCTTCCACGGAGACGCGCGGCTAAGAAAAGGTCTGCGATCTTGCAAGACTCGAGAGCAACATCAACGCCCGGAGCAGTTCTTTTCCATCTCCCACCACCGGGAAGTGACCGTGAATAAACAACCCGGGACCCTTCTCTACTCCTTTTTGTCCTTTTCCTCTCTCTTCCCTCCCTTCTCTGCAATCTGAACAAAAGAAACCCTCGTCTCGAGCTGCCCGTTAAACCATTCTCGGGATAACCCTTGCAAGCCCCATCTCAAGTCCCGGTCTTCGACCCGCGTCCCGGTGGTCTGGGAAACACACACACACGCACACACGCCGTCTCGAAACGCCACGACGCCGCTGACGAAGACGAGCACCTTTCCATTCTGTCGGAAACACTTTGACTCGCGCCCCGTGTCAGCCGGATATGCCATGGCATGGCGCGCCTACCTCCCTTGCTCGCTCGACTAAAGAAGCTGACCGTTCATCTTGGTCTGATTGGCTCATGATCTTATTGATATAAGATACTGAACCAAGTCAATTGTGGCTGAGCTACTAAGATCGGATAGCAGTCAAACATCGGTCAAGGGTACTCATATACGAGAACCGAAAAATCTTTGATCGGATCTATAGTTCAGTTCGAGTTCATGATGCGTTGTAACTAATGCTCCGCTCTAAAAAACCAAAAACCCGCTCGCGGTTCCTTCAACCCCGCCCATCGCTGGGAGCCATCCCCGAATCCTTCGCGTTTAACGTGTACGTACATGAAGCTCCAAACGACAAACAAGGCCAGGGTATATCTTTAAGCTCCACTGCGAATCGCCTCCCTCTATGCTGCATTGCCGGCTCAAGCCTTTAGCTCAGCGCAGCTCAGCTCAGCCACCAAATACCTGCGCCCACGGCCAACAGCGTGGCTAGTATCATAGCCCCCTGCTTAGTAGACCACAGGAACATGCTCCAGCCAACAAGAACTTCCTTCCGTCTTGCTGCCGCACGTCGCTCCCAGGCCTCGGGGTCGATGGCTACCGGGAGAACGAGGCGAGGATCTACCGCATTGGACGTCGGGGCTTCCGTCGATGAGCGGGCCAGCTCCTTCTCGGTGAGGAGGGGAACGGCAGCTCTCAGGAAAACGGCCCTGTGATCTGAGCTGCGGACGACAGGCATGGCATCGTAGATCTTGACGTCGACCTTTTGTGGCTTGGTCTTGACCCACGAAGGGACGTCCAGGTACAAGATGCGATCTGTCCAGCCGGGGTATCGGTGAGGCGCAAACACCCAAGGCACGTCCTCCACACCATCAACCTTCAGGCGGGTGTCGTCCGCGGGCAGGACGTTGTATTTGTAGGTTGGCGGGAACTTGACTTCTGCCTCGCTCATGCCGTGCAACGTGCGTCCTGCCTGTCGTTCTCTCGTGAGCTGATCCAAGGCGAAGAAGCGGGAGTAATGGTGTTCGCTCTCGGGGTCGAGGCTGGGAAATGTCGCCATTGGCGGCGGGCTCGTTGTTGAGATGCGATAGTTGAGGTCGCCGCCGACAAAAAGATGGGAGCTTGGCTTGAAGACGGATATCTCCTGTAGTCGTTCCTGAAGTGCGAGCGTTTGTGCTTGATGCTCGTCGTGCAACAAGTGCACTGCTTCGTCTCTGGCACCTTCGGCCTGGCCCTCTCCCTGTGTAGGGGTGGTTGGCTTGTTCTTCTTCGGATGCAGGATATCTTCCGGGTTCTCGAACGTCAGGCCACGCATGATGGTCGCCCAGTTGGCATTTCGCCTCGGCAGATTCCACTCCATTGCCGCAAGGTGCGTAGCTACGAAGGTGAGCTCCGTCTCCTTTTTTCCACCTTCGGTCGTCGTGCCCTCATACAAGACTCTGAGCGCCACTGCGCCCTTGTTGCCCATTTCTGCAGCGCCAAAGCCCACCTCCGCCTCCTGCACACGCAGGATCGACTCGGGGTTCCGCGCAAAGAGCATAATGGCCGTCATACCGACATTACGAGTCCGTATCAAGGTGTAAGGTCGCACAGGTGTAGGGGCGGTGGGCTTGACCAGTATCGTCTCATCGTCGGCTCCATCGTGACTGTCGGCGTCCGAGGTGGGACTTTCGTTGGTGTATCTGGTCGCAGCGAGGTTCAGGGCTTCCTCGAAGCGCGTGAGGTACGGGCTGAGAAAGTAGCCGCCGATGAAAGAGTACGATAACGGCGCGAATTCTTGTAAGGAGCTGGTAGAAGGTAATCTGGTCAGCTTTGTTGCAAGATCAGCCAAGGGAGCGGCGAAACACTGTACTCACAAGACAACAACCTCTGGGAGGGGAGAGGCGCTCTGCTTGAAAGCTGTGTGGAGGTTTGACGCAAAGACGTGAGTGTCGATAAAGTTCTTGGCGCAATTGAACGTCAACATGAACAGGTCGAGCGTCGAGGGAGCCATCTTGTCGGCGGGTGCGGTGGAGTTGACGTCGACAAGGGTCGCCATCGAAGCTCTGTCGGAGGTAATAGCCGCCGATGACGATTATCAAGTTGGTGTGCTGGGATTACTCGGCTAGAGGTGGTCTACCTTGTTAGTCAGCTCTCTACCCCTCCTCTTTCTTAGAGCACAATAGCTATGACGAGCTGGGAAGTTCACGAGACAAAGTGATAAAACTGAGTGAATGTTGGGAGAGTATGAAGAAGAATTCGAGTAGTAGATGTAGGGGGAGACCACAGAGTTGGCAAGAGCGCACACGACTTAAGACCACTTGACGTTGTCCCTTGTCGTCCTCACCAAGATGGTTTGGCAGGATCGCCTGAGAGGTGTTGCTTGGTGGTTGCAAGTGCGGTCAACACTCACTCAGCCACGCGCTAGCTGCCCGGTAGCTGCCCAGTAGCTTTCAAATGGCATTGATCAGAACGAGACAAGCTCACGCCAACTGCCCCGCTCCCAAGCTTGATTCTTGCCAGAAACTCACATAGAGGCAGAGACGGCCAAATGCCAAAGCCAACTTCATGTGCAAGCTACAAGATGATGATTATGAAGTTAAGGGGAGGGAATAAGGAGTCTTTCAGGTTGGGGAACATCCCTGATACCCCCCGACGTCCCAACACTCGTCATGTACTCACCTGAGAGAGTCCAGTTCAGCTTTGCAGATGGCAAATGTTGGTGTAGGATGGGAAACTTTTATCGTGATGCACGACATTACTGAGTTCGATCAGAAAATGCCGCGATGATTCGAACATATATATGCCGATATACTTTGCACCTGACGGCATCCATTCGGTACTGCTTCTGGCGTTTCATGCAGTCAGCTGGTCGACGCGCCCTGCGAAATGGAGTCAAGCGAAGTCGCACCTGACACGTTGAGCCGACCAGTCTCATGACTTCACATCTTTCTCACATCCGAGTCTACAAGTTTCTCGCAGCCACATTATGCAGATGAGTATGCCTCTCTAAGCATCAAAGTCAAGATTGTATCCCGAGAGAATACTATTGCTGCGGCTGTTGTAGTAGACCTGCAGCATTTACACCGCCATGTTCACAAATTGCAAGAGAAGAAAAGTCGCGCGACAATGTTAAATTGAGAAACTACCATGCGTATGTTGGTTGAGTCCGCTGCCCTTCGACATGCCCACAACTACCCGTGCTCCGCCTCCACCATATGCAAACTTGCCAGGCCGGTTAAAGCCCGCGGATGATGGAGGCGCAGTGTTGAGAGTCCAAGCACCAGCGTCCTGAGGTCGACAATCCACGTTGACTGCCAAGGCAGACAAGTAGACGTTGTCAACATCCCAGGACTTTGCTAGACCGTCTCCTAGAGCCCATAATAGTTGCCAGAGACCAGGTTTGGCGACTAGTCACCTCGTCCTGGTTTCCCCCACGTGCAATGTCTGAGTAACGAATTCCCAACCAACCGAACCGAACCAAAAGTCAAAGAAAAGATGCCGCACTCTTCCTCATTAGTTTTGCAACCGTGATTCCCTTGCCGTTCCTTGTCTTTGCCGACTTGATGGTCGTGGTCCTTGTCAGACAGTGTCGGCAGGCCTGATACTTCGCAAAAGTTTCTCTCTCGTGATGAACCCCTCACCTAACGACCTCCCCAGAAGCGGGCCTCGACGCGTGTTTGACCAAGTGCGAAGCCTCGAATGAAAATCAACTCGTAATGCGCATAACCGGAAGGAAAAGTAAGAGAAAAAGAATAGAAGGAAAAAAGGAAAAGTCCGTCGGTGAACGCAGCTCCAACGCATCGACCAGGTGCAAGGTACGAAACCAAGGCACTCAAGTTGGGGGTGGGGGGAATGTCTCGCGGGGCGGCCCGACGACGGTGCCTCGCAAAATTGAGGTACCGGAAGTGCCGTTCGAGTTCTTCCTACCATGGATATCGAACCATAGAACTTCGGCAGCAAGGTCTACCGGGGGCGTCTGTGAAATCGAGTGTCCTGTTATGAAGAATCGAGTCATTCGTGAAATCAACCCAAATATGTCGAAGAACGAAGTTGAGAATGCGTAAGGAGAATGCGACCAGTTCGCGTGGCAAGGCGTATCATCAAAGAGACCCTGCTGGTGAGCAGAACCCGTACCAATCGTGATGTCTGGGAGCCATGCCACGCAAGGGATGAAGCCAGTAAGCTGGTCTGGTCATACTCCAACGTGTTGGACAGAAAGCATGTGATTACCGCCGTCGAGGATCACTTCGGCAGAAAGGAACTTGAACCATATGCTGGACTTGCGCCCTTCGTAGACGAGCGCAAACTAGATCATCGTCCACTAGGTCAGCATGCGTTTGTCAGCAACGGGTTCAACAGCCAGTGGTCGATGAGCTGCTTGGGCGGTCAACTTACATCCTGTCACTTCCACCGACGGCACGGTTGGTATCTGGGGTGTTTACACCAGCACCAGATCCTCGTTCAATCACTTTGCGGCGCGAGCTGGGAAGGGCGTTAGGCTTATTAGCGCCAGGCTGAGGGGTCGGCTGACCAGCAGTAGCGGCGTTCGTGCGAGATGCCCGCGCCTTTTCATCCTCCTCCTGAGTGGCTCCTGCGGCCTGAGCAATTGCCTGAGCATTCTTCTGGTACTTGTAGACAGTCCAGTCGAAGACGTAGTCGTACTGGAAGCCCTCGCGGACGAAGAGATCACGGAAGATCTTGCGGAGGTAGCTGTAATCGGGCTTGTCGTCGAATCGGAGGGATCGGGTGTAGTTGAGGTAGATGGCGAATTCGTTGGGGAAGCCGCGGCAAAGGACCTCGGTCGGGGTGGTCATCTTCTTCTCCATGATGCGGTCGTATTTCTGCTTCTTGGTAGCAGCCTTGAGTCCCTGCCAGGGAAGGGATCCACGGCAGAAGTAGAGCATGACGTAGCCCAGGGACTCCATGTCGTCACGGCGAGATTGCTCTGCGAAGCTGTCAGTGGCCAGGAGGAAACGGAAAGGGGTTGGGATGCGTGGAAAGATAACATACCGACACCCAAGTGGGTGTTGATGGAAGCATAACGGGCGGTTCCGGTAAGGTTCTTGTTCTCTCTGTAAGGGATGTGGAAGTGCGTCTTGGGGTCGCGGTACTTCTTGGCCAAACCAAAGTCGATAACGTTGACCTGGTTGCCACGCTTACCAATACCCATGAGGAAGTTGTCGGGCTTGATATCACGGTGAATGAAAGACTTGGCGTGGATGTACTCGATGCGGGAAATCAGCTGATCAGCGAGAAGCAGCACGGTCTTGAGGGAGAATTTGCGGTTGCAGAAGTTGAAGAGATCCTCCAAACTGGGTCCGAGGAGGTCAAGGACCATGGCGTTGTAGTCGCACTCGGTACCGAACCAACGGACAAAGGGAATACCGACACCACCGGCCAAGGACTTGTAGACTCTGGCCTCATACTCAAGCTGGGGGTGCTTGGCCTTGACGCTCTCGAGCTTGATGGCAATCTCCTCGCCGGAGATGATGTTGGTGCCGAGGTAAATATCACCGAAAGAACCAGAACCGATCTTGCGACCGATGCGGTACTTGTTACCGACACGAAGATCCTGCCATTGTCGTTAGCCATGTGCAATGACAGTTGGAAGCAAGCGGCTCCATCGACAGATTGGGCACTTTCAGCAAGAGCATACACAGCTCCTGGCCAGGCTGTGCCCAATGTCGAAAAGAGCCGACCGGCGAGTATCCACTTACCATTGTGGTCATTTTGACGAATGTGCTGACTCTGCACCTTTCGGATGCAGATTTTGGTTTGGTAGGTCGGGTGTCGATCGACGGGTCAGAGTTTTATTCCACAGCGAAGCGATGGGCTGGGTAGAATTGGAGAATTAGTATTGATGCATGAGACGGGAGAAGGCTTCGAACAGTGCCGTTGGAGCGATGGAGGCGTGTGAGGACGTTGTGAGAACAGGAAGAAGTGGGAAAGTTGAAGAGTGGATAGAGTTGGTCGAGGCCTTGGAAGAGAGGATTGAATGAGGCAAAGCTCGGATCCACCGCCAAAACCCACGGTCAGCCCGAGGCTAGGCTGGGCAAAACGGAAGAAGAGTGAACCCCAGGCAGAGGGAGAGGCAGAGGGGTGCAGTCCGACAAGGCAACGATTGTTGACGGATTGAGGATCAAGGTAGTCGAAAATTGAGGGAATAAAGCGAAAGAGGAAGAATAGGCTCACCTGTAGAGGGCTTGTACGTATGTGTTGTCGGGAGAGGTGGAAGGAGTCGCGTGTGTGTGAGAAAGATGGTTTGATGGTGGTACCTGTGTGACGAAAGAGGTGAACGGGGTCAGTATGGGCTCTTGGAAGTCAAGATGAGCAGAAGGGGGGGGCGGATGGATTGATGGGGGTCGGGAGGGGGTAATTTGTAATTGATGCTGATGCTGATGGGAATGGAATATGTATGCGTACCTTATCCTCAAATGCCAACGAAAGCCGTGTCCAAAGTGAAGGGGACAGAGACGATGTGCTGTTCGGGCAAGAAGCCTTTGGCAATCAAGGGCTCGTGAAAGAGATCGTGGGGTGAAGAAAGGAAGAATAAGGCAGGAAGGAGGAGGGCGAGAGAGGATGGGAAGAGGGTACCTTAATGGGATGGGAGCCCAAAAGTGGAGGCGACAAGGCAAAATGGAGAAAAGCACCACCTTCCTTCCCTTAGGCGCTCTTACCTACCTTACCGAGTACTTTACCTTAGGTACTTGTCATCTTCTCAGGGACTGGGCGACACGCGAAGGGCGAAGGAGGGCTGGCGGTGGGCAGCGGGCGGCGGACCACCTCGCTGGGGCGGACAGGCGCTGGGTGCTAAATGGAACACGGAGACTGGACGGGGGAAATAGAACCAAGGAAGAAGGCATCAAGGAGACGAGGTATCCGTGGTACCTTCCTTCCTCCGTGGGCCGCAGTTGCGCAGGTAGGTGCCTTCCAAAGGTACCTACTTACGGTAGGTACCTATCTTGGGCAGATGCTCAGCCTGAGAATCTAGGTAAGTACCTCCATTGTCGAAAATCCGGTGGCAGGTACATACCCTTGCACGCCAATTCTGCCCAGAGCCGCACGTACCCTCTCCGTGCTCACTCCCTCCAGCCCAAGGTCCGAATACCTGCCTTCTACCTGCTTTCGGGTCGGGTGGCCTTCCATCCCCCTCTCCCACACGGCATTACATAAGGCATCTTTCCATTAATTATGCTGGACGATACGGCAGCAACCCGACACAGCAAGCCTTCTTTTTCGGTGCCAACTTGCTGGTTCGTAGCTACCCGTCCGGCCGTCCACCCGTGAGCTCCCGTACTTCCGCGCTTGTCGTAGATGCCATGCCCTGGTCGCTTCAGCTCACATCACCTCACCTCTCACGTCACCCCAGATAAAGAAATACCGGCACAGAAAGCGAGCCAAGTACGACTTCACAAAGGCACAGCTTTACCCAGTCCTCTTTACCAAGGCATACCGGCATACCGACACCAAGCTACATACAACAAACGCAGCCGCCGCGGCTCAACCACTACAATTGCGCCACTCGTCACGTCCTGACCGGTCAACCGAGCCCCAAGTACCGTACGCATAGGCTGATCTGTGGTCTGGCCAAGCACCAGCTCATCCTCATCTTGAGCCCATCTTGAAATTGGAACACCGCATTGGCCATGCAATTCAATGCAATGAACCTCTCTCCGCCGGGGTCACTGGACAACGACGGGGAAATTCCCGGTCGAGACATGTAGGCCCCTCGCCAGCCCGACATGGAGTCTCACGGTCCACCCGCCCAACGTTCCACCGCTCCAAAGGGGGAAATTTCGAAGCCTGAAAACCGCTACCGCCGCCCCCAACCCTTCTCTCCAACACCCAAGAACCCTGTCTCGAATCACTGCTTTCGGAAGACGAGCTCGCAGACTTGCAGCAGTCTACTTACTGACCCTACTCTGTACTTCCGAACTTCGTTCGGAACGAACGCGAATTGAACACGCCCGAATTCTCAATGGGGCCCTCTCAATGACACGGAATTATGTGAGAGGGGCGACACCATGACGGCGGCAAGGACCCTGAACCGACCACTCAACCCACCATACAGATACTCTAAGAATTTTTCTTGAAAGAAACCTGCCGATCTCCGACATCAACGCTCTTTACTACCTATGGAGAGTCTGCCGCAAAACAGCTTTCAGAGTTGTAGGACATGTCTGGCACCGATTCTTCTTCAGCATTCCCAAGTTAGGCAGGGCTTTCGTCATCGCAACAATCCCGAGATCCACCATGTAACAAGGCGGCTTCCTTAGAGATAACATACCAAATTGCAATCAGCACCGACGCAAAATATCACCTGCAGCCAACCAAGACCCATTTGTCGCCGGGCTACGGCTACGGATACACGCAGGGCGCGAACCACCACATCTTCAGGATCCTTGCCGGAACCTCCCCCCTGAAGCGATGCTTTCAGCTTCCCACGACGGACCGCAACGAGCTAAGGTACGGAGTAAAGACATCGGGCGTGCCCCCTTGCAAGTGAACCTTGTCAGATATCTCTTCGACTGAGTCGACTCGTCTTGCCATTTGCGTGTCAGCATCAATCTGGATTTCACCAATCTGCAACTCAAAAGCCTTTGTCATGCCAATTTCAACGGTAGCCGGCATATAAGTCCTGGACCAATATCAAACCCTCCTAATTCTACATTGCCGCATTTACCAGCAACCGCTACTAATCCCTCAGGTGACACTGCTCCCGCCAGAGTAGGATGCGCTAATCACCAACCGGCGAGAGCCTCACCGCTCTTAGTCCTCTCCCCCGCAACAGGATCACGACGCTCGAGCCCACCAGGAAAAACAACTCCAGACTGTCGGTCAGGAGACCAGTCATAAATCGGACGGTCGAGGGCACCAATGCTGCAAGATCGAGATGCCTATTTTCAGTATCCAACAGGGGCTAACCCCTCCAGCCTCAATTCGATATCATAATGCAAAGGTGAAAATGGCCATACCTCAAAAGCAAGCAAGTACCTTTGGATGGCATAAGTATCGGCTCGGAAGCATGGGTACAAGAGTCAGCCCAGTACCACCTCCTTCGTCATGCAACAACAGCCTCTCGGTTGTCGCTGCTGACATCCGAGATATCAAGTTCCGATACCCAAAGGCCCCCTTGGCCATCTCCCCTTAAAACAGCAAAGGATCTCCCGCAAGAGACAGTTACAAGGGAAGTTCACCTCGGTCCCTCCACCCCCTCGCCTACGAAGCACCAAAGAGAATGAATGACCTGCAATGTAACCCCCATCGTATCGTGAGCAGCATCTCATCTCTGGCGGTGGCGCCTTTCAGACGCGCCGTGCGCTAGAGGAGCGCTCTGTGGCGTTAGATGGGGCCAAACGCCATGGAAGCTATTCGACGTCGCCCACGTCACTCTTATTCCAGGTCTTTCGGTCTGCCCCGAACAACGAACGAGCAAGTCAAACTTCAAAGACCTTGATTGCAGAGCAAAATGAGCAAACAAAACAGCATTTCTAGGCCTGATCAAGATTTTTTTGAGGGCCCAGTGTGGCAGCCAAAACCTGAATTTTACCCTCAGCGTGGCCGAAGCTCGCGACTCAGATGTCCGAACCGTCCGCTATTCAGCCAACTGTGTCCGAGTTGGGCACCAACCTTTGGACAGCGATCCCCAGTCCTTGTTCGCTCTCTCTCCGAGCAATTGGGTTGTATCCCCGACCCTACACTCCCTGCTTCCCGACGGTACTGCCTCGCGAGTGCTTACAAGTAGTTCGGGATGGTTTATCCCATTATGGATGCTCGCAGAGATGCCATGGCCATTTGGCAACGTTTAGAGCCGCCCTCTGCCATCATGATTCTTTGATGGCCAGTTGTCATGCACCTCCATTTGTAACTGAGCCACGGTCTTGGGGTCGTAACAACACCAGCGCTTTGTTGGTCTCGAATGGGTGCAATGCTGCAATCGGCATGAACATGATTAGGAGGCGGCGGAAAGGCAATTAAATGCCTCTTCCGAGTCCCCATATCTTATCGGCTGTCAGTTGTGAGTAAGCGTGCCACAAACCCCGGAAGGCAGCTCCAGTGACTTGCATATCGACGTCCTAAATTAGAGACGTTCGAGAAGCGGCAAATGGTGGATAGAATTCTGGAAGCTCACCGCCGTTAGCGGCGCTATGGTGCGCCCTAGCTACATTTTGATACATTGGGCCGCACGTACGTCTCGAAACAGGAGACGGACCATCACGCCGTCTCCGTAGTATCGGCTGAAGAATGTCACTCGTTCCTCCACAAGCCAACGGGCGTTCCCTTCGCTTTGTCCTTTGGCTAGCTGGGACGACGGAGATGCCCAGGCTTACGAAATCTAGACTGGTCCCGGCCGAAAGACCAATCTTTTACTTCCTCCAGAGAAGCTGTCATTCGAATTCCAACGTCAGCAGAGCTTCTAATTCCGGGGTTCGAAGCCAGCCAGACGACAAGACAACTGGATTCTGCAAGAAAAGAGCCTAGGTGCTAGTGTTTGGCATGTCAGTTCCATTGTTCAGCATGGGTTTGAGGCATGGATCGGCACCCGTTACCAGTCAACCGCCATTCGAAATCACAAAGGTCTGATCAAAACGGTTTGAATATGAGTTCTTGAGGCTAAGAGGCTGTTGCGTATTTGCGTATTACTTGACCAACCATGAGCATACTGTTGCCGGTGCTTCCAAGACCCCCGCAGAGCCAAGCAATCGAGAGCTTACTGTGGAAGAAGGCCCTTCAAGAATGAAGGCCGATGAGCTTCTGGCCAGTGCCGATCACTTTCGGGTTTCCCGCATCGGCCAATCCACCTGCAGCTTGGACGACATCAATGGGCCCTCCATCACATCACCGCCATTCGATCGTCTGGTCTGCCCGCCCTTGGTTCAAATGGCTTTGAGAGAGGCGCTTGGCGCTGTCCTCACCGAGCATCTGCGAGTTGCCTGATCTTGCCTGTTTCCACCCATTCGATTGGAACCCTAAGGTCACAAGATCTCGGCAGCTGCATGTCACGGAGCTTGGTGACAGGATGGCTCCTGTCTTGACATGGTACGGCAGGCTACGTCGGAAAATTGATTCGCGAAAATGGGGTAAAGGACAACTGCCAACACAAGCCATCACCGAAACGCATTGGCACTGAGGCGGTTGACGCGCGAAGCACTCACGGCTGCACCCTGAACAAAGACAGGCGCTGAAGCGGCCTCCTGAAGTTGCCTTTGGAATTCCGGTGTCTAGGTACCACAGTGTGGTCCAGCCACGTCCCATGTCCGATGAATGGGCCTCGAAACGCCGTCAGACCATTTCCCCCCAAGCTCCGGGCCGCAACACAAAGCCATGAACGCCTCTGCACACCCTTCCGGATCACCGGGAAGATGGGGACAGCGTGAGCACGGCCGGGGGTCCTGGCCCGGTCTGAGCCGGCAAAGTGTGCCTTTTCAGCGCCGAGGTTGCCTTTTGCTATCGCCGGCACCCCGGCTTTGCTCAACAGCCGGATACTTACTGTCGGCTCAGCGATAACCTCGGGGCGCCTATTTCGTTCCTTGACGCAGACATTATCACCATCTCCGCACAGGTGACATTTGTCAGATGACTTTCTGGGCGTAGGGAAGGGGGACAAAAAAATGTAGTTGTTCATCTGCCAGACCATCTGCCGGAGACTCCCAAGGTACTGACTCGGGTCGAGCCCACCTTACACGGATCATATCCGTACCCTCGAAACTTGAGATGAACTTTGCGGCACGCGGTGCACAGGAAAGAGAAAAAAGAGAGTTTTCATTTTGCCCTCATTCTCGTCGGGCACCGACTTGATGAGGGATTATAGCCTTGGCATAGGGGTGCTCGGCGTTCACCTTATAGAGAGGGAGAACCCATACCCACCCCGATTCCAACGTTCGAACTTGATTTTTTTCTTCCGAGGCCGCTTCCTTGACTTCCGCAGGACCTCGGCCTCTGCCTGGGATGGCCCTACCTTCCCCATAGACCCTGCGTCTTGGGTGCCGCGTGAACTCGGCGCGACTTGCAAGTAAGGCACGAGAGTTTAAGATGCTATCGCTGATAAGAAGGGGTTATGTCATTCCGCAATGATCTTGGGGTTTGTTGTCGATGACATCATGTCAGGGTCTTGAGTATCAATCCTCCTCATGGGCCTCTCGATTTCTGTTCGTCTGCGCTGGTCAATAGTAATAGCAATTTTTGATGCTGATGAATTGAGACTGATGAGGCAGACAGACAGTCACCTCTCCTATGTTTTCACGCTATCTGTATCACCGTATACTCATCGTTGCCATCCTTACTACTGTGTCGATAAGATCACCGAGTACATGAATAGAGAATACCTCGTACTTTGAGAGCCACCTACCGGGGATAGTGACGGCGATGGATTGAAAACGTATCATGTGTAGTATGATGACATGAATGTATCGCCAAAGATGGTATTCTTATGGCTATAGATATTACTTAGAGTTGTATATATCCAGTTCACTTTCCCCCAGGGCAAATAAGGATAGCCTTCACCTACGCCGCACTGAATGGATCCCAGCAGATGCAAAGGGTTCAGTGATACATCAGATTTGTATTTCCTCGGCCGCCCACCGCCAGGCCAGAACCCAAAACGATATTCGCTTTGGACGCAACCTATCGCGTCAGATCCTGAATCGCGTGCGTGGCTTCCACTGAACACCCCATCCTGGTGAGTTCGACGTCACTCCAAGCAAGCGCGCGTCTCGCTCGGTCCAACGGCCCCGCGCCACCGGGGTAGAGTTTTTATGTTTGAACACTATCAAGCACCCGGCGGCTACAACTTCATCGTTGCCTCGTGTCTATGAACAACTTGTCTTCAGCGAAGCGTCGCTTGTCCGTCCTTCGAAAGAACAAAACTGTCTACGAGATGTATTGCATCATCGGCACGTCGTACGTTGACTGTGTTGTTTTCCATCATGGTGGTTCGGGGCGAACATGGTTGTTCTCGCAGCTTGGTGCAGTGAATGACGCATATCCATGTTCACTTGTGTTCACATATGTTCACACGGAGTCCGCAAAGTTAGGGAACTAGTCGCCCTATCCAGCTATGTTCTTCTCACAAGACCCCTCAGAACTTTCAAGATGGACGAGTGACCCCTTGGCTCTGTTGCGATGATTGAGATTGCGCGTACGTTGCTACACACTTGTTAGTCTCGTAGCCAACGAAGAAACACCCGAGGCAGGTTACACACGCTGAGAGGGAGCATAGCTCTGCTGCTGTGTGTAGTACTGCTGCTGCTGCTGCTGCTGCGCCGGGTATCCCGTTGCCGTTTGCGGTCGGTTCGGATACTGATTATTCTGGTTTTGGTTCTGGTAATTCTGGTTCTGATTGTGGAGGTTCTGATTTTGATTCTGAGGGTTCTGGTTCTGATACCAGTTGTAGGGCGGCCGGTAGTACTTGTTGTCCTGGAGGTAGGGCGTGATGGTTTGGTCTACGAGCTCGGTTGTCTTGGTGAGAAGCTTCCGTGCCGTGGCACTGCTGAAGAGGCGCGATTCGGATTTCGGCGGCGGGGCCTGGTAATTTGGCCGAGTCGGGGGAGGAGGTCCAGCATAGGGCGTGAGGGCGCCAAAGCCCGACTGCGGCGTACCTGGCATGGGCGGGGAGTTGCGAGGCGGGAGGGGCGGCGGTGTCTGCGTCGGTTGCGGTTGGAACTGTTGGCTTCCGTTGACGTATGTCGGCTGAGGGATAGGGGGCGGCATGTTGTAGCCCGTGAACTGCTGTTGGAGGGGAGCAGATTGGGGGCCAACACTGTTTGGAGACCAAGGATACTGCGTCGGCGGTGGGCTCAGGGGCAGTGGCACGCCGGTTGGGTTTGGTGATAGGCCTTGGGGAGGTGGCGGTGGAGGGAGCCATTGTGTCTGTGTGGGCGATGGTGAAGTGTTCGACAGGTTCGTTTGAGACATGGCTTGGGTATATGAAGGTGGAGGAGAGGCGTAGGGTTGAGCCGGTGAGTGCTGAGAAGCCTGGGGAATTCCTTGTGATGTTGAAGGTCTCGGTGCCGAGGCTACTGGGCTATGGACCGAAAGATTGGGCGAGGTGGCCTCCTGCTTGGCGTATGAGGGCTGCTGAGGGAAGTAGGAGCTCACAGGGAGAGTTGGCGGTAGAGCAGCCTGAACGAAGACGGGAGACACTGGGGCGGCTTGAGTGTGAGCTGGTTGAGGATGGGGTTGAGACTGTTGCGGCTGTTGCGGTGGTGCCGAGACGCCCGTTGGGGCTGGTGAGAGGCGCGAGGGCGCGAAGGAAGGGGATACCGGAGGCGGGGAGCCAGCGGGACGAATGCCAAAGGGAAGCGTCGCCGGGGCCCCGGGTTGTGTTCCTGGCTGGTGCTGAGGATGCGAGTCCGGCGTGGGAATAGACGGACCTTCGGCGGGGTATGGGAGCTGCGGTACATTGGAGGCCGGAGCGGCGGGGTTGGACGGGCTTGGGGTCCGGGAGGGACGATGTTCTGCAGCCGGGGGCTGCGGCCGAGCGAGCTTGAGTGGTGCCGGTTTGAGCTGGGCCGTATCAGGGCTATCCTGCCTCGCCGGCACTGCAGCCGCAAGCTGTAAAGGCTTGGGCATCACATCATCTGCGGTACTGTTCGAGGGTTTGCTCCCTTGACCGTTAAACTCCTCGGTAGAACCGCTCTTGACGATGCGTAACGGCTTCACCGATAGCTTCTGTTCCTCCGGTGGGATCGATGAGACGTCATCTTTCCTCGGTGAGGGGGAGTCACTGTTGCGAGAGGGGAGGTCATCCTCAAGAAAGAACCCCCATGGGTTTGCCTGGATGAGAGGTGGCTGTGGCGGCGGCGGCTGGGCCTTCTCTTCGTCCTTTGGTTGATCCGGGTCGTCTTGTTTAAGTACAGCTGTGGCCGTAGTAGGGGATGCTGGAGGCGGCGATGTTGATGATGTTGGTGCGGCAACAGAAGACGCAGAGGCTATCCTATGAGGTTTCCTATGAATCTGGGTTGTAGGCTTGGCCGTGACTATGTCGTCGGCGGGCATCTCGTAGGCAACGGGGCCATGTTGAGCTGTTCCGGCACTCGGTACCAGTGCGGATGTGGTAGCGTTGGGCGATGACGTCGATGGTGAGGTTGGTCTCGGGACAGAGGCTGGGACTTCCAGCTCGGCGAGGAATTGCTGCTGGGCGGGGTACTGCTGCTGCTGCTGTTGCTGCTGCGGGGTCTGCTTGCGCTGAGGCGGGTTTGGAGAAGTAGGCCTGGAGGCGTATTGAGGCTGTCTGGGAGGGTTGTAGTATTGCTGTTGCTGCGGCGGTTGGTATGGTTGGAACTGCTGTTGATATTGAGGTTGCGACTGCGGTTGTGGTTGTTGAGCGTAGTATCGCTGCTGCGGCGGGTAAGGCGAGTGCGCCCGTTGTTGCTCTGGCTGTTGCTGCTGTTGCTGATTCGGGGGAGGTCGTTTCCCTTGGCCGGTGCCCATTGTCGCGTCTGGACTTGGCCGGCGCTGCTGCTTCTGTAATCTCATGAAGACGAAAGTTTCTGTGGTGTTGTTGTTGCTTCCCCCTCGTGAGTTGCCCTCCTGCCACTGGTTCTCCTTCTCCCTTGCTTTCCTTTCCGGAGACGCTTGGTGCTGCAAACCGACAGATTTGAGTAAAGTAAGTGGAAGAAAGTGAGAAAAGGAAGAGTGAAAGATGGTTGGGGAGAAAGAGCCAAGGTTTATTTTTTAGCCTTACAGATTCACCTTGTACACACACACTCACACAGCCGCAGCGCCCTCTACTCTTCTCGGCTTAGCTTCTGATGATGCTGGTGCTTGGGTGCTTGGGTTCAAGCTGTGCAGCTGCGCTGTCACTGCTCGTGTGAGTGTGAGTGTGCAGCCTGGAGATCCTCCTTTGCGCCCCTCCAACCCCTTGGACCCATTCCCAAAACCCCGGTTCAATCGTACCCGTCACGAGCAATGTTAATTTATTGCTGCATCTTTTTCGGGTTCGGACATCAGCTACGGCCGGCCCACCGTTAACTATCCGGTGGGGGAGGAAACTTCGCTATCGCTTAGCTTCCTCAAGGGTTTTCGTTCGTCTGGGTACATTACGCAGTATGGACTATCCGTATGGAGTATGTCAATTTCGACGGGTTCCCGATGGGCCGATGGAGTTCCAATAAAGAGACGTCAGGGATTTTACACGTAAATGGCAAATGAATATCAGAAAGAACAAAGTCCCCTAGCGCTGCCGTGTGAACCTAGAGCTGGAGCCTAGAACCAACACAACACCCCCCGGTTCATCCTACTCTGGAGTCTTGGTCTCCGCCCCTGGTCTAATTCTTATTACCGTGGGAGCATCGATCTCTTATTCTGCTGCCTGTCCGAATGTCACTGTCCCCTTGCCCAGCCGCCAAGCTGATAATTGCAAAGAAGGATACGAATGCAGAAAGGGGATAGTGAACAATCAAACCCCCAGCTGAACAGTGATCTCAGCATGGAGTGGAAGCCTGGGGGAGATGGGTCACAGAAAGCAAGGCAGGGCTTCTGACCTGCAGGGACGATCTTTCGTATCCAGATTGTGATTGGTGATTTGTTTTCGCGGCTGTCGTCAGGGGGGGCTGAGCTGAATATCATATATTGATGGTTGTGTTTTGCTGTGCAATTGATGATGACCGATGGTGGATGATCGAGGGGGGGGGGGGCTTATGACGGCTTAAGCTTTTACTAAGGCTGTGCCGGACCCTTGGATTTTGCCTGCGGGTTCTGCCGCGCTTCCGTTCACATTTGTCAATGCATGTCACGATCCACGCTTGGATAATGGTAGTTGGAAAGTCGTGTGTATTCCTTGCTGGCGCTCTATAGCACAAATTACACCACCTAGCAGACAGCCCGGTGAATCCGTACTTGCCAGAGGCACTTGTCTCCAAAGATACGGAGTATAAAAACATACAATCCTCCCAACCCAGCTCTATAATCTAAGCAGAGGACAGACAGGGTATGACGCCAGGACTTGGTCATGGGATGGATATGCGATGTGCATGTCTACCAGAGTTCAAGTGAGTACAGCATTGTCGAGGAAGACAGAAAGCCCATGATTGACCGTTTCCTCAATCTCCCTTCATCATCACCAGTGTATTCAAAACCTATTGCTAGGAATAAGTAAGAAGTGCTGGCGGGAGGGCAGCGCTGATTGGTCTGTAGGCGGGCTACATTGACTAATCTCCATACAGCAGCTTTATTATAGCACATTCCCATAGTTCATTGCAAAGAAGGATATGATTGATCATGTATGGAATGCATGATTGAATTGAGAGCAGCCCTTTTTATAGGCTCTAGCGCGTGAAATCACAACTCAAATTGTTGCGCCGTACCCATTGAGGCAGCTTCGAGGTCTTGTGGCTATCAGTCTTAGAGTCGTCATGTAAAGCGCAGGCTTCATGCCATTTGATAGCCACCATCCTTGAATACTTGTCCTGCTAGAATACCAACGTCTACAACGAGTTCCTGTTGCCAAAAGGTTGAGCAAGGGTCCTGAACCAACTTAGGGCAAGTGGGAACTTGATACTTAATGTACATTTGCATATTTTGGTAGGAGAGGCAACCGGCAGAATACAGATATTGGGACGTTTTCGAGCCTCTTCCTAGTCCATACCGGAGCCCGGGACTGTTACAATCACCTCTTGATGGTAAGGTATGTCGTCCGGCCGGCCCCTACAAACGCCATGATATAGCTGCTTTACTGTGCTTATATTATGAAGGATCTAACTTGTGTGTATCAGTTTAGATATCTACCCCGATCTTGTAAAATATAGTCTGCTATTACATGCGGCCATGACCGTCGAAAATCCCTGGAATATTTATTCGTATAGAAACGATACCACTAAGATCCTCACATTTAAGACTGTCCTCAACTCCCCAAAAACGTTCTAGTCGACCCTCTTCAAGCTCAACTTAAACGGCTTCGGCAACACACTCTCCACCCTCCCATCATCCCCATACGTAAACTCAAAGTGATCAAGCCCCTTATAGTTATACGTCGTCCGATCCATCGACAACCACGACACGCACGACGCATTCGGGAAGAAGAACATGTCATCAATCGCATCCCGCTGCTCCGCCGTAAACGTATCAAACAATGCCCTCCACGCCGTGACATTCCCCTCCTCCAACCCCGTGGGATACAGCCTCGCCGTCCGCGTCGTAACGGGCGGCAGGTCGGTCAGGTTGACCCCCAAGAACACGTACCGGCTCAGATTCGGCACGACGTCGAACCCCTTCATATACCAGTCCTCAAGCAACAATCCCCATCCGTCATCCAACGAGATCGTCAGGCTGGAATTGCTCGCCTCGTCCGCATACGTCCCCGCGATCCGCGCCTTGGCCTCGTCCCGCGCCGCCTCGTCGAGGGCGCGGAGCAAAGGCGGGAGGAACTCGTTCATCTTGAGCGTGTAGTACGAGAACGCGGCCGCGCTAACTTCCGGACCGGCAACGAGGATCGACATGGTGATGCCGTGCTCCGGAACCAGAGCCAGACCAGCGTGGTAGAGAATGAGGTCCCCACCCTTGGTGTACAACTCCACGAGCCTCCCATCCGCCGTGACATTATCCGAGAGGATCCCCTCCCACGGCGCGCCGACGAACTGGCCGGGAGCCGAGGTGAAAACGGACGGCTTGAGCCACCTCCGCGTCTTGGCCGGGCTGAGGAGGCGGTTCTGGAGGACAGCGTCGCCGAAGCGAAGCATGTCGGCCGTGGTGGAGTAGAGGCCGCCGGCCGGGTCCATGGCGCCGAGGGTGAAGTTGAACCACTCGGTGTCGTTGGCGGGGATGAACATCGTCTCGAGGTTCGCGGGGAGCTTGCCGTAGGTGGTGTTTCCCATGCCCGCCGGTTCGAGGATGGACTCGAAGAGGACTTCCTCAAAGGGTTTGCCTGTGGCGCCTTCGACGACCATGCCTACGAGAGTCGTGCCCAGGTTCGAGTAGACGGGCGTTTGGAAGGCTGGGTAGACGGGCGGTCGACGGCTCTTCATGGCGTCGAGGAATTCTATGTATTGTGTCAGGAACCTCGGGTCCAAAACTTGGGATATCGTCAGAAATGGGATGCCACTTACCCTCTCTGGAGCAACTTGGGACGCCCAGGAATCCTCCGCACTTGGGCTTCTCCTCCTCAGATACAGGAGGTAAGCCAAGCGACTCCCAATCACCACCATATGCCGCGCCATCCGTCGTCACTACACTCCAGGTCAGCCAACAAAACCCCCCTCAAAGTCGGCAGAGACAGAGAGTGACAAGTTCTCCCTTCTCCCGAGTAGACTTACTATCAGCACCCAAACCAGCATAATGCACAGCAGCAGCCTCAACACTAACATCCCGCCAATCCACATACTCAACCCGACTCCTCCCCTCCGTCCCCTCCGCCAACTCGGGAATATACGTCGCCACGCTCTCATCCCACCGCACCACATCATCCCGCTGCAGCGCCGCCAGCACGGGAAACACCTTACTCACGCTCGCGAGCCGGTACACCGTATCCCGATCCACCACCTGCGCGCCCTGCGCGTCGCGGTCCCGCGGCGTGAAGTGGAAGTCCACCAGGGGTTCCGCGCCCGCCGCCTCAAAGGCCGAGCTGACGCCGATGGAGACGGCCGAGGCGTTGTAGGCCGCCGTCTCGGCTTCCAGGGCCGCGATGAAGGTTGCGACGGCGGCGCGGACGGCCGGGTGCGTGCTGGGTGATTTCGCGGCGGGGAGGACGGCGCCGAAGGGGGGGCATTGGTATGGTGTTGCGGTTGCTAGGCCCGCGAGGGTTGTTGCGGCTAGGGGGAGTGAGGCGCGCATTGTGAGATGAGTGTTGGGGTTTGGTATGTATGCTTGGGATGGTAGGGCTGGTCTTCAAGTCGTGTTAGTTTAGTAGATACATCTTGGGTGCTACACCCAAGTCTTGGGTTCCTAGATAGATTCTCACCACTTTTGAGAGGCGAAGAACAGGAGTTGTGCTTCACTCAGTCACTCCGTTCCTACTTCACTCTCACGGCTCAAGTTCTCCCTCTTCAATCGCGAATTCCAAGAGCATCCCTCTTTATATACATACTTCCAGTTACCCGCCTTCCAACCCTCCTCTACGCCGTAGGGCAGCATAGAAAACCAAACACACGCGTTCTAGAAGTTCGCCTGCGTATGTGTTCCCGACCTTCCGCACCGAGCATGGCGGGCGCGGCCTACATAATCCTCCTCGTTTACCATGCACGTCGCCAACGCTCCGCACATAGCACTGCAGCAGGATCTGAACCCTTGGCCGCCGACCCCCGGGCTTACCAGCCTGACTTTGACAAAATGGCCCCAAAACCCTACGGAACCCGGGCGTGGGAATGGAACGTCAGTTGAACGCCAAGGCTGCTGCTCAGTGTCTCTCCTGACTCTTTCAAGGATATGACTGTCTCCTCGGGCTCAAATTGATCGAAAAGCCCTCGGTGGCGTAGTGCACAAATGACACAATATATTGGAACACATCAAGTCATCATATCAAATAGGCCTATTACCCTCTCCAATTCAATGTCATTTTTTCTTCAACCGCAGGGTGCCGACTTTCAGGTAAGCCTCCATCACCTGTATAAACCAGCCCAAGAACAACACCAAGCAATCCATTTTCCATCCCTAACAGACAGACTTGTAGAAACAAGCAGCTTCCGAGCAAAGAAAACCCTGT